AAGCTCTCAATAGTCAGCAATCAAGACAGCAGTAAAAGAGAATGCGCCGTCCGGGAATCGAACCCGGGGCATCTCGTTGGCAACGAGATATTTTACCACTAAACCAACGGCGCCTGCTCACGTCATTCTACCCCCTCTGTCAAAATCAACACAAACAAACAACAGCCTCCTCACGGCATACATCGTACCCGGCAACTGTCACTCACAACATCCCGACGAGTCGAATCCGTTTCGCGGCAAAATGAAGACGTGTTTGCAGTCGACAAGGAATAGCAGCTTTACATACCGCAGCTATCGCCTGTCAGTCGTCAACGACGTCTAAAGACTCCATCAAGTGGTATAACAGCTGCTGCGGTGTACATGAAGCTCTCTCAATAGTCAGCAATCAAGACAGCAGTAAAAGAGAATGCGCCGTCCGGGAATCGAACCCGGGGCATCTCGTTGGCAACGAGATATTTTACCACTAAACCAACGGCGCCTGCTCACGTCATTCTACCCCCTCTGTCAAAAATCAACACAAACAAACAACAGCCTCCTCACGGCATACATCGTACCGGCAACTGTCACTCACAACATCCCGACGAGTCGAATCCGTTTCGCGGCAAAATGAAGACGTGTTTGCAGTCGACAAGGAATAGCAGCTTTACATACCGCAGCTATCGCCTGTCAGTCGTCAACGACGTCTAAAGACTCCATCAAGTGGTATAACAGCTGCTGCGGTGTACATGAAGCTCTCAATAGTCAGCAATCAAGACAGCAGTAAAAGAGAATGCGCCGTCCGGGAATCGAACCCGGGGCATCTCGTTGGCAACGAGATATTTTACCACTAAACCAACGGCGCCTGCTCACGTCATTCTACCCCTCTGTCAAAAAATCAACACAAACAAACAACAGCCTCCTCACGGCACATCGTACCGGCAAACTGTCACTCACAACATCCCGACGAGTCGAATCCGTTTCGCGGCAAAATGAAGACGTGTTTGCAGTCGACAAGGAATAGCAGCTTTTTACATACCGCAGCTATCGCCTGTCAGTCGTCAACGACGTCTAAAGACTCCATCAAGTGGTATAACAGCTGCTGCGGTGTACATGAAGCTCTCAATAGTCAGCAATCAAGACAGCAGTAAAAGAGAATGCGCCGTCCGGGAATCGAACCCGGGGCATCTCGTTGGCAACGAGATATTTTACCACTAAACCAACGGCGCCTGCTCACGTCATTCTACCCCCTCTGTCAAAAATCAACACAAACAAACAACAGCCTCCTCACGGCACACATCGTACCGGCAACTGTCACTCACAACATCCCGACGAGTCGAATCCGTTTCGCGGCAAAATGAAGACGTGTTTGCAGTCGACAAGGAATAGCAGCTTTACATACCGCAGCTATCGCCTGTCAGTCGTCAACGACGTCTAAAGACTCCATCAAGTGGTATAACAGCTGCTGCGGTGTACATGAAGCTCTCAATAGTCAGCAATCAAGACAGCAGTAAAAGAGAATGCGCCGTCCGGGGGAATCGAACCCGGGGCATCTCGTTGGCAACGAGATATTTTACCACTAAACCAACGGCGCCTGCTCACGTCATTCTACCCCTCTGTCAAAAATCAACACAAACAAACAACAGCCTCCTCACGGCACACATCGTACCGGCAACTGTCACTCACAACATCCCGACGAGTCGAATCCGTTTCGCGGCAAAATGAAGACGTGTTTGCAGTCGACAAGGAATAGCAGCTTTACATACCGCAGCTATCGCCTGTCAGTCGTCAACGACGTCTAAAGACTCCATCAAGTGGTATAACAGCTGCTACGGTGTACATGAAGCTCTCAATAGTCAGCAATCAAGACAGCAGTAAAAGAGAATGCGCCGTCCGGGAATCGAACCCGGGGCATCTCGTTGGCAACGAGATATTTTACCACTAAACCAACGGCGCCTGCTCACGTCATTCTACCCCCTCTGTCAAAAATCAACACAAACAAACAACAGCCTCCTCACGGCACACATCGTACCGGCAACTGTCACTCACAACATCCCGACGAGTCGAATCCGTTTCGCGGCAAAATGAAGACGTGTTTGCAGTCGACAAGGAATAGCAGCTTTACATACCGCAGCTATCGCCTGTCAGTCGTCAACGACGTCTAAAGGCTCCAATTAAGTGATAAAAGCTGCTGCGGTGTGCACATGAAGCCTCATACAACAGTCATGCTAATCAAGACAGCAGCAAGAGAATGCGCCGTCCGGGAATCGAACTCGGGGCATCTCGTTGGCAACGAGATATTTTACCACCCAAACCAACGGCGCCTGCTCACGTAATTCTAACCCTCTGTCAAAAATCAACACAAACAAACAAACAGCCTCCCTCACGCACACATCGTACCGGGCAACCGTCACATCCACAAATCCTGACGAGTCGAATCCGTTTCGCGGCAAAACAGCGACGTTTATGCAGTCGACGAGCGAATAGCAGCTTTTCATACCGTGCGAAGCTGGTCGCCTTGGCCGTCGTCAACGACGTCTAAAGACTCCATCAAGTGGTATAACAGCTGCCATGCGGCATGAAGCTTTCAATAGTCAGCGCAATCAAGACAGCAGTAAAGGGTGGGTAATGCGCCATCCGGGAATCGAACCTCGGAGCATCTCGTTGGCAACGAGATATTTTACTACTTTGAAACCAACGGCTCCTTCCGCTCTCACGTCATTCTACCCCCTCTTGGGTCAAAAATCAAATACAAACAAACAACAGGCTCGCCCGGCATGCATCGTGCCGGCAACTGTCACACTCACAACATCCCGACGAGTCGAATCCGTTTTGTGGCAAAATGAAGACGTGTTTGCAGTCGACAAGGAATAGCAGCTTTACATACCGCAGCTATCGCCTGTCAGTCGTCAACGACGTCTAAAGACTCCATAAAGTGGTATAACAGCTGCTACGGTGTACATGAAGCTCTCAATAGTCAGCAATCAAGACAGCAGTAAAAGGGAATGCGCCGTCCGGGAATCGAACCCCCGGGGCATCTCGTTGGGAACGAGATATTTTACCACTAAACCAACGGCGCCTGCTCACATCATTCTACCCCCTATGTCAAAAATCAACACAAACAAACAACAGCCTCCTCACGGCACACACCGCACCGGCAACTGTCACTCACAACATCCCGACGAGTCAAATCCGTTTCGCGGCAAAATGAAGACGTGTTTGCAGTCGACAAGGAATAGCAGCTTTACATACCGCAGCTATCGCCTGTCAGTCGTCAACGACGTCTAAAGACTCCATCAAGTGGTATAACAGCCGCCGCGGTGTACATGAAGCTTTCCTCAATAGTCAGCAATCAAAGACAGCAGTAAAAGAGAATGCGCCGTCCGGGAATCGAACTCGTGTGGGGGCATCCTCTCTCTCGTTGGCACCAGAGATATTTAACATCAAACCAACGGCGCGCTCACACGTTCGTCTCCCCTCGTCAAAAATCAACACAAACAGAAAAACAACAGCCTCCTCACGGCACGCACCGTACCGGCAACTGTCGCTCTAACATCCAGACGGGTCGGATCCGTTTGCTTTGGCAAAATGAAGACGTGATTGCAGTCGACAAGGAATAGCGGCTTTACATGCCGCAGCTATCGCCTGTCAGTCATCAAGCGACGTCTAAAGACACCTCCATCAGAGTGGTGTAACAAAAGCTGCTACGGTGTGCACCAAGTTCTCTGTAGTCAGCAATTAAGACAGTAGTAAGGGAATGCGCCGTCGAGGATCGAACCCGGGGCATCGTTGGCAACGAGGTATTTTACCGCTAAGGCCAACGGCGCCAGCTCACGTCATTCTACCCCCTCTGTCAAAAATCAACACAAAACAAACAACGGCCTCCTCACGGCACACCGCACCGGCAACTGTCACTCACAACATCCCGACGAGTCGAATCCGTTTCGCGGCAAAATGAAGACGTGTTTGCAGTCGACAAGGAATATCAGCTCTACATACCGCAGCTATCGCCTGTCAGTCGTCAACGACGTCTAAAGACTCCATCAAGTGGTATAACAGCTGCTACGGTGTACATGAAGTTCTCAATAGTCAGCAATCAAGACAGCAGTAAAAGAGAATGCGCCGTCCGGGAATCGAACCCGGGGCATCTCGTTGGCAACGAGATATTTTACCACTAAACCAACGGCGCCTGCTCACGTCATTCTACCCCTCTGTCAAAAATCAACACAAACAAACAACAGCCTCCTCACGGCACACACCGTACCGGCAACTGTCACTCACAACATCCCGACGAGTCGAATCCGTTTCGCGGCAAAATGAAGACGTGTTTGCAGTCGACAAGGAATAGCAGCTCTACATACCGCAGCTATCGCCTGTCAGTCGTCAACGACGTCTAAAGACTCCATCAAGTGGTATAACAGCTGCTACGGTGTACACGAAGCTCTCGTAGTCAGCAATCAAGACAGCAGTAAAAGAGAATGCGCCGTCCGGGAATCGAACCGGGGCATCTCGTTGGCAACAGAGATATTTTTTACCACGAAACCAACGGCGCCTGCTCACGTCCATTCTACCCCTCTGTCAAAGAATCAACACAAACAAACAACAGCCTCCTCACGCGGCATACATCGTACCGGCAACTGTCACTCACAACATCCCGACGAGTCGAATCCGTTTCGCGGCAAAATGACGGCGTGTTTGCAGTCGACAAGGAATAGCAGCTTTACATACCGCACCTGTCGCCTATCAGTCGTCAACGACGTCTAAAGACTCCATCAAGTGGTATAACAGCTGCTGCGGTGTACATGAAGCTCTCAATAGTCAGCAATCAGGACAGCAGTAAAAGAGAATGCGCCGTCCGGGAATCGAACCCAGGGCATCCTGAAGTTCGGCAACGAGATATTTTTACCACTAAACCAACGGAGCCTGCCTCACATCTATTCTACCCCCTCTGAGCAAAAACAGCACAAAAACAAACAGCGCCAGCCTCCCCACGGGCATACATCGTACCGGAACCTGTCACTCCCACAACATCCCGACTAGTCGAATCCGTTTCCGCGGGTAAAATGACGGCGGTTTGCAGTCGAGGGCGAATAGCAGCTTAATATACCGCAGCTATCAGCCCGTCAGTCGTCAATCGACGTCTAAAGACTCCATCAAGTGGTATAACAGCTGCTACGGTGTACATGAAGCTCTCAATAGTCAGCAATCAAGACAGCAGTAAAAGAGAATGCGCCGTCCGGGAATCGAACACGGGGCATCTCGTTGGCAACGAGATATTTTACCACTAAACCAACGGCGCCTGCTCACGTCATTCTGCCCCCTCTGTCAAAAATCAACACAAACAAACAACAGCCTCCTCACGGCATACATCGTACCGGCAACTGTCACTCACAACATCCCGACGAGTCGACTCCGTTTCGCGGCAAAATGACGGCGTGTTTGCAGTCGACAAGGAATAGCAGCTCTACATACCGCAGCTATCGCCTGTCAGTCGTCAACGACGTCTAAAGACTCCATCAAGTGGTGTAACAGCTGCTACGGTGTACACAAAGCTCTCTGTAGTCAGCAATCAAGACAGCAGTAAAAGAGAATGCGCCGTCCGGGAATCGAGCCCGGGGCATCTCGTTGGCAACGAGATATTTTACCACTAAACCAACGGCGCCTGCTCACGTCATTCTACCCCTCTGTCAAAAATCAACACAAACAAACAACAGCCTCCTCACGGCACACACCGTACCGGCAACTGTCACTCACAACATCCCGACGAGTCGAATCCGTTTCGTGGCAAAATGAAGACGTGTTTGCAGTCGACAAGGAATAGCAGCTTTACATACCGCAGCTATCGCCTGTCAGTCGTCAACGACGTCTAAAGACTCCATCAAGTGGTATAACAGCTGCTGCGGTGTACATGAAGCTCTCAATAGTCAGCAATCAAGACAGCAGTAAAAGAGAATGCGCCGTCCGGGAATCGAACCCGGGGCATCTCGTTGGCAACGAGATATTTTACCACTAAACCAACGGCGCCTGCTCACGTCATTCTACCCCTCTGTCAAAATCAACACAAACAAACAACAGCCTCCTCACGGCATACATCGTACCGGCAACTGTCACTCACAACATCCCGACGAGTCGAATCCGTTTCGCGGCAAAATGAAGACGTGTTTGCAGTCGACAAGGAATAGCAGCTCTACATACCGCAGCTATCGCCTGTCAGTCGTCAACGACGTCTAAAGACTCCATCAAGTGGTGTAACAGATGCTGCGGTGTACATGAAGCTCTTTGTAGTCAGCAATCAAGACAGCAGTAAAAGAGAATGCGCCGTCCGGGAATCGAACCCGGGGCATCTCGTTGGCAACGAGATATTTTACCACTAAACCAACGGCGCCTGCTCACGTCATTCTACCCCTCTGTCAAAAATCAACACAAACAAACAACAGCCTCCTCACGGCACACACCGTACCGGCAACTGTCACTCACAACATCCCGACGAGTCGAATCCGTTTCGCGGCAAAATGAAGACGTGTTTGCAGTCGACAAGGAATAGCAGCTTTACATACCGCAGCTATCGCCTGTCAGTCGTCAACGACGTCTAAAGACTCCATCAAGTGGTATAACAGCTGCTGCGGTGTACATGAAGCTCTCAATAGTCAGCAATCAAGACAGCAGTAAAAGAGAATGCGCCGTCCGGGAATCGAACCCGGGGCATCTCGTTGGCAACGAGATATTTTACCACTAAACCAACGGCGCCTGCTCACGTCATTCTACCCCCTACGTCAAAAATCAACACAAACAAACAACAGCCTCCTCACGGCACACACCGCACCGGCAACTGTCACTCACAACATCCCGACGAGTCGAATCCGTTTCGCGGCAAAATGACGGCGTGTTTGCAGTCGACAAGGAATAGCAGCTCTACATACCGCAGCTATCGCCTGTCAGTCGTCAACGACGTCTAAAGACTCCATCAAGTGGTGTAACAGCTGCTACGGTGTACATGAAGCTCTCAATAGTCAGCAATCAAGACAGCAGTAAAGAGAATGCGCCGTCCGGGAATCGAACCCGGGGCATCTCGTTGGCAACGAGATATTTTACCACTAAACCAACGGCGCCTGCTCACGTCATTCTACCCTCTGTCAAAAATCAACACAAACAAACAACAGCCTCCTCACGGCACACACCGTACCGGCAACTGTCACTCACAACATCCCGACGAGTCGAATCCGTTTCGCGGCAAAATGAAGACGTGTTTGCAGTCGACAAGGAATAGCAGCTTTACATACCGCAGCTATCGCCTGTCAGTCGTCAACGACGCTCTAAAGACTCCATCAAGTGGTATAACAGCTGCTACGGTGTACATGAAGCTCTCAATAGTCAGCAATCAAGACAGCAGTAAAAGGAATGGCCGTCCGGGAATCGAACGGGGCATCTCGTTGGCAACGAGATATTTTACCACTAAACCAACGGCGCCTGCTCCACGTCATTCTACCCCCTCTGTCAAAATCAATACAAACAAACAACAGCCTCCTCAAGGCACACACCGTAAACGGCAACTGTCACTCCACAACATCCCGACGAGTCGAATCCGTTTCGAGGCAAAATGACGGCGTGTTTGCAGTCGGATAAGTGAATAGCAGCTCTACATAACCGCAGCTATCGCCTGTCAGGTCGTCAACGACGTCCAAAAAGACTCCATCGGCGGTGGTAACAGCTGCTGCAGTAGTATAGTGGAAGCTCCCTCCAATAGTCAGCAATCAAGACAGCAGGTAAGAGGAATGCGCCGTCCGGGAATCAGAACCGGGGCATCTCGTTGGCAACGAGATATTTTACCACTAAACCAACAGCGCCTGCTCCGTCATTCTACCCCCTCTATCAAAAATCAACACAAACAAACAACAGCCTCCTACGGCACACATCGTACCGGCAACTGTCACTCACAACATCCCGACGAGTCGAATCCGTTTCGCGGCAAAATGAAGACGTGTTTGCAGTCGATCAAGGAATAGCAGCTCTATATACCGCAGCTATCGCCTGTCAGTCGTCAACGACTCCTGAAAGACTCCATCAAGTGGTGCAACAGCTGCTACGGTGTACATAGGCTTTCAAGTAGTCTGCAATCAGGACAGCAGTAAAAGAGAATGCGCCGTCCGGGAATCGAACCCGGGGCATCTCGTTGGGCAAGGTGATATTTTACCACTAAACCAACGGCGCCTGCTCACGTCATTCTACCCCCTCTGTCAAAAATCAACACAGACAAACAACAGCCTCCTCACGGTAGACACGTACGGTAAATGGTGCGAACTGTCACTCACAACATCCCGATAAGTCGGATCCCGTTTCGCCGGCCAAATGACGACGTGTTTGCAGTCGATAAGGAATGAAGCTACTTTACAACCGAAGCTATCGCCTGTTGGGCGCCAACAAATCAAAAAGACCCATCAAGTGGTATAACAGCTGCTACGGTGTACATGAAGCTCTCAATAGTCAGCAATCAAGACAGCAGTAATGGGAATGCGCCGTCCGGGAATCGAACCCGGGGCATCTCGTTGGCAACGAGATATTTTACCACTAAACCAACGGCGCCTGCTCACGTCATTCTACCCCCTCTGTCAAAAATCAACACAAACAAACAACAGCCTCCTCACGGCATGCATCGTACCGGCAACTGTCACTCACAACATCCCGACGAGTCGAATCCGTTTCGCGGCAAAATGACGGCGTGTTTGCAGTCGACAAGGAATAGCAGCTCTACATACCGCAGCTATCGCCTGTCAGTCGTCAACGACGTCTAAAGACTCCATCAAGTGGTGTAACAGCTGCTACGGTGTACATGAAGCTCTCAATAGTCAGCAATCAAGACAGCAGTAAAGAGAATGCGCCGTCCGGGAATCGAACCCGGGGCATCTCGTTGGCAACGAGATATTTTACCACTAAACCAACGGCGCCTGCTCACGTCATTCTACCCCTCTGTCAAAAATCAACACAAACAAACAACAGCCTCCTCACGGCATACATCGTACCGGCAACTGTCACTCACAACATCCCGACGAGTCGAATCCGTTTCGCGGCAAAATGAAGACGTGTTTGCAGTCGACAAGGAATATCAGCTTAACATACTGCAGCTATCGCCTGTCAGTCGTCATCGAAGACCTAAAGTGGTATAACAGTCGTCAACGACAATAGTCTGCGGTGTACACAAAAGTTCTCAGTAGTCAGCAATCAAGACAGCAGTAAAAGAGAATGCGCCGTCCGGGAATCGAAGCGGGGCACCTCGTTGGCAACGAGGTATTTTTACCACTAAACCAACGGCGCCTGCTCACGTCATTCTGCCCCTCTCTGTCAAAAATCAACACAAACAAACAACAGCCTCCTCACGGCACACACCGCACCGGCAACTGTCACTCACAACATCCCGACGAGTCGAATCCGTTTCGCGGCAAAATGAAGACGTGTTTGCAGTCGACAAGGGAATAGCAGCTCTACATACGCAGCCCCTATCGCCTGTCAGTCGTCAACGACGTCTAAAGACTCCATCAAGTGGTATAACAGCTGCTACGGTGTGCACAAAAGTTCTCTGTAGTCAGCAATCAAGACAGCAGTAAAAGAGAATGCGCCGTCCGGGAATCGAACCCGGGGCATCTGTGTGGTAACGGATATTTTACCACTAAACCAACGGCGCCTGCTCACGTCATTCTACCCCCTCTGTCAAAAATCAACACAAACAAACAACAGCCTCCTCACGGCACACACCGTACCGGCAACTGTCACTCACAACATCCCGACGAGTCGAATCCGGTTTCGTGGCAAAATGACGGCGTGTTTGCAGTCGACAAGGAATAGCAGCTTTACATACCGCAGCTATCGCCTGTCAGTTGTCAACGACGTCTAAAGACTTCATCAAGGGGTAGAACAGCTGTTACGGTGTACATGAAGCTTTCAATACTGTGAGCAATCAAGACAGCAGTAAAAGAGAATGGTGCCGTCCGGGAATCGAACACGGGGCATCTCGTTGGCAACGAGATATTGGTTACCCCAAACCAACGGCGCCTGCTCACGCCATTCTACCCCTATGTCAAAAATCAACACAAACAAACAACAGCCTCCTCCGATACACACCGCACCGGCAACTGGTCACTCACAACATCCCGACGAGTTTTAGTCCGGTTCGCGGCAAAATGACGGCGTGTTTGGTAGCTCGACTTAGGAATAGTAGCTTCACATACCGCGGAGCTATCGCCTGCGAGTCGTCAACGACGCTCCCAAGACTTAGTCATCAAGCGGTAGAACAGCTGCTATTACGGTGTGTACATGAAGCTCTCATAGTGTAGTCATGCAATCAAGATAGCAGTAAAAGAGAATGCGCCGTCCGGGGAATCGACCCTGGGGCATCTCAAGCTGGCAACGAGATATTTTACCACTAAACCAACGGCGCCTGCTCACATCATTCTACCCTCTGTCAAAAAATCAACACAAACAAATATACAGCCCCTCCTCACGGCAGCCGCATCGTACTGGGCAACTGTCACTTACAACATCCCGACGAGTCGAATCCGTTTCGCGGCAAAATGAAGACGCGTTTGCAGTCGACAAGGAATATCAGCTTTACATACCGCAGCTATCGCCTGTCAGTCGTCAACGACGTCTAAAGACTCCATCAAGTGGTGTAACAGCTGCTACGGGTGTACATGAAGCTTTCAATAGTCAGCAATCAAGACAGCAGTAAAAGAGAATGCGCCGTCCGGGAATCGAACCCGGGGGGCATCTCTGCTTGGCAACGAGATATTTTACCACTAAACCAACGGCGCCTGCTCACGTCATTCTACCCCCTGTCAAATATCAACACAAACACAACAGCCTCCTCACGGCACACACCCCGTACGGGCAACTGTCACTCACAACATCCTGACGAGTCGAACCGCTTTATGGGCAAAAAATGAAGACGGGTTTGGTAGTCGACAAGGAATAGCAGCTTTACATACCGCAGCTATCGCCTGTCAGTCGTCAACGACGTCCAAAGACTTCATCAAGTGGTATAACAGCAGCTATGGTGTACCAAAAAGCTCTCTGTAGTCAGCAATCAAGACAGCAGTAAAAGGGAATGCGCCGTCCGGGAATCGAACCCGGGGCATCTCGTTGGCAACGAGATATTTTACGACTAAACCAACGGCGCCTGCTCACGTCATTCTACCCCTCTGTCAAAACATCAACACAAACAAACAACAGCCTCCTCACGGCATACATCGTACCGGCAACTGTCACTCACAACATCCCGACGAGTCGAATCCGTTTTGTGGCAAAATGAAGGCGTGTTTGCAGTCGACAAGGAATAGCAGCTTTACATACCGCAGCTATCGCCTGTCAGTCGTCAACGATGTCTAAAGACTCCATCAAGTGGTATAACAGCTGCTGCGGTGTACATGAAGCTCTCAATAGTCAGCAATCAAGACAGCAGTAAAAGAGAATGCGCCGTCCGGGAATCGAACCCGGGGCATCTCGTTGGCAACGAGATATTTTACCACCTAAAACCAACGGCGCCTGCTCACGTCATTCTACCCCCTCTGTCAAAAAATCAACACAAATAAACAGCAGCCTCCTCACGGCACACACCGTACCGGCAACTGTCACTACAACATCCCGACGAGTCGAATCCGTTTCGCGGCAAAATGAAGACGTGTTTGCAGTCGACAAGGAATAGCAGCTTCACATACCGCAGCTATCGCCTGTCAGTCGTCAACGACGTCTAAAGACTCCATCAAGTGGTATAACAGCTGCTACGGTGTACCACAAAGCTCTCTGTAGTCAGCAATCAAGACAGCAGTAAAAGAGAATGCGCCGTCCGGGAATCGAACCCGGGGCATCTCGTTGGCAACGAGATATTTTACCACTAAACCAACGGCGCCTGCTCACGTCATTCTACCCCCTACGTCAAAAATCAACACAAACAGACAACAGCCTCCCTCACGGCACACACCGCACCGGTAACTGTCACTCACAACATCCTGACGAGTCGAATCCGTTTCTGGCGGCAAAATGACGGCGTGTTTGGTAGCCGACTAGGAATAGCAGCCCTACATACCGCAGCTATCGCCTATAAGTCGTCAACGACGTCTAAAGACTTCATCAGGCGGTAGAACAGCTGCTACGGGTGTACATGAAGCTCCTCAATAGTCAGCAATCAAGACAGCAGTAAAAGAGAATGCGCCGTCCAGGAATCGAACCCTGGGCATCCCGTTGGCAACGAGATATTTTACCACTAAACCAACGGCGCCTAAAGTTCCACCAATATACCCCCTACGTCTAAAAAATCAACACAAACAAACAACAGCCTCCCCTCACGGCACACACCGCACCGGCAACTGTCACTCACAACATCCCGACGAGTCGAATCCGTTTCGCGGCAAAATGACGGCGTGTTTGCAGTCGACAAGGAATAGTAGCTCCACATACCGCAGCTATCGCCTGTCAGTCGTCAATGACGTCTAAAGACTCTGGCATCAAGCGGTAGAACAGCTGCTATGGTATACAGAGGCGAAGCCCCCATGTAGTCAGCAATCAAGACAGCAGTAAAAGAGAATGCGCCGTCCGGGAATCGAACCCGGGGCATCTCGTTGGCAACGAGATATTTTACCACTAAAACCTCAATGGCGCCTGCTCACGCCATTCTACCCCTCTGTCAAATATCAACACAAACAAACAACAGCCTCCTCACGGCACACACATCGTACGGGCAACTGTCACTCACAACATCCCGACGAGTCGAATCCGTTTTGTGGCAAAATGAAGACGTGTTTGCAGTCGACAAGGAATAGCAGCTTTACATACCGCAGCTATCGCCTGTCAGTCGTCAACGACGTCTAAAGACTCCATCAAGTGGTGGTATAACAGCTGCTGCGGTGTACATGAAGCTCTCAATAGTCAGCAATCAAGACAGCAGTAAAAGAGAATGCGCCGTCCGGGAATCGAACCCGGGGCATCTCGTTGGCAACGAGATATTTTACCACTAAACCAACGGCGCCTGCTCACGTCATTCTACCCCTCTGTCAAAATCAACACAAACAAACAACAGCCTCCTCACGGCACACATCGTACCGGCAACTGTCACTCACAACATCCCGACGAGTCGAATCCGTTTCGCGGCAAAATGACGGCGTGTTTGCAGTCGATAAGGGAACAGCAGCTCTACATACCGCAGCTATCGCCTGTCAGTCGTCAACGACGTCTAAAGACTTCATCAAGCGGTAGAACAGCTGCTGCAGTGTACATGAAGCTCTCTGTAGTCAGCAATCAAGACAGCAGTAAAAGAGAATGCGCCGTCCGGGAATCGAACCCGGGGCATCTCGTTGGGAACGAGATATTTTACCACTAAACCAACGGCGCCTGCTCACGTCATTCTACCCCCTCTGTCAAAAATCAACACAAACAAACAACAGCCTCCTCACGGCACACATCGTACCGGCAACTGTCACTCACAACATCCCGACGAGTCGAATCCGTTTCGCGGCAAAATGACGGCGTGTTTGCAGTCAACAAGGAATAGCAGCTTAACATACCGCAGCTATCGCCTGTCAGTCGTCAACGACGTCTAAAGACTCCATCAAGTGGTGTAACAGCTGCTGCGGTGTACATGAAGCTTTCAATAGTCAGCAATCAAGACAGCAGTAAAAGAGAATGCGCCGTCCGGGAATCGAACCCGGGGCATCTCGTTGGCAACGAGATATTTTACCACTAAACCAACGGCGCCTGCTCACGTCATTCTACCCCCTCTGTCAAAAATCAACACAAACAAACAACAGCCTCCTCACGGCACACACCGTACCGGCAACTGTCACTCACAACATCCCGACGAGTCGAATCCGTTTCGCGGCAAAATGAAGACGTGTTTGCAGTCGACAAGGAATAGCAGCTCTACATACCGCAGCTATCGCCTGTCAGTCGTCAACGACGTCTAAAGACTCCATCAAGTGGTATAACAGCTGCTACGGTGTACATGAAGCTTCTCTGTAGTCAGCAATCAAGACAGCAGTAAAAGAGAATGCGCCGTCCGGGAATCGAACCCGGGGCATCTCGTTGGCAACGAGATATTTTTACCACTAAACCAACGGCGCCTGCTCACGTCATTCTACCCCTCTGTCTTAAAATCAACACAAACAAACAACAGCCTCCTCACGGCACACACCGTACCGGCAACTGTCACTCACAACATCCCGACGAGTCGAATCCGTTTTGTGGCAAAATGAAGACGTGTTTGCAGTCGATAAAGGAATAGCAGCTTTACATACCGCAGCTATCGCCTGTCAGTCGTCAACGACGTCTAAAGACTCCATCAAGCGGTATAACAGCTGCTGCAGTGTACATGAAGCCTCAATAGTCAGCAATCAAGACAGCAGTAAAAGAGGAATGCGCCGTCCGGGAATCGAACCCGGGGCATCTCGTTGGCAACGTGAGATATTTTACCACTAAACCAACGGCGCCTGCTCACGTCATTCTACCCCTCTGTCAAAAATCAACACAAACAAACAACAGCCTCCTCACGGCACACATCGTACCGGCAACTGTCACTCACAACATCCTGACGAGTCGAATCCAGTTTCGCGGCAAAATTGAAGGCGTGTTTGCAGTCGACAAGGAATAGCAGCTTTACATACCGCAGCTATCGTCTGTCAGTCGTCAACGACGTCTAAAAGACTCCATCAAGTGGTAACAGCTGCGCGGTGTACATGAAGCTTTCAATAGTCAGCAATCAAGACAGCAGTAAAAGAGAATGCGCCGTCCGGGAATCGAACCCGGGGCATCTCGTTGGCAACGAGATATTTTACCACTAAACCAACGGCGCCTGCTCACGTCATTCTACCCCTCTGTCAAAAATCAACACAAACAAACAACAGCCTCCTCACGGCACACATCGTACCGGCAACTGTCACTCACAACATCCCGACGAGTCGAATCCGTTTCGCGGCAAAATGAAGGCGTGTTTGCAGTCGACAAGGAATAGCAGCTTTACATACCGCAGCTATCGCCTGTCAGTCGTCAACGACGTCCAAAGACTCCATCAAGTGGTATAACAGCTGCTGCGGTGTACATGAAGCTCTCAATAGTCAGCAATCAAGACAGCAGTAAAAGAGAATGCGCCGTCCGGGAATCGAACCCGGGGCATCTCGTTGGCAACGAGATATTTTACCACTAAAACCAACGGCGCCTGCTCACGTCATTCTACCCCCTCTGTCAAAAATCAACACAAACAAACAACAGCCCCCTCCTCACGGCATACATCGTACCGGCAACTGTCACTCACAACATCCCGACGAGTCGAATCCGTTTCGCGGCAAAATGAAGACGTGTTTGCAGTCGACAAGGAATATCAGCTTTACATACCGCAGCTATCGCCTGTCAGTCGTCAACGACGTCTAAAGACTCCATCAAGTGGTATAACAGCTGCTACGGTGTACATGAAGCTCTCAATAGTCAGCAATCAAGACAGCAGTAAAAGAGAATGCGCCGTCCGGGAATCGAACCCCGGGGCATCTCGTTGGGCAACGAGATATTTTACCACTAAACCAACGGCGCCTGCTCACGTCATTCTACCCCCTCTGTCAAAATCAACACAAACAAACAACAGCCTCCTCACGGCACACACCGTACCGGCAACTGTCACTCACAACATCCCGACGAGTCGAATCCGTTTCGCGGCAAAATGAAGACGTGTTTGCAGTCGACAAGGAATAGCAGCTTTACATACCGCAGCTATCGCCTGTCAGTCGTCAACGACGTCTAAAGACTCCATCAAGTGGTATAACAGCTGCTGCGGTGTACATGAAGCTCTCAATAGTCAGCAATCAAGACAGCAGTAAAAGAGAATGCGCCGTCCGGGAATCGAACCCGGGGCATCTCGTTGGCAACGAGATATTTTACCACTAAACCAACGGCGCCTGCCCACGCCATTCTGCCCCCTCTGTCAAAAATCAACACAAACAAACAACAGCCTCCTCACGGCATACATCGTACCGGCAACTGTCACTCACAACATCCCGACGAGTCGAATCCGTTTCGCGGCAAAATGAAGACGTGTTTGCAGTCGACAAGGAATATCAGCTTTACATACCGCAGCTATCGCCTGTCAGTCGTCAACGACGTCTAAAGACTCCATCAAGTGGTATAACAGCTGCTGCGGTGTACATGAAGCTCTCAATAGTCAGCAATCAAGACAGCAGTAAAAGAGAATGCGCCGTCCGGGAATCGAACCCGGGGCATCTCGTTGGCAACGAGATATTTTACCACTAAACCAACGGCGCCTGCTCACGTCATTCTACCCCCTCTGTCAAAAATCAACACAAACAAACAACAGCCTCCTCACGGCACACATCGTACCGGCAACTGTCACTCACAACATCCCGACGAGTCGAATCCGTTTCGCGGCAAAATGAAGGCGTGTTTGCAGTCGACAAGGAATAGCAGCTTTACATACCGCAGCTATCGCCTGTCAGTCGTCAACGACGTCTAAAGACTCCATCAAGTGGTATAACAGCTGCTGCGGTGTACATGAAGCTCTCAATAGTCAGCAATCAAGACAGCAGTAAAAGAGAATGCGCCGTCCGGGAATCGAACCCGGGGCATCTCGTTGGCAACGAGATATTTTACCACTAAACCAACGGCGCCTGCTCACGTCATTCTACCCCCTCTGTCAAAAATCAACACAAACAAACAACAGCCTCCTCACGGCACACATCGTACCGGCAACTGTCACTCACAACATCCCGACGAGTCGAATCCGTTTCGCGGCAAAATGACGGCGTGTTTGCAGTCGACAAGGAATAGCAGCTTTACATACCGCAGCTATCGCCTGTCAGTCGTCAACGACGTCTAAAGACTCCATCAAGTGGTATAACAGCTGCTGCGGTGTACATGAAGCTCTCAATAGTCAGCAATCAAGACAGCAGTAAAAGAGAATGCGCCGTCCGGGAATCGAACCCGGGGCATCTCGTTGGCAACGAGATATTTTACCACTAAACCAACGGCGCCTGCTCACGTCATTCTACCCCCTCTGTCAAAAATCAACACAAACAAACAACAGCCTCCTCACGGCACACACCGTACCGGCAACTGTCACTCACAACATCCCGACGAGTCGAATCCGTTTTGTGGCAAAATGACGGCGTGTTTGCAGTCGACAAGGAATAGCAGCTTTACATACCGCAGCTATCGCCTGTCAGTCGTCAACGACGTCTAAAGACTCCATCAAGTGGTATAACAGCTGCTGCGGTGTACATGAAGCTCTCAATAGTCAGCAATCAAGACAGCAGTAAAAGAGAATGCGCCGTCCGGGAATCGAACCCGGGGCATCTCGTTGGCAACGAGATATTTTACCACTAAACCAACGGCGCCTGCTCACGTCATTCTACCCCCTCTGTCAAAAATCAACACAAACAAACAACAGCCTCCTCACGGCACACACCGTACCGGCAACTGTCACTCACAACATCCCGACGAGTCGAATCCGTTTCGCGGCAAAATGAAGACGTGTTTGCAGTCGACAAGGAATAGCAGCTTTACATACCGCAGCTATCGCCTGTCAGTCGTCAACGACGTCTAAAGACTCCATCAAGTGGTATAACAGCTGCTGCGGTGTACATGAAGCTCTCAATAGTCAGCAATCAAGACAGCAGTAAAAGAGAATGCGCCGTCCGGGAATCGAACCCGGGGCATCTCGTTGGCAACGAGATATTTTACCACTAAACCAACGGCGCCTGCTCACGTCATTCTACCCCCTCTGTCAAAAATCAACACAAACAAACAACAGCCTCCTCACGGCACACACCGTACCGGCAACTGTCACTCACAACATCCCGACGAGTCGAATCCGTTTCGCGGCAAAATGAAGACGTGTTTGCAGTCGACAAGGAATAGCAGCTTTACATACCGCAGCTATCGCCTGTCAGTCGTCAACGACGTCTAAAGACTCCATCAAGTGGTATAACAGCTGCTGCGGTGTACATGAAGCTCTCAATAGTCAGCAATCAAGACAGCAGTAAAAGAGAATGCGCCGTCCGGGAATCGAACCCGGGGCATCTCGTTGGCAACGAGATATTTTACCACTAAACCAACGGCGCCTGCTCACGTCATTCTACCCCCTCTGTCAAAAATCAACACAAACAAACAACAGCCTCCTCACGGCATACATCGTACCGGCAACTGTCACTCACAACATCCCGACGAGTCGAATCCGTTTCGCGGCAAAATGACGGCGTGTTTGCAGTCGACAAGGAATAGCAGCTTTACATACCGCAGCTATCGCCTGTCAGTCGTCAACGACGTCTAAAGACTCCATCAAGTGGTATAACAGCTGCTGCGGTGTACATGAAGCTCTCAATAGTCAGCAATCAAGACAGCAGTAAAAGAGAATGCGCCGTCCGGGAATCGAACCCGGGGCATCTCGTTGGCAACGAGATATTTTACCACTAAACCAACGGCGCCTGCTCACGTCATTCTACCCCCTCTGTCAAAAATCAACACAAACAAACAACAGCCTCCTCACGGCATACACCGTACCGGCAACTGTCACTCACAACATCCCGACGAGTCGAATCCGTTTCGCGGCAAAATGAAGACGTGTTTGCAGTCGACAAGGAATAGCAGCTTTACATACCGCAGCTATCGCCTGTCAGTCGTCAACGACGTCTAAAGACTCCATCAAGTGGTATAACAGCTGCTACGGTGTACATGAAGCTCTCAATAGTCAGCAATCAAGACAGCAGTAAAAGAGAATGCGCCGTCCGGGAATCGAACCCGGGGCATCTCGTTGGCAACGAGATATTTTACCACTAAACCAACGGCGCCTGCTCACGTCATTCTACCCCCTCTGTCAAAAATCAACACAAACAAACAACAGCCTCCTCACGGCATACATCGTACCGGCAACTGTCACTCACAACATCCCGACGAGTCGAATCCGTTTCGCGGCAAAATGAAGACGTGTTTGCAGTCGACAAGGAATAGCAGCTTTACATACCGCAGCTATCGCCTGTCAGTCGTCAACGACGTCTAAAGACTCCATCAAGTGGTATAACAGCTGCTACGGTGTACATGAAGCTCTCAATAGTCAGCAATCAAGACAGCAGTAAAAGAGAATGCGCCGTCCGGGAATCGAACCCGGGGCATCTCGTTGGCAACGAGATATTTTACCACTAAACCAACGGCGCCTGCTCACGTCATTCTACCCCCTCTGTCAAAAATCAACACAAACAAACAACAGCCTCCTCACGGCACACATCGTACCGGCAACTGTCACTCACAACATCCCGACGAGTCGAATCCGTTTCGCGGCAAAATGAAGACGTGTTTGCAGTCGACAAGGAATAGCAGCTTTACATACCGCAGCTATCGCCTGTCAGTCGTCAACGACGTCTAAAGACTCCATCAAGTGGTATAACAGCTGCTGCGGTGTACATGAAGCTCTCAATAGTCAGCAATCAAGACAGCAGTAAAAGAGAATGCGCCGTCCGGGAATCGAACCCGGGGCATCTCGTTGGCAACGAGATATTTTACCACTAAACCAACGGCGCCTGCTCACGTCATTCTACCCCCTCTGTCAAAAATCAACACAAACAAACAACAGCCTCCTCACGGCACACATCGTACCGGCAACTGTCACTCACAACATCCCGACGAGTCGAATCCGTTTCGCGGCAAAATGAAGACGTGTTTGCAGTCGACAAGGAATAGCAGCTTTACATACCGCAGCTATCGCCTGTCAGTCGTCAACGACGTCTAAAGACTCCATCAAGTGGTATAACAGCTGCTGCGGTGTACATGAAGCTCTCAATAGTCAGCAATCAAGACAGCAGTAAAAGAGAATGCGCCGTCCGGGAATCGAACCCGGGGCATCTCGTTGGCAACGAGATATTTTACCACTAAACCAACGGCGCCTGCTCACGTCATTCTACCCCCTCTGTCAAAAATCAACACAAACAAACAACAGCCTCCTCACGGCATCACATCGTACCGGCAACTGTCACTCACAACATCCCGACGAGTCGAATCCGTTTCGCGGCAAAATGACGGCGTGTTTGCAGTCGACAAGGAATAGCAGCTTTACATACCGCAGCTATCGCCTGTCAGTCGTCAACGACGTCTAAAGACTCCATCAAGTGGTATAACAGCTGCTGCGGTGTACATGAAGCTCTCAATAGTCAGCAATCAAGACAGCAGTAAAAGAGAATGCGCCGTCCGGGAATCGAACCCGGGGCATCTCGTTGGCAACGAGATATTTTACCACTAAACCAACGGCGCCTGCTCACGTCATTCTACCCCCTCTGTCAAAAATCAACACAAACAAACAACAGCCTCCTCACGGCACACACCGTACCGGCAACTGTCACTCACAACATCCCGACGAGTCGAATCCGTTTCGCGGCAAAATGAAGACGTGTTTGCAGTCGACAAGGAATAGCAGCTTTACATACCGCAGCTATCGCCTGTCAGTCGTCAACGACGTCTAAAGACTCCATCAAGTGGTATAACAGCTGCTACGGTGTACATGAAGCTCTCAATAGTCAGCAATCAAGACAGCAGTAAAAGAGAATGCGCCGTCCGGGAATCGAACCCGGGGCATCTCGTTGGCAACGAGATATTTTACCACTAAACCAACGGCGCCTGCTCACGTCATTCTACCCCCTCTGTCAAAAATCAACACAAACAAACAACAGCCTCCTCACGGCATGCATCGTACCGGCAACTGTCACTCACAACATCCCGACGAGTCGAATCCGTTTCGCGGCAAAATGAAGACGTGTTTGCAGTCGACAAGGAATAGCAGCTTTACATACCGCAGCTATCGCCTGTCAGTCGTCAACGACGTCTAAAGACTCCATCAAGTGGTATAACAGCTGCTGCGGTGTACATGAAGCTCTCAATAGTCAGCAATCAAGACAGCAGTAAAAGAGAATGCGCCGTCCGGGAATCGAACCCGGGGCATCTCGTTGGCAACGAGATATTTTACCACTAAACCAACGGCGCCTGCTCACGTCATTCTACCCCCTCTGTCAAAAATCAACACAAACAAACAACAGCCTCCTCACGGCATACATCGTACCGGCAACTGTCACTCACAACATCCCGACGAGTCGAATCCGTTTCGCGGCAAAATGAAGACGTGTTTGCAGTCGACAAGGAATAGCAGCTTTACATACCGCAGCTATCGCCTGTCAGTCGTCAACGACGTCTAAAGACTCCATCAAGTGGTATAACAGCTGCTGCGGTGTACATGAAGCTCTCAATAGTCAGCAATCAAGACAGCAGTAAAAGAGAATGCGCCGTCCGGGAATCGAACCCGGGGCATCTCGTTGGCAACGAGATATTTTACCACTAAACCAACGGCGCCTGCTCACGTCATTCTACCCCCTCTGTCAAAAATCAACACAAACAAACAACAGCCTCCCTCACGGCACACACCGTACCGGCAACTGTCACTCACAACATCCCGACGAGTCGAATCCGTTTCGCGGCAAAATGAAGACGTGTTTGCAGTCGACAAGGAATAGCAGCTTTACATACCGCAGCTATCGCCTGTCAGTCGTCAACGACGTCTAAAGACTCCATCAAGTGGTATAACAGCTGCTACGGTGTACATGAAGCTCTCAATAGTCAGCAATCAAGACAGCAGTAAAAGAGAATGCGCCGTCCGGGAATCGAACCCGGGGCATCTCGTTGGCAACGAGATATTTTACCACTAAACCAACGGCGCCTGCTCACGTCATTCTACCTCCTACGTCAAAAATCAACACAAACAAACAACAGCCTCCTCACGGCATACATCGTACCGGCAACTGTCACTCACAACATCCCGACGAGTCGAATCCGTTTCGCGGCAAAATGAAGACGTGTTTGCAGTCGACAAGGAATAGCAGCTCTACATACCGCAGCTATCGCCTGTCAGTCGTCAACGACGTCTAAAGACTCCATCAAGTGGTATAACAGCTGCTACGGTGTACATGAAGCTTTCAATAGTCAGCAATCAAGACAGCAGTAAAAGAGAATGCGCCGTCCGGGAACCGAACCCGGGGCATCTCGTTGGCAACGAGATATTTTACCACTAAACCAACGGCGCCTGCTCACGTCATTCTGCCCCCTCTGTCAAAAATCAACACAAACAAACAACAGCCTCCTCACGGCATACATCGTACCGGCAACTGTCACTCACAACATCCCGACGAGTCGAATCCGTTTCGCGGCAAAATGAAGACGTGTTTGCAGTCGACAAGGAATAGCAGCTTTACATACCGCAGCTATCGCCTGTCAGTCGTCAACGACGTCTAAAGACTCCATCAAGTGGTATAACAGCTGCTACGGTGTACATGAAGCTCTCAATAGTCAGCAATCAAGACAGCAGTAAAAGAGAATGCGCCGTCCGGGAATCGAACCCGGGGCATCTCGTTGGCAACGAGATATTTTACCACTAAACCAACGGCGCCTGCTCACGTCATTCTACCCCCTCTGTCAAAAATCAACACAAACAAACAACAGCCTCCTCACGGCATACATCGTACCGGCAACTGTCACTCACAACATCCCGACGAGTCGAATCCGTTTCGCGGCAAAATGAAGACGTGTTTGCAGTCGACAAGGAATAGCAGCTTTACATACCGCAGCTATCGCCTGTCAGTCGTCAACGACGTCTAAAGACTCCATCAAGTGGTATAACAGCTGCTACGGTGTACATGAAGCTCTCAATAGTCAGCAATCAAGACAGCAGTAAAAGAGAATGCGCCGTCCGGGAATCGAACCCGGGGCATCTCGTTGGCAACGAGATATTTTACCACTAAACCAACGGCGCCTGCTCACGTCATTCTACCCCCTCTGTCAAAAATCAACACAAACAAACAACAGCCTCCTCACGGCATACATCGTACCGGCAACTGTCACTCACAACATCCCGACGAGTCGAATCCGTTTCGCGGCAAAATGAAGACGTGTTTGCAGTCGACAAGGAATAGCAGCTTTACATACCGCAGCTATCGCCTGTCAGTCGTCAACGACGTCTAAAGACTCCATCAAGTGGTATAACAGCTGCTACGGTGTACTTACATGAAGCTCTCCAATAGTCAGCAATCAAGACAGCAGTAAAAGAGAATGCGCCGTCCGGGAATCGAACCCGGGGCATCTCGTTGGCAACGAGATATTTTACCACTAAACCAACGGCGCCTGCTCACGTCATTCTACCCCCTCTGTCAAAAATCAACACAAACAAACAACAGCCTCCTCACGGCACACACCGTACCGGCAACTGTCACTCACAACATCCCGACGAGTCGAATCCGTTTCGCGGCAAAATGAAGACGTGTTTGCAGTCGACAAGGAATAGCAGCTTTACATACCGCAGCTATCGCCTGTCAGTCGTCAACGACGTCTAAAGACTCCATCAAGTGGTATAACAGCTGCTACGGTGTACATGAAGCTCTCAATAGTCAGCAATCAAGACAGCAGTAAAAGAGAATGCGCCGTCCGGGAATCGAACCCGGGGCATCTCGTTGGCAACGAGATATTTTACCACTAAACCAACGGCGCCTGCTCACGTCATTCTACCCCCTCTGTCAAAAATCAACACAAACAAACAACAGCCTCCTCACGGCATACATCGTACCGGCAACTGTCACTCACAACATCCCGACGAGTCGAATCCGTTTCGCGGCAAAATGAAGGCGTGTTTGCAGTCGACAAGGAATAGCAGCTTTACATACCGCAGCTATCGCCTGTCAGTCGTCAACGACGTCTAAAGACTCCATCAAGTGGTATAACAGCTGCTGCGGTGTACATGAAGCTCTCAATAGTCAGCAATCAAGACAGCAGTAAAAGAGAATGCGCCGTCCGGGAATCGAACCCGGGGCATCTCGTTGGCAACGAGATATTTTACCACTAAACCAACGGCGCCTGCTCACGTCATTCTACCCCCTCTGTCAAAAATCAACACAAACAAACAACAGCCTCCTCACGGCACACACCGTACCGGCAACTGTCACTCACAACATCCCGACGAGTCGAATCCGTTTCGCGGCAAAATGAAGACGTGTTTGCAGTCGACAAGGAATAGCAGCTTTACATACCGCAGCTATCGCCTGTCAGTCGTCAACGACGTCTAAAGACTCCATCAAGTGGTATAACAGCTGCTACGGTGTACATGAAGCTCTCAATAGTCAGCAATCAAGACAGCAGTAAAAGAGAATGCGCCGTCCGGGAATCGAACCCGGGGCATCTCGTTGGCAACGAGATATTTTACCACTAAACCAACGGCGCCTGCTCACGTCATTCTACCCCCTCTGTCAAAAATCAACACAAACAAACAACAGCCTCCTCACGGCACACATCGTACCGGCAACTGTCACTCACAACATCCCGACGAGTCGAATCCGTTTCGCGGCAAAATGAAGACGTGTTTGCAGTCGACAAGGAATAGCAGCTTTACATACCGCAGCTATCGCCTGTCAGTCGTCAACGACGTCTAAAGACTCCATCAAGTGGTATAACAGCTGCTACGGTGTACATGAAGCTCTCAATAGTCAGCAATCAAGACAGCAGTAAAAGAGAATGCGCCGTCCGGGAATCGAACCCGGGGCATCTCGTTGGCAACGAGATATTTTACCACTAAACCAACGGCGCCTGCTCACGTCATTCTACCCCCTCTGTCAAAAATCAACACAAACAAACAACAGCCTCCTCACGGCACACATCGTACCGGCAACTGTCACTCACAACATCCCGACGAGTCGAATCCGTTTCGCGGCAAAATGAAGACGTGTTTGCAGTCGACAAGGAATATCAGCTTTACATAGCGCAGCTATCGCCTGTCAGTCGTCAACGACGTCTAAAGACTCCATCAAGTGGTATAACAGCTGCTACGGTGTACACAAAGCTCTCAATAGTCAGCAATCAGGACAGCAGTAAAAGAGAATGCGCCGTCCGGGAATCGAACCCGGGGCATCTCGTTGGCAACGAGATATTTTACCACTAAACCAACGGCGCCTGCTCACGTCATTCTACCCCCTCTGTCAAAAATCAACACAAACAAACAACAGCCTCCTCACGGCACACACCGTACCGGCAACTGTCACTCACAACATCCCGACGAGTCGAATCCGTTTCGCGGCAAAATGAAGACGTGTTTGCAGTCGACAAGGAATAGCAGCTTTACATACCGCAGCTATCGCCTGTCAGTCGTCAACGACGTCTAAAGACTCCATCAAGTGGTATAACAGCTGCTACGGTGTACATGAAGCTCTCAATAGTCAGCAATCAAGACAGCAGTAAAAGAGAATGCGCCGTCCGGGAATCGAACCCGGGGCATCTCGTTGGCAACGAGATATTTTACCACTAAACCAACGGCGCCTGCTCACGTCATTCTACCCCCTCTGTCAAAAATCAACACAAACAAACAACAGCCTCCTCACGGCACACATCGTACCGGCAACTGTCACTCACAACATCCCGACGAGTCGAATCCGTTTCGCGGCAAAATGAAGACGTGTTTGCAGTCGACAAGGAATAGCAGCTCTACATACCGCAGCTATCGCCTGTCAGTCGTCAACGACGTCTAAAGACTCCATCAAGTGGTATAACAGCTGCTACGGTGTACATGAAGCTCTCAATAGTCAGCAATCAAGACAGCAGTAAAAGAGAATGCGCCGTCCGGGAATCGAACCCGGGGCATCTCGTTGGCAACGAGATATTTTACCACTAAACCAACGGCGCCTGCTCACGTCATTCTACCCCCTCTGTCAAAAATCAACACAAACAAACAACAGCCTCCTCACGGCACACACCGTACCGGCAACTGTCACTCACAACATCCCGACGAGTCGAATCCGTTTCGCGGCAAAATGAAGGCGTGTTTGCAGTCGACAAGGAATAGCAGCTTTACATACCGCAGCTATCGCCTGTCAGTCGTCAACGACGTCTAAAGACTCCATCAAGTGGTATAACAGCTGCTGCGGTGTACATGAAGCTCTCAATAGTCAGCAATCAAGACAGCAGTAAAAGAGAATGCGCCGTCCGGGAATCGAACCCGGGGCATCTCGTTGGCAACGAGATATTTTACCACTAAACCAACGGCGCCTGCTCACGTCATTCTACCCCCTCTGTCAAAAATCAACACAAACAAACAACAGCCTCCTCACGGCATACATCGTACCGGCAACTGTCACTCACAACATCCCGACGAGTCGAATCCGTTTCGCGGCAAAATGAAGACGTGTTTGCAGTCGACAAGGAATAGCAGCTTTACATACCGCAGCTATCGCCTGTCAGTCGTCAACGACGTCTAAAGACTCCATCAAGTGGTATAACAGCTGCTACGGTGTACATGAAGCTCTCAATAGTCAGCAATCAAGACAGCAGTAAAAGAGAATGCGCCGTCCGGGAATCGAACCCGGGGCATCTCGTTGGCAACGAGATATTTTACCACTAAACCAACGGCGCCTGCTCACGTCATTCTACCCCCTCTGTCAAAAATCAACACAAACAAACAACAGCCTCCTCACGGCACACATCGTACCGGCAACTGTCACTCACAACATCCCGACGAGTCGAATCCGTTTCGCGGCAAAATGAAGACGTGTTTGCAGTCGACAAGGAATAGCAGCTTTACATACCGCAGCTATCGCCTGTCAGTCGTCAACGACGTCTAAAGACTCCATCAAGTGGTATAACAGCTGCTACGGTGTACATGAAGCTTTCAATAGTCAGCAATCAAGACAGCAGTAAAAGAGAATGCGCCGTCCGGGAATCGAACCCGGGGCATCTCGTTGGCAACGAGATATTTTACCACTAAACCAACGGCGCCTGCTCACGTCATTCTACCCCCTCTGTCAAAAATCAACACAAACAAACAACAGCCTCCTCACGGCATACACCGTACCGGCAACTGTCACTCACAACATCCCGACGAGTCGAATCCGTTTCGCGGCAAAATGAAGACGTGTTTGCAGTCGACAAGGAATAGCAGCTTTACATACCGCAGCTATCGCCTGTCAGTCGTCAACGACGTCTAAAGACTCCATCAAGTGGTATAACAGCTGCTACGGTGTACATGAAGCTCTCAATAGTCAGCAATCAAGACAGCAGTAAAAGAGAATGCGCCGTCCGGGAATCGAACCCGGGGCATCTCGTTGGCAACGAGATATTTTACCACTAAACCAACGGCGCCTGCTCACGTCATTCTACCCCCTCTGTCAAAAATCAACACAAACAAACAACAGCCTCCTCACGGCATACATCGTACCGGCAACTGTCACTCACAACATCCCGACGAGTCGAATCCGTTTCGCGGCAAAATGAAGACGTGTTTGCAGTCGACAAGGAATAGCAGCTTTACATACCGCAGCTATCGCCTGTCAGTCGTCAACGACGTCTAAAGACTCCATCAAGTGGTATAACAGCTGCTGCGGTGTACATGAAGCTTCAATAGTCAGCAATCAAGACAGCAGTAAAAGAGAATGCGCCGTCCGGGAATCGAACCCGGGGCATCTCGTTGGCAACGAGATATTTTACCACTAAACCAACGGCGCCTGCTCACGTCATTCTACCCCCTCTGTCAAAAATCAACACAAACAAACAACAGCCTCCTCACGGCACACACCGTACCGGCAACTGTCACTCACAACATCCCGACGAGTCGAATCCGTTTCGCGGCAAAATGAAGGCGTGTTTGCAGTCGACAAGGAATAGCAGCTTTACATACCGCAGCTATCGCCTGTCAGTCGTCAACGACGTCTAAAGACTCCATCAAGTGGTATAACAGCTGCTGCGGTGTACATGAAGCTCTCAATAGTCAGCAATCAAGACAGCAGTAAAAGAGAATGCGCCGTCCGGGAATCGAACCCGGGGCATCTCGTTGGCAACGAGATATTTTACCACTAAACCAACGGCGCCTGCTCACGTCATTCTACCCCCTCTGTCAAAAATCAACACAAACAAACAACAGCCTCCTCACGGCACACACCGTACCGGCAACTGTCACTCACAACATCCCGACGAGTCGAATCCGTTTCGCGGCAAAATGAAGACGTGTTTGCAGTCGACAAGGAATAGCAGCTTTACATACCGCAGCTATCGCCTGTCAGTCGTCAACGACGTCTAAAGACTCCATCAAGTGGTATAACAGCTGCTGCGGTGTACATGAAGCTCTCAATAGTCAGCAATCAAGACAGCAGTAAAAGAGAATGCGCCGTCCGGGAATCGAACCCGGGGCATCTCGTTGGCAACGAGATATTTTACCACTAAACCAACGGCGCCTGCTCACGTCATTCTACCCCCTCTGTCAAAAATCAACACAAACAAACAACAGCCTCCTCACGGCACACATCGTACCGGCAACTGTCACTCACAACATCCCGACGAGTCGAATCCGTTTCGCGGCAAAATGAAGACGTGTTTGCAGTCGACAAGGAATAGCAGCTTTACATACCGCAGCTATCGCCTGTCAGTCGTCAACGACGTCTAAAGACTCCATCAAGTGGTATAACAGCTGCTGCGGTGTACATGAAGCTCTCAATAGTCAGCAATCAAGACAGCAGTAAAAGAGAATGCGCCGTCCGGGAATCGAACCCGGGGCATCTCGTTGGCAACGAGATATTTTACCACTAAACCAACGGCGCCTGCTCACGTCATTCTACCCCCTCTGTCAAAAATCAACACAAACAAACAACAGCCTCCTCACGGCATACATCGTACCGGCAACTGTCACTCACAACATCCCGACGAGTCGAATCCGTTTCGCGGCAAAATGAAGACGTGTTTGCAGTCGACAAGGAATAGCAGCTTTACATACCGCAGCTATCGCCTGTCAGTCGTCAACGACGTCTAAAGACTCCATCAAGTGGTATAACAGCTGCTACGGTGTACATGAAGCTCTCAATAGTCAGCAATCAAGACAGCAGTAAAAGAGAATGCGCCGTCCGGGAATCGAACCCGGGGCATCTCGTTGGCAACGAGATATTTTACCACTAAACCAACGGCGCCTGCTCACGTCATTCTACCCCCTCTGTCAAAAATCAACACAAACAAACAACAGCCTCCTCACGGCACACATCGTACCGGCAACTGTCACTCACAACATCCCGACGAGTCGAATCCGTTTCGCGGCAAAATGAAGACGTGTTTGCAGTCGACAAGGAATAGCAGCTTTACATACCGCAGCTATCGCCTGTCAGTCGTCAACGACGTCTAAAGACTCCATCAAGTGGTATAACAGCTGCTGCGGTGTACATGAAGCTCTCAATAGTCAGCAATCAAGACAGCAGTAAAAGAGAATGCGCCGTCCGGGAATCGAACCCGGGGCATCTCGTTGGCAACGAGATATTTTACCACTAAACCAACGGCGCCTGCTCACGTCATTCTACCCCCTCTGTCAAAAATCAACACAAACAAACAACAGCCTCCTCACGGCATACATCGTACCGGCAACTGTCACTCACAACATCCCGACGAGTCGAATCCGTTTCGCGGCAAAATGAAGACGTGTTTGCAGTCGACAAGGAATAGCAGCTTTACATACCGCAGCTATCGCCTGTCAGTCGTCAACGACGTCTAAAGACTCCATCAAGTGGTATAACAGCTGCTGCGGTGTACATGAAGCTCTCAATAGTCAGCAATCAAGACAGCAGTAAAAGAGAATGCGCCGTCCGGGAATCGAACCCGGGGCATCTCGTTGGCAACGAGTTATTTTACCACTAAACCAACGGCGCCTGCTCACGTCATTCTACCCCCTCTGTCAAAAATCAACACAAGCAAACAACAGCCTCCTCACGGCATACATCGTACCGGCAACTGTCACTCACAACATCCCGACGAGTCGAATCCGTTTCGCGGCAAAATGAAGACGTGTTTGCAGTCGACAAGGAATAGCAGCTTTACATACCGCAGCTATCGCCTGTCAGTCGTGAACGACGTCTAAAGACTCCATCAAGTGGTATAACAGATGCTGCGGTGTACATGAAGCTCTCTGTAGTCAGCAATCAGGACAGCAGTAAAAGGGAATGCGCCGTCCGGGAATCGAACCCGGGGCATCTCGTTGGCAACGAGATATTTTACCACTAAACCAACGGCGCCTGCTCACGTCATTCTACCCCCTCTGTCAAAAGTCAACACAAACAAACAACAGCCTCCTCACGGCATACATCGTACCGGCAACTGTCACTCACAACATCCCGACGAGTCGAATCCGTTTCGCGGCAAAATGAAGACGTGTTTGCAGTCGACAAGGAATAGCAGCTTTACATACCGCAGCTATCGCCTGTCAGTCGTCAACGACGTCTAAAGACTCCATCAAGTGGTATAACAGCTGCTGCGGTGTACATGAAGCTCTCAATAGTCAGCAATCAAGACAGCAGTAAAAGAGAATGCGCCGTCCGGGAATCGAACCCGGGGCATCTCGTTGGCAACGAGATATTTTACCACTAAACCAACGGCGCCTGCTCACGTCATTCTGCCCCCTCTGTCAAAAATCAACATAAACAAACAACAGCCTCCTCACGGCACACATCGTACCGGCAACTGTCACTCACAACATCCCGACGAGTCGAATCCGTTTCGCGGCAAAATGACGGCGTGTTTGCAGTCGACAAGGAATAGCAGCTTTACATACCGCAGCTATCGCCTGTCAGTCGTCAACGACGTCTAAAGACTCCATCAAGTGGTATAACAGCTGCTAGCGGTGTACATGAAGCTCTCAATAGTCAGCAATCAAGACAGCAGTAAAAGAGAATGCGCCGTCCGGGAATCGAACCCGGGGCATCTCGTTGGCAACGAGATATTTTACCACTAAACCAACGGCGCCTGCTCACGTCATTCTACCCCCTCTGTCAAAAATCAACACAAACAAACAACAGCCTCCTCACGGCATACATCGTACCGGCAACTGTCACTCACAACATCCCGACGAGTCGAATCCGTTTCGCGGCAAAATGAAGACGTGTTTGCAGTCGACAAGGAATAGCAGCTCTACATACCGCAGCTATCGCCTGTCAGTCGTCAACGACGTCTAAAGACTCCATCAAGTGGTATAACAGCTGCTACGGTGTACATGAAGCTCTCAGTAGTCAGCAATCAAGACAGCAGTAAAAGAGAATGCGCCGTCCGGGAATCGAACCCGGGGCATCTCGTTGGCAACGAGATATTTTACCACTAAACCAACGGCGCCTGCTCACGTCATTCTACCCCCTCTGTCAAAAATCAACACAAACAAACAACAGCCTCCTCACGGCATACATCGTACCGGCAACTGTCACTCACAACATCCCGACGAGTCGAATCCGTTTCGCGGCAAAATGAAGACGTGTTTGCAGTCGACAAGGAATAGCAGCTTTACATACCGCAGCTATCGCCTGTCAGTCGTCAACGACGTCTAAAGACTCCATCAAGTGGTATAACAGCTGCTACGGTGTACATGAAGCTCTCAATAGTCAGCAATCAAGACAGCAGTAAAAGGGAATGCGCCGTCCGGGAATCGAACCCGGGGCATCTCGTTGGCAACGAGATATTTTACCACTAAACCAACGGCGCCTGCTCACGTCATTCTACCCCCTCTGTCAAAAATCAACACAAACAAACAACAGCCTCCTCACGGCACACATCGTACCGGCAACTGTCACTCACAACATCCCGACGAGTCGAATCCGTTTCGCGGCAAAATGAAGACGTGTTTGCAGTCGACAAGGAATAGCAGCTCTACATACCGCAGCTATCGCCTGTCAGTCGTCAACGACGTCTAAAGACTCCATCAAGTGGTATAACAGCTGCTACGGTGTACATGAAGCTCTCAATAGTCAGCAATCAAGACAGCAGTAAAAGAGAATGCGCCGTCCGGGAATCGAACCCGGGGCATCTCGTTGGCAACGAGATATTTTACCACTAAACCAACGGCGCCTGCTCACGTCATTCTACCCCCTCTGTCAAAAATCAACACAAACAAACAACAGCCTCCTCACGGCATACATCGTACCGGCAACTGTCACTCACAACATCCCGACGAGTCGAATCCGTTTCGCGGCAAAATGAAGGCGTGTTTGCAGTCGACAAGGAATAGCAGCTTTACATACCGCAGCTATCGCCTGTCAGTCGTCAACGACGTCTAAAGACTCCATCAAGTGGTATAACAGCTGCTACGGTGTACATGAAGCTCTCAATAGTCAGCAATCAAGACAGCAGTAAAAGAGAATGCGCCGTCCGGGAATCGAACCCGGGGCATCTCGTTGGCAACGAGATATTTTACCACTAAACCAACGGCGCCTGCTCACGTCATTCTACCCCCTCTGTCAAATATCAACACAAACAAACAACAGCCTCCTCACGGCACACACCGTACGGGCAACTGTCACTCACAACATCCCGACGAGTCGAATCCGTTTCGCGGCAAAATGACGGCGTGTTTGCAGTCGACAAGGAATAGCAGCTTTACATACCGCAGCTATCGCCTGTCAGTCGTCAACGACGTCTAAAGACTCCATCAAGTGGTATAACAGCTGCTACGGTGTACATGAAGCTCTCAATAGTCAGCAATCAAGACAGCAGTAAAAGAGAATGCGCCGTCCGGGAATCGAACCCGGGGCATCTCGTTGGCAACGAGATATTTTACCACTAAACCAACGGCGCCTGCTCACGTCATTCTACCCCCTCTGTCAAAAATCAACACAAACAAACAACAGCCTCCTCACGGCACACACCGTACCGGCAACTGTCACTCACAACATCCCGACGAGTCGAATCCGTTTCGCGGCAAAATGAAGACGTGTTTGCAGTCGACAAGGAATAGCAGCTTTACATACCGCAGCTATCGCCTGTCAGTCGTCAACGACGTCTAAAGACTCCATCAAGTGGTATAACAGCTGCTGCGGTGTACATGAAGCTCTCAATAGTCAGCAATCAAGACAGCAGTAAAAGAGAATGCGCCGTCCGGGAATCGAACCCGGGGCATCTCGTTGGCAACGAGATATTTTACCACTAAACCAACGGCGCCTGCTCACGTCATTCTACCCCCTCTGTCAAAAATCAACACAAACAAACAACAGCCTCCTCACGGCACACATCGTACCGGCAACTGTCACTCACAACATCCCGACGAGTCGAATCCGTTTCGCGGCAAAATGAAGACGTGTTTGCAGTCGACAAGGAATAGCAGCTTTACATACCGCAGCTATCGCCTGTCAGTCGTCAACGACGTCTAAAGACTCCATCAAGTGGTATAACAGCTGCTGCGGTGTACATGAAGCTCTCAATAGTCAGCAATCAAGACAGCAGTAAAAGAGAATGCGCCGTCCGGGAATCGAACCCGGGGCATCTCGTTGGCAACGAGATATTTTACCACTAAACCAACGGCGCCTGCTCACGTCATTCTACCCCCTCTGTCAAAAATCAACACAAACAAACAACAGCCTCCTCACGGCACACACCGTACCGGCAACTGTCACTCACAACATCCCGACGAGTCGAATCCGTTTCGCGGCAAAATGAAGACGTGTTTGCAGTCGACAAGGAATAGCAGCTTTACATACCGCAGCTATCGCCTGTCAGTCGTCAACGACGTCTAAAGACTCCATCAAGTGGTATAACAGCTGCTGCGGTGTACATGAAGCTCTCAATAGTCAGCAATCAAGACAGCAGTAAAAGAGAATGCGCCGTCCGGGAATCGAACCCGGGGCATCTCGTTGGCAACGAGATATTTTACCACTAAACCAACGGCGCCTGCTCACGTCATTCTACCCCCTCTGTCAAAAATCAACACAAACAAACAACAGCCTCCTCACGGCACACACCGTACCGGCAACTGTCACTCACAACATCCCGACGAGTCGAATCCGTTTCGCGGCAAAATGAAGACGTGTTTGCAGTCGACAAGGAATAGCAGCTTTACATACCGCAGCTATCGCCTGTCAGTCGTCAACGACGTCTAAAGACTCCATCAAGTGGTATAACAGCTGCTACGGTGTACATGAAGCTCTCTGTAGTCAGCAATCAAGACAGCAGTAATAGGGAATGCGCCGTCCGGGAATCGAACCCGGGGCATCTCGTTGGCAACGAGATATTTTACCACTAAACCAACGGCGCCTGCTCACGTCATTCTACCCCCTCTGTCAAAAATCAACACAAACAAACAACAGCCTCCTCACGGCATACATCGTACCGGCAACTGTCACTCACAACATCCCGACGAGTCGAATCCGTTTCGCGGCAAAATGAAGACGTGTTTGCAGTCGACAAGGAATAGCAGCTTTACATACCGCAGCTATCGCCTGTCAGTCGTCAACGACGTCTAAAGACTCCATCAAGTGGTATAACAGCTGCTGCGGTGTACATGAAGCTCTCAATAGTCAGCAATCAAGACAGCAGTAAAAGAGAATGCGCCGTCCGGGAATCGAACCCGGGGCATCTCGTTGGCAACGAGATATTTTACCACTAAACCAACGGCGCCTGCTCACGTCATTCTACCCCCTCTGTCAAAAATCAACACAAACAAACAACAGCCTCCTCACGGCATACATCGTACCGGCAACTGTCACTCACAACATCCCGACGAGTCGAATCCGTTTCGCGGCAAAATGAAGACGTGTTTGCAGTCGACAAGGAATAGCAGCTCTACATACCGCAGCTATCGCCTGTCAGTCGTCAACGACGTCTAAAGACTTCATCAAGCGGTAGAACAGCTGCTACGGTGTACATGAAGCTCTATGTAGTCAGCAATCAAGACAGCAGTAAAAGAGAATGCGCCGTCCGGGAATCGAACCCGGGGCATCTCGTTGGCAACGAGATATTTTACCACTAAACCAACGGCGCCTGCTCACGTCATTCTACCCCCTCTGTCAAAAATCAACACAAACAAACAACAGCCTCCTCACGGCACACATCGTACCGGCAACTGTCACTCACAACATCCCGACGAGTCGAATCCGTTTCGCGGCAAAATGAAGACGTGTTTGCAGTCGACAAGGAATAGCAGCTTTACATACCGCAGCTATCGCCTGTCAGTCGTCAACGACGTCTAAAGACTCCATCAAGTGGTATAACAGCTGCTACGGTGTACATGAAGCTTTCAATAGTCAGCAATCAAGACAGCAGTAAAAGGGAATGCGCCATCCGGGAATCGAACCCGGGGCATCTCGTTGGCAACGAGATATTTTACCACGAAACCAACGGCGCCTGCTCACGTCATTCTACCCCCTCTGTCAAAAATCAACACAAACAAACAACAGCCTCCTCACGGCATGCATCGTGCCGGCAACTGTCACTCACAACATCCCGACGAGTCGAATCCGTTTCGCGGCAAAATGAAGACGTGTTTGCAGTCGACAAGGAATAGCAGCTTTACATACCGCAGCTATCGCCTGTCAGTCGTCAACGACGTCTAAAGACTCCATCAAGTGGTATAACAGCTGCTACGGTGTACATGAAGCTCTCTATAGTCAGCAATCAAGACAGCAGTAAAAGAGAATGCGCCGTCCGGGAATCGAACCCGGGGCATCTCGTTGGCAACGAGATATTTTACCACTAAACCAACGGCGCCTGCTCACGTCATTCTACCCCCTCTGTCAAAAATCAACACAAACAAACAACAGCCTCCTCACGGCATACATCGTACCGGCAACTGTCACTCACAACATCCCGACGAGTCGAATCCGTTTCGCGGCAAAATGAAGGCGTGTTTGCAGTCGACAAGGAATAGCAGCTTTACATACCGCAGCTATCGCCTGTCAGTCGTCAACGACGTCTAAAGACTCCATCAAGTGGTATAACAGCTGCTACGGTGTACATGAAGCTCTCAATAGTCAGCAATCAAGACAGCAGTAAAAGGGAATGCGCCGTCCGGGAATCGAACCCGGGGCATCTCGTTGGCAACGAGATATTTTACCACTAAACCAACGGCGCCTGCTCACGTCATTCTACCCCCTCTGTCAAAAATCAACACAAACAAACAACAGCCTCCTCACGGCATACATCGTACCGGCAACTGTCACTCACAACATCCCGACGAGTCGAATCCGTTTCGCGGCAAAATGAAGACGTGTTTGCAGTCGACAAGGAATAGCAGCTTTACATACCGCAGCTATCGCCTGTCAGTCGTCAACGACGTCTAAAGACTCCATCAAGTGGTATAACAGCTGCTACGGTGTACACAAAGCTCTCTGTAGTCAGCAATCAAGACAGCAGTAAAAGGGAATGCGCCGTCCGGGAATCGAACCCGGGGCATCTCGTTGGCAACGAGATATTTTACCACTAAACCAACGGCGCCTGCTCACGTCATTCTACCCCCTCTGTCAAAAATCAACACAAACAAACAACAGCCTCCTCACGGCACACACCGTACCGGCAACTGTCACTCACAACATCCCGACGAGTCGAATCCGTTTCGTGGCAAAATGAAGGCGTGTTTGCAGTCGACAAGGAATAGCAGCTTTACATACCGCAGCTATCGCCTGTCAGTCGTCAACGACGTCTAAAGACTCCATCAAGTGGTATAACAGCTGCTGCGGTGTACATGAAGCTCTCAATAGTCAGCAATCAAGACAGCAGTAAAAGAGAATGCGCCGTCCGGGAATCGAACCCGGGGCATCTCGTTGGCAACGAGATATTTTACCACTAAACCAACGGCGCCTGCTCACGTCATTCTACCCCCTCTGTCAAAAATCAACACAAACAAACAACAGCCTCCTCACGGCATACATCGTACCGGCAACTGTCACTCACAACATCCCGACGAGTCGAATCCGTTTCGCGGCAAAATGACGGCGTGTTTGCAGTCGACAAGGAATAGCAGCTTTACATACCGCAGCTATCGCCTGTCAGTCGTCAACGACGTCTAAAGACTCCATCAAGTGGTGTAACAGCTGCTACGGTGTACATGAAGCTCTCAATAGTCAGCAATCAAGACAGCAGTAAAAGGGAATGCGCCGTCCGGGAATCGAACCCGGGGCATCTCGTTGGCAACGAGATATTTTACCACTAAACCAACGGCGCCTGCTCACGTCATTCTACCCCCTCTGTCAAAAATCAACACAAACAAACAACAGCCTCCTCACGGCATACACCGTACCGGCAACTGTCACTCACAACATCCCGACGAGTCGAATCCGTTTCGCGGCAAAATGAAGACGTGTTTGCAGTCGACAAGGAATAGCAGCTTTACATACCGCAGCTATCGCCTGTCAGTCGTCAACGACGTCTAAAGACTCCATCAAGTGGTGTAACAGCTGCTACGGTGTACATGAAGCTCTCAATAGTCAGCAATCAAGACAGCAGTAAAAGGGAATGCGCCGTCCGGGAATCGAACCCGGGGCATCTCGTTGGCAACGAGATATTTTACCACTAAACCAACGGCGCCTGCTCCACCAATCTACCCCCTCTGTCAAAAATCAACACAAACAAACAACAGCCTCCTCACGGCACACACCGCACCGGCAACTGTCACTCACAACATCCCGACGAGTCGAATCCGTTTCGCGGCAAAATGAAGACGTGTTTGCAGTCGACAAGGAATAGCAGCTTTACATACCGCAGCTATCGCCTGTCAGTCGTCAACGACTTCTAAAGACTCCATCAAGTGGTATAACAGCTGCTACGGTGTACATGAAGCTCTCAATAGTCAGCAATCAAGACAGCAGTAAAAGAGAATGCGCCGTCCGGGAATCGAACCCGGGGCATCTCGTTGGCAACGAGATATTTTACCACTAAACCAACGGCGCCTGCTCACGTCATTCTACCCCCTCTGTCAAAAATCAACACAAACAAACAACAGCCTCCTCACGGCACACACCGTACCGGCAACTGTCACTCACAACATCCCGACGAGTCGAATCCGTTTCGCGGCAAAATGAAGACGTGTTTGCAGTCGACAAGGAATAGCAGCTTTACATACCGCAGCTATCGCCTGTCAGTCGTCAACGACGTCTAAAGACTCCATCAAGTGGTATAACAGCTGCTGCGGTGTACATGAAGCTCTCAATAGTCAGCAATCAAGACAGCAGTAAAAGAGAATGCGCCGTCCGGGAATCGAACCCGGGGCATCTCGTTGGCAACGAGATATTTTACCACTAAACCAACGGCGCCTGCTCACGTCATTCTACCCCCTCTGTCAAAAATCAACACAAACAAACAACAGCCTCCTCACGGCACACACCGTACCGGCAACTGTCACTCACAACATCCCGACGAGTCGAATCCGTTTCGCGGCAAAATGAAGGCGTGTTTGCAGTCGACAAGGAATAGCAGCTTTACATACCGCAGCTATCGCCTGTCAGTCGTCAACGACGTCTAAAGACTCCATCAAGTGGTATAACAGCTGCTGCGGTGTACATGAAGCTCTCAATAGTCAGCAATCAAGACAGCAGTAAAAGAGAATGCGCCGTCCGGGAATCGAACCCGGGGCATCTCGTTGGCAACGAGATATTTTACCACTAAACCAACGGCGCCTGCTCACGTCATTCTACCCCCTCTGTCAAAAATCAACACAAACAAACAACAGCCTCCTCACGGCATACATCGTACCGGCAACTGTCACTCACAACATCCCGACGAGTCGAATCCGTTTCGCGGCAAAATGACGACGTGTTTGCAGTCGACAAGGAATAGCAGCTTTACATACCGCAGCTATCGCCTGTCAGTCGTCAACGACGTCTAAAGACTCCATCAAGTGGTATAACAGCTGCTGCGGTGTACATGAAGCTCTCAATAGTCAGCAATCAAGACAGCAGTAAAAGAGAATGCGCCGTCCGGGAATCGAACCCGGGGCATCTCGTTGGCAACGAGATATTTTACCACTAAACCAACGGCGCCTGCTCACGTCATTCTACCCCCTCTGTCAAAAATCAACACAAACAAACAACAGCCTCCTCACGGCACACACCGCACCGGCAACTGTCACTCACAACATCCCGACGAGTCGAATCCGTTTCGCGGCAAAATGACGGCGTGTTTGCAGTCGACAAGGAATAGCAGCTCTACATACCGCAGCTATCGCCTGTCAGTCGTCAACGACGTCTAAAGACTTCATCAAGCGGTAGAACAGCTGCTACGGTGTACATGAAGCTCTATGTAGTCAGCAATCAAGACAGCAGTAAAAGAGAATGCGCCGTCCGGGAATCGAACCCGGGGCATCTCGTTGGCAACGAGATATTTTACCACTAAACCAACGGCGCCTGCTCACGTCATTCTACCCCCTCTGTCAAAATCAACACAAACAAACAACAGCCTCCTCACGGCACACACCGTACCGGCAACTGTCACTCACAACATCCCGACGAGTCGAATCCGTTTCGCGGCAAAATGACGGCGTGTTTGCAGTCGACAAGGAATAGCAGCTCTACATACCGCAGCTATCGCCTGTCAGTCGTCAACGACGTCTAAAGACTCCATCAAGTGGTATAACAGCTGCTACGGTGTACATGAAGCTCTCAATAGTCAGCAATCAAGACAGCAGTAAAAGAGAATGCGCCGTCCGGGAATCGAACCCGGGGCATCTCGTTGGCAACGAGATATTTTACCACTAAACCAACGGCGCCTGCTCACGTCATTCTACCCCCTCTGTCAAAAATCAACACAAACAAACAACAGCCTCCTCACGGCACACATCGTACCGGCAACTGTCACTCACAACATCCCGACGAGTCGAATCCGTTTCGCGGCAAAATGAAGACGTGTTTGCAGTCGACAAGGAATAGCAGCTTAACATACCGCAGCTATCGCCTGTCAGTCGTCAACGACGTCTAAAGACTCCATCAAGTGGTGTAACAGCTGCTGCGGTGTACATGAAGCTCTCAATAGTCAGCAATCAAGACAGCAGTAAAAGAGAATGCGCCGTCCGGGAATCGAACCCGGGGCATCTCGTTGGCAACGAGATATTTTACCACTAAACCAACGGCGCCTGCTCACGTCATTCTACCCCCTCTGTCAAAAATCAACACAAACAAACAACAGCCTCCTCACGGCACACACCGTACCGGCAACTGTCACTCACAACATCCCGACGAGTCGAATCCGTTTCGCGGCAAAATGACGGCGTGTTTGCAGTCGACAAGGAATAGCAGCTTTACATACCGCAGCTATCGCCTGTCAGTCGTCAACGACGTCTAAAGACTCCATCAAGTGGTATAACAGCTGCTGCGGTGTACATGAAGCTCTCAATAGTCAGCAATCAAGACAGCAGTAAAAGAGAATGCGCCGTCCGGGAATCGAACCCGGGGCATCTCGTTGGCAACGAGATATTTTACCACTAAACCAACGGCGCCTGCTCACGTCATTCTACCCCCTCTGTCAAAAATCAACACAAACAAACAACAGCCTCCTCACGGCATACATCGTACCGGCAACTGTCACTCACAACATCCCGACGAGTCGAATCCGTTTCGCGGCAAAATGAAGACGTGTTTGCAGTCGACAAGGAATAGCAGCTTTACATACCGCAGCTATCGCCTGTCAGTCGTCAACGACGTCTAAAGACTCCATCAAGTGGTATAACAGCTGCTGCGGTGTACATGAAGCTCTCTGTAGTCAGCAATCAAGACAGCAGTAATAGGGAATGCGCCGTCCGGGAATCGAACCCGGGGCATCTCGTTGGCAACGAGATATTTTACCACTAAACCAACGGCGCCTGCTCACGTCATTCTACCCCCTCTGTCAAAATCAACACAAACAAACAACAGCCTCCTCACGGCACACACCATACCGGCAACTGTCACTCACAACATCCCGACGAGTCGAATCCGTTTCGCGGCAAAATGACGGCGTGTTTGCAGTCGACAAGGAATATCAGCTTTACATACCGCAACTATCGCCTGTCAGTCGTCAACGACGTCTAAAGACTCCATCAAGTGGTATAACAGCTGCTGCGGTGTACATGAAGCTCTCAATAGTCAGCAATCAAGACAGCAGTAATAGGGAATGCGCCGTCCGGGAATCGAACCCGGGGCATCTCGTTGGGAACGAGATATTTTACCACTAAACCAACGGCGCCTGCTCACGTCATTCTACCCCCTCTGTCAAAAATCAACACAAACAAACAACAGCCTCCTCACGGCACACATCGTACCGGCAACTGTCACTCACAACATCCCGACGAGTCGAATCCGTTTCGCGGCAAAATGAAGACGTGTTTGCAGTCGACAAGGAATAGCAGCTTTACATACCGCAGCTATCGCCTGTCAGTCGTCAACGACGTCTAAAGACTCCATCAAGTGGTATAACAGCTGCTGCGGTGTACATGAAGCTCTCAATAGTCAGCAATCAAGACAGCAGTAAAAGAGAATGCGCCGTCCGGGAATCGAACCCGGGGCATCTCGTTGGCAACGAGATATTTTACCACTAAACCAACGGCGCCTGCTCACGTCATTCTACCCCCTCTGTCAAAAATCAACACAAACAAACAACAGCCTCCTCACGGCATACATCGTACCGGCAACTGTCACTCACAACATCCCGACGAGTCGAATCCGTTTCGCGGCAAAATGACGGCGTGTTTGCAGTCGACAAGGAATAGCAGCTTTACATACCGCAGCTATCGCCTGTCAGTCGTCAACGACGTCTAAAGACTCCATCAAGTGGTATAACAGCTGCTGCGGTGTACATGAAGCTCTCAATAGTCAGCAATCAAGACAGCAGTAAAAGAGAATGCGCCGTCCGGGAATCGAACCCGGGGCATCTCGTTGGCAACGAGATATTTTACCACTAAACCAACGGCGCCTGCTCACGTCATTCTACCCCCTCTGTCAAAAATCAACACAAACAAACAACAGCCTCCTCACGGCACACACCGTACCGGCAACTGTCACTCACAACATCCCGACGAGTCGAATCCGTTTCGCGGCAAAATGAAGACGTGTTTGCAGTCGACAAGGAATAGCAGCTTTACATACCGCAGCTATCGCCTGTCAGTCGTCAACGACGTCTAAAGACTCCATCAAGTGGTATAACAGCTGCTACGGTGTACATGAAGCTCTCTATAGTCAGCAATCAAGACAGCAGTAAAAGAGAATGCGCCGTCCGGGAATCGAACCCGGGGCATCTCGTTGGCAACGAGATATTTTACCACTAAACCAACGGCGCCTGCTCACGTCATTCTACCCCCTCTGTCAAAAATCAACACAAACAAACAACAGCCTCCTCACGGCACACACCGTACCGGCAACTGTCACTCACAACATCCCGACGAGTCGAATCCGTTTCGCGGCAAAATGAAGGCGTGTTTGCAGTCGACAAGGAATAGCAGCTTTACATACCGCAGCTATCGCCTGTCAGTCGTCAACGACGTCTAAAGACTCCATCAAGTGGTATAACAGCTGCTGCGGTGTACATGAAGCTCTCAATAGTCAGCAATCAAGACAGCAGTAAAAGAGAATGCGCCGTCCGGGAATCGAACCCGGGGCATCTCGTTGGCAACGAGATATTTTACCACTAAACCAACGGCGCCTGCTCACGTCATTCTACCCCCTCTGTCAAAAATCAACACAAACAAACAACAGCCTCCTCACGGCACACATCGTACCGGCAACTGTCACTCACAACATCCCGACGAGTCGAATCCGTTTCGCGGCAAAATGAAGACGTGTTTGCAGTCGACAAGGAATAGCAGCTTTACATACCGCAGCTATCGCCTGTCAGTCGTCAACGACGTCTAAAGACTCCATCAAGTGGTATAACAGCTGCTGCGGTGTACATGAAGCTCTCAATAGTCAGCAATCAAGACAGCAGTAAAAGAGAATGCGCCGTCCGGGAATCGAACCCGGGGCATCTCGTTGGCAACGAGATATTTTACCACTAAACCAACGGCGCCTGCTCACGTCATTCTACCCCCTCTGTCAAAAATCAACACAAACAAACAACAGCCTCCTCACGGCACACACCGTACCGGCAACTGTCACTCACAACATCCCGACGAGTCGAATCCGTTTCGCGGCAAAATGAAGACGTGTTTGCAGTCGACAAGGAATAGCAGCTTTACATACCGCAGCTATCGCCTGTCAGTCGTCAACGACGTCTAAAGACTCCATCAAGTGGTATAACAGCTGCTACGGTGTACATGAAGCTCTCAATAGTCAGCAATCAAGACAGCAGTAAAAGAGAATGCGCCGTCCGGGAATCGAACCCGGGGCATCTCGTTGGCAACGAGATATTTTACCACTAAACCAACGGCGCCTGCTCACGTCATTCTACCCCTCTGTCAAAAATCAACACAAACAAACAGCAGCCTCCTCACGGCACACACCGCACCGGCAACTGTCACTCACAACATCCCGACGAGTCGAATCCGTTTCGCGGCAAAATGACGGCGTGTTTGCAGTCGACAAGGAATATCAGCTTTACATACCGCAACTATCGCCTGTCAGTCGTCAACGACGTCTAAAGACTCCATCAAGTGGTATAACAGCTGCTGCGGTGTACATGAAGCTCTCAATAGTCAGCAATCAAGACAGCAGTAAAAGAGAATGCGCCGTCCGGGAATCGAACCCGGGGCATCTCGTTGGCAACGAGATATTTTACCACTAAACCAACGGCGCCTGCTCACGTCATTCTACCCCCTCTGTCAAAAATCAACACAAACAAACAACAGCCTCCTCACGGCACACACCGTACCGGCAACTGTCACTCACAACATCCCGACGAGTCGAATCCGTTTCGCGGCAAAATGAAGACGTGTTTGCAGTCGACAAGGAATAGCAGCTCTACATACCGCAGCTATCGCCTGTCAGTCGTCAACGACGTCTAAAGACTCCATCAAGTGGTATAACAGCTGCTACGGTGTACATGAAGCTCTCAATAGTCAGCAATCAAGACAGCAGTAAAAGAGAATGCGCCGTCCGGGAATCGAACCCGGGGCATCTCGTTGGCAACGAGATATTTTACCACTAAACCAACGGCGCCTGCTCACGTCATTCTACCCCCTCTGTCAAAAATCAACACAAACAAACAACAGCCTCCTCACGGCACACACCGTACCGGCAACTGTCACTCACAACATCCCGACGAGTCGAATCCGTTTCGCGGCAAAATGAAGACGTGTTTGCAGTCGACAAGGAATAGCAGCTTTACATACCGCAGCTATCGCCTGTCAGTCGTCAACGACGTCTAAAGACTCCATCAAGTGGTATAACAGCTGCTACGGTGTACACATGAAGCTCTCAATAGTCAGCAATCAAGACAGCAGTAAAAGAGAATGCGCCGTCCGGGAATCGAACCCGGGGCATCTCGTTGGCAACGAGATATTTTACCACTAAACCAACGGCGCCTGCTCACGTCATTCTACCCCCTCTGTCAAAAATCAACACAAACAAATAACAGCCTCCTCACGGCATACATCGTACCGGCAACTGTCACTCACAACATCCCGACGAGTCGAATCCGTTTTGCGGCAAAATGACGGCGTGTTTGCAGTCGACAAGGAATATCAGCTTTACATACCGCAGCTATCGTCTGTCAGTCGTCAACGACGTCTAAAGACTCCATCAAGTGGTGTAACTGCTGCTACGGTGTACATGAAGCTCTCAATAGTCAGCAATCAAGACAGCAGTAAAGAGAATGCGCCGTCCGGGAATCAGAACCCGGGGCATCTCGTTGGCAACGAGATATTTTACCACTAAACCAACGGCGCCTGCTCACTTCATTCTACCCCCTCTGTCAAAATCAACACAAACAAACATCAGCCTCCTCACGGCACTGTCACCGTACCGGCAACTGTCACTCACAACATCCCGACGAGTCGAATCCGTTTCGCGGCAAAATGACGGCGTGTTTGCAGTCAACAAGGAATAGCAGCTTTACATACCGCAGCTATCGCCTGTCAGTCGTCAACGACGTCTAAAGACTCCATCAAGTGGTTAAGGTGTAACAGCAGCTGCTGCGGTGTACATGAAGCCTCTCAATAGTCAGCAATCAAGACAGCAGTAAAAGAGAATGCGCCGTCCGGGAATCGAACCCGGGGCATCTCGTTGGCAACGAGATATTTTACCACTAAACCAACGGCGCCTGCTCACGTCATTCTACCCCCTCTGTCAAAAATCAACACAAACAAACAACAGCCTCCTCACGGCACACACCGTACCGGCAACTGTCACTCACAACATCCCGACGAGTCGAATCCGTTTTGTGGCAAAATGACGGCGTGTTTGCAGTCGACAAGGAATAGCAGCTTTACATACCGCAGCTATCGCCTGTCAGTCGTCAACGACGTCTAAAGACTCCATCAAGTGGTATAACAGCTGCTACGGTGTACATGAAGCTCTCTGTAGTCAGCAATCAAGACAGCAGTAAAAGAGAATGCGCCGTCCGGGAATCGAACCCGGGGCATCTCGTTGGCAACGAGATATTTTACCACTAAACCAACGGCGCCTGCTCACGCCATTCTACCCCCTCTGTCAAAAATCAACACAAACAAACAACAGCCTCCTCACGGCACACACCGTACCGGCAACTGTCACTCACAACATCCCGACGAGTCGAATCCGTTTTGTGGCAAAATGAAGACGTGTTTGCAGTCGACAAGGAATAGCAGCTTTACATACCGCAGCTATCGCCTGTCAGTCGTCAACGACGTCTAAAGACTCCATCAAGTGGTGTAACAGCTGCTGCGGTGTACATGAAGCTCTCAATAGTCAGCAATCAAGACAGCAGTAAAAGAGAATGCGCCGTCCGGGAATCGAACCCGGGGCATCTCGTTGGCAACGAGATATTTTACCACTAAACCAACGGCGCCTGCTCCACCATTCTACCCCCTCTGTCAAAAATCAACACAAACAAACAACAGCCTTCTCACGGCACACACCGTACGGGCAACTGTCACTCACAACATCCCGACGAGTCGAATCCGTTTCGCGGCAAAATGACGGCGTGTTTGCAGTCGACAAGGAATAGCAGCTTTACATACCGCAGCTATCGCCTGTCAGTCGTCAACGACGTCTAAAGACTCCATCAAGTGGTGTAACAGATGCTGCGGTGTACATGAAGCTCTTTGTAGTCAGCAATCAAGACAGCAGTAATAGGGAATGCGCCGTCCGGGAATCGAACCCGGGGCATCTTGTTGGCAACGAGATATTTTACCACTAAACCAACGGCGCCTGCTCCACGTCATTCTACCCCCCTCTGTCAAAAATCAACACAAACAAACAACAGCCTCCTCACGGCACACACCGTACCGGCAACTGTCACTCACAACATCCCGACGAGTCGAATCCGTTTCGCGGCAAAATGACGGCGTGTTTGCAGTCAACAAAGGAATAGCAGCTTTACATACCGCAGCTATCGCCTGTCAGTCGTCAACGACGTCTAAAGACTCCATCAAGTGGTATAACAGCTGCTGCGGTGTACATGAAGCTCTCAATAGTCAGCAATCAAGACAGCAGTAAAAGAGAATGCGCCGTCCGGGAATCGAACCCGGGGCATCTCGTTGGCAACGAGATATTTTACCACTAAACCAACGGCGCCTGCTCACGTCATTCTACCCCCTCTGTCAAAAATCAACACAAACAAACAACAGCCTCCTCACGGCACACATCGTACCGGCAACTGTCACTCACAACATCCCGACGAGTCGAATCCGTTTCGTGGCAAAATGAAGACGTGTTTGCAGTCGACAAGGAATATCAGCTTTACATACCGCAGCTATCGCCTGTCAGTCGTCAACGACGTCTAAAGACTCCATCAAGTGGTGTAACAGCTGCTACGGTGTACATAAAGCTCTCAGTAGTCAGCAATCAAGACAGCAGTAAAAGAGAATGCGCCGTCCGGGAATCGAACCCGGGGCATCTCGTTGGCAACGAGATATTTTACCACTAAACCAACGGCGCCTGCTCACGTCATTCTACCCCCTCTGTCAAAAATCAACACAAACAAACAACAGCCTCCTCACGGCACACACCGTACCGGCAACTGTCACTCACAACATCCCGACGAGTCGAATCCGTTTTGTGGCAAAATGACGGCGTGTTTGCAGTCGACAAGGAATAGCAGCTTTACATACCGCAGCTATCGCCTGTCAGTCGTCAACGACGTCTAAAGACTCCATCAAGTGGTGTAACAGCTGCTACGGTGTACATGAAGCTCTCAATAGTCAGCAATCAAGACAGCAGTAAAAGAGAATGCGCCGTCCGGGAATCGAACCCGGGGCATCTCGTTGGGAACGAGATATTTTACCACTAAACCAACGGCGCCTGCTCCACGTCATTCTACCCCCTCTGTCAAAAATCAACACAAACAAACAACAGCCTCCTCACGGCACACATCGTACCGGCAACTGTCACTCACAACATCCCGACGAGTCGAATCCGTTTCGCGGCAAAATGACGGCGTGTTTGCAGTCGACAAGGAATAGCAGCTTTACATACCGCAGCTATCGCCTGTCAGTCGTCAACGACGTCTAAAGACTCCATCAAGTGGTGTAACAGCTGCTGCGGTGTACATGAAGCTCTCAATAGTCAGCAATCAAGACAGCAGTAAAAGAGAATGCGCCGTCCGGGAATCGAACCCGGGGCATCTCGTTGGCAACGAGATATTTTACCACTAAACCAACGGCGCCTGCTCACGTCATTCTACCCCCTCTGTCAAAATCAACACAAACAAACAACAGCCTCCTCACGGCACACATCGTACCGGCAACTGTCACTCACAACATCCCGACGAGTCGAATCCGTTTCGCGGCAAAATGACGGCGTGTTTGCAGTCGACAAGGAATAGCAGCTTTACATACCGCAGCTATCGCCTGTCAGTCGTCAACGACGTCTAAAGACTCCATCAAGTGGTATAACAGCTGCTGCGGTGTACATGAAGCTTCCAATGGTCAGCAATCAAGACAGCAGTAAAAGAGAATGCGCCGTCCGGGAATCGAACACGGGGCATCTCGTTGGCAACGAGATATTTTACCACTAAACCAACGGCGCCTGCTCACGTCATTCTACCCCTCTGTCAAAAATCAACACAAACAAACAACAGCCTCCTCACGGCATGCATCGTACCGGCAACTGTCACTCACAACATCCCGACGAGTCGAATCCGTTTTGCGGCAAAATGAAGCCGTGTTTGCAGTCGACAAGGAATAGCAGCTCTACATACCGCAGCTATCGCCTGTCAGTCGTCAACGACGTCTAAAGACTCCATCAAGTGGTATAACAGCTGCTACGGTGTACACAAAGCTCTCTGTAGTCAGCAATCAAGACAGCAGTAAAAGAGAATGCGCCGTCCGGGAATCGAACCCGGGGCATCTCGTTGGCAACGAGATATTTTACCACTAAACCAACGGCGCCTGCTCACGTCATTCTACCCCCTCTGTCAAAATCAACACAAACAAACAACAGCCTCCTCACGGCACACACCGTACCGGCAACTGTCACTCACAACATCCCGACGAGTCGAATCCGTTTTGTGGCAAAATGAAGACGTGTTTGCAGTCGACAAGGAATAGCAGCTTTACATACCGCAGCTATCGCCTGTCAGTCGTCAACGACGTCTAAAGACTCCATCAAGTGGTGTAACAGCTGCTGCGGTGTACATGAAGCTCTCAATAGTCAGCAATCAAGACAGCAGTAAAAGAGAATGCGCCGTCCGGGAATCGAACCCGGGGCATCTCGTTGGGAACGAGATATTTTACCACTAAACCAACGGCGCCTGCCCACACCATTCTACCCCCTCTGTCAAAATCAACACAAACAAACAACAGCCTCCTCACGGCACACATCGTACCGGCAACTGTCACTCACAACATCCCGACGAGTCGAATCCGTTTCGCGGCAAAATGCAGACGTGTTTGCAGTCAACAAGGAATAGCAGCTTTACATACCGCAGCTATCGCCTGTCAGTCGTCAACGACGTCTAAAGACTCCATCAAGTGGTATAACAGCTGCTGCGGTGTACATGAAGCTCTCAATAGTCAGCAATCAAGACAGCAGTAAAAGAGAATGCGCCGTCCGGGAATCGAACCCGGGGCATCTCGTTGGCAACGAGATATTTTACCACTCAAACCAACGGCGCCTGCTCACGTCATTCTACCCCCTCTGTCAAAAATCAACACAAACAAACAACAGCCTCCTCACGGCACACACCGTACCGGCAACTGTCACTCACAACATCCCGACGAGTCGAATCCGTTTCGCGGCAAAAATGACGACGTGTTTGCAGTCGACAAGGAATAGCAGCTCTACATACCGCAGCTATCGCCTGTCAGTCGTCAACGACGTCTAAAGACTCCATCAAGTGGTGTAACAGCTGCTGCGGTGTACATGAAGCTCTCAATAGTCAGCAATCAAGACAGCAGTAAAAGAGAATGCGCCGTCCGGGAATCGAACCCGGGGCATCTCGTTGGGCAACGAGATATTTTACCACTAAACCAACGGCGCCTGCTCACGTCATTCTACCCCCTATGTAAAAATCAACACAAACAAACAACAGCCTCCTCACGGCACACACCGCACCGGCAACTGTCACTCACAACATCCCGACGAGTCGAATCCGTTTCGCGGCAAAATGAAGACGTGTTTGCAGTCGACAAGGAATATCAGCTCTACATACCGCAGCTATCGCCTGTCAGTCGTCAACGACGTCTAAAGACTCCATCAAGTGGTGTAACAGCTGCTACGGTGTACACAAAGTTCTCTATAGTCAGCAATCAAGACAGCAGTAAAAGAGAATGCGCCGTCCGGGAATCGAACCCGGGGCATCTCGTTGGGAACGAGATATTTTACCACTAAACCAACGGCGCCTGCTCACGTCATTCTACCCCCTCTGTCAAAAATCAACACAAACAAACAACAGCCTCCTCACGGCACACACCGTACCGGCAACTGTCACTCACAACATCCCGACGAGTCGAATCCGTTTTGTGGCAAAATGAAGACGTGTTTGCAGTCGACAAGGAATAGCAGCTCTACATACCGCAGCTATCGCCTGTCAGTCGTCAACGACGTCTAAAGACTCCATCAAGTGGTATAACAGCTGCTGCGGTGTACATGAAGCTCTCAATAGTCAGCAATCAAGACAGCAGTAAAAGAGAATGCGCCGTCCGGGAATCGAACACGGGGCATCTCGTTGGCAACGAGATATTTTACCACTAAACCAACGGCGCTTGTTCACACGTCATTCTACCCCCTCTGTCAAAAATCAACACAAACAAACAACAGCCTCCTCACGGCATACATCGTACCGGCAACTGTCACTCACAACATCCCGACGAGTCGAATCCGTTTCGTGGCAAAATGAAGGCGTGTTTGCAGTCGACAAGGAATAGCAGCTCTACATACCGCAGCTATCGCCTGTCAGTCGTCAACGACGTCTAAAGACTCCATCAAGTGGTATAACAGCTGCTGCGGTGTACATGAAGCTCTCAATAGTCAGCAATCAAGACAGCAGTAAAAGAGAATGCGCCGTCCGGGAATCGAACCCCGGGGCATCTCGTTGGCAACGAGATATTTTTACCACTAAACCAACGGCGCCTGCCCACGCCATTCTACCCCCTCTGTCAAAATCAACACAAACAAACAACAGCCTCCTCACGGCATACACCGTACCGGCAACTGTCACTCACAACATCCCGACGAGTCGAATCCGTTTCGCGGCAAAATGACGGCGTGTTTGCAGTCGACAAGGAATAGCAGCTTTACAATACCGCAGCTATCGCCTGTCAGTCGTCAACGACGTCTAAAGACTCCATCAAGTGGTGTAACAGCTGCTGCGGTGTACATGAAGCTTTCAATAGTCAGCAATCAAGACAGCAGTAAAAGAGAATGCGCCGTCCGGGAATCGAACCCGGGGCATCTCGTTGGCAACAGATATTTTTACCACTAAACCAACGGCGCCTGCTCACTTCATTCTACCCCCTCTGTCAAAATCAACACAAACAAACAACAGCCTCCTCACGGCATACACCGTACCGGCAACTGTCACTCACAACATCCCGACGAGTCGAATCCGTTTCGCGGCAAAATGAAGACGTGTTTGCAATCGACAAGGAATATCAGCTTTACATACCGCAGCTATCGCCTGTCAGTCGTCAACGACGTCTAAAGACTCCATCAAGTGGTATAACAGCTGCTGCGGTGTACATGAAGCTCTCAATAGTCAGCAATCAAGACAGCAGTAAAGAGAATGCGCCGTCCAGGAATCGACCCCGGGGCATCTCGTTGGCAACGAGATATTTTACCACTAAACCAACGGCGCCTGCTCACGTCATTCTACCCCCCTCTGTCAAAAATCAACACAAACAAACAACAGCCTCCTCACGGCATACACCGTACCGGCAACTGTCACTCACAACATCCCGACGAGTCGAATCCGTTTCGCGGCAAAATGAAGACGTGTTTGCAGTCAACAAGGAATAGCAGCTTTACATACCGCAGCTATCGCCTGTCAGTCGTCAACGACGTCTAAAGACTCCATCAAGTGGTATAACAGCTGCTACGGTGTACACAAAGCTCTCTGTAGTCAGCAATCAAGACAGCAGTAATAGGGAATGCGCCGTCCGGGAATCGAACCCGGGGCATCTCGTTGGGAACGAGATATTTTACCACTAAACCAACGGCGCCTGCTCACGTCATTCTACCCCCTCTGTCAAAAATCAACACAAACAAACAACAGCCTCCTCACGGCACACACCGTACCGGCAACTGTCACTCACAACATCCCGACGAGTCGAATCCGTTTCGCGGCAAAATGAAGGCGTGTTTGCAGTCGACAAGGAATAGCAGCTTTACATACCGCAGCTATCGCCTGTCAGTCGTCAACGACGTCTAAAGACTCCATCAAGTGGTATAACAGCTGCTGCGGTGTACATGAAGCTCTCAATAGTCAGCAATCAAGACAGCAGTAAAAGAGAATGCGCCGTCCGGGAATCGAACCCGGGGCATCTCGTTGGCAACGAGATATTTTACCACTAAACCAACGGCGCCTGCTCACTTCATTCTACCCCCTCTGTCAAAAATCAACACAAACAAACAACAGCCTCCTCACGGCACATCGTACCGGCAACTGTCACTCACAACATCCCGACGAGTCGAATCTGTTTCGCGGCAAAATGACGGCGTGTTTGCAGTCGACAAGGAATAGCAGCTTTACATACCGCAGCTATCGCCTGTCAGTCGTCAACGACGTCTAAAGACTCCATCAAGTGGTATAACAGCTGCTGCGGTGTACATGAAGCTTTCAATAGTCAGCAATCAGGACAGCAGTAAAAGGGAATGCGCCGTCCGGGAATCGAACCCGGGGCATCTCGTTGGGAACGAGATATTTTACCACTAAACCAACGGCGCCTGCTCACGTCATTCTACCCCCCTCTGTCAAAAATCAACACAAACAAACAACAGCCTCCTCACGGCACACACCGTACCGGCAACTGTCACTCACAACATCCCGACGAGTCGAATCCGTTTCGCGGCAAAATGAAGACGTGTTTGCAGTCGACAAGGAATATCAGCTTTACATACCGCAGCTATCGCCTGTCAGTCGTCAACGACGTCTAAAGACTCCATCAAGTGGTATAACAGCTGCTGCGGTGTACATGAAGCTCTCAATAGTCAGCAATCAAGACAGCAGTAAAAGAGAATGCGCCGTCCGGGAATCGAACCCGGGGCATCTCGTTGGCAACGAGATATTTTACCACTAAACCAACGGCGCCTGCTCACGTCATTCTACCCCCTCTGTCAAAAATCAACACAAACAAACAACAGCCTCCTCACGGCACACACCGTACCGGCAACTGTCACTCACAACATCCCGACGAGTCGAATCCGTTTCGCGGCAAAATGAAGACGTGTTTGCAGTCGACAAGGAATAGCAGCTTTACATACCGCAGCTATCGCCTGTCAGTCGTCAACGACGTCTAAAGACTCCATCAAGTGGTATAACAGCTGCTGCGGTGTACATGAAGCTCTCAATAGTCAGCAATCAAGACAGCAGTAAAAGAGAATGCGCCGTCCGGGAATCGAATCCCGGGGCATCTCGTTGGCAACGAGATATTTTACCACTAAACCAACGGCGCCTGCTCACGTCATTCTACCCCCTCTGTCAAAAATCAACACAAACAAACAACAGCCTCCTCACGGCATACATCGTACCGGCAACTGTCACTCACAACATCCCGACGAGTCGAATCCGTTTCGCGGCAAAATGAAGACGTGTTTGCAGTCGACAAGGAATAGCAGCTTTACATACCGCAGCTATCGCCTGTCAGTCGTCAACGACGTCTAAAGACTCCATCAAGTGGTATAACAGCTGCTGCGGTGTACATGAAGCTCTCAATAGTCAGCAATCAAGACAGCAGTAAAAGAGAATGCGCCGTCCGGGAATCGAATCCCGGGGCATCTCGTTGGCAACGAGATATTTTACCACTAAACCAACGGCGCCTGCTCACGTCATTCTACCCCCTCTGTCAAAAATCAACACAAACAAACAACAGCCTCCTCACGGCATACATCGTACCGGCAACTGTCACTCACAACATCCCGACGAGTCGAATCCGTTTCGCGGCAAAATGAAGACGTGTTTGCAGTCGACAAGGAATATCAGCTTTACATACCGCAGCTATCGCCTGTCAGTCGTCAACGACGTCTAAAGACTCCATCAAGTGGTATAACAGCTGCTGCGGTGTACATGAAGCTCTCAATAGTCAGCAATCAAGACAGCAGTAAAAGAGAATGCGCCGTCCGGGAATCGAACCCGGGGCATCTCGTTGGCAACGAGATATTTTACCACTAAACCAACGGCGCCTGCTCACGTCATTCTACCCCCTCTGTCAAAAATCAACACAAACAAACAACAGCCTCCTCACGGCACACACCGTACCGGCAACTGTCACTCACAACATCCCGACGAGTCGAATCCGTTTCGCGGCAAAATGAAGACGTGTTTGCAGTCGACAAGGAATAGCAGCTCTACATACCGCAGCTATCGCCTGTCAGTCGTCAACGACGTCTAAAGACTCCATCAAGTGGTATAACAGCTGCTACGGTGTACATGAAGCTCTCAGTAGTCAGCAATCAAGACAGCAGTAAAAGAGAATGCGCCGTCCGGGAATCGAACCCGGGGCATCTCGTTGGCAACGAGATATTTTACCACTAAACCAACGGCGCCTGCTCACGTCATTCTACCCCCTCTGTCAAAAATCAACACAAACAAACAACAGCCTCCTCACGGCATACATCGTACCGGCAACTGTCACTCACAACATCCCGACGAGTCGAATCCGTTTCGCGGCAAAATGACGGCGTGTTTGCAGTCGACAAGGAATATCAGCTTTACATACCGCAGCTATCGCCTGTCAGTCGTCAACGACGTCTAAAGACTCCATCAAGTGGTATAACAGCTGCTACGGTGTACATGAAGCTCTCTATAGTCAGCAATCAAGACAGCAGTAAAAGAGAATGCGCCGTCCGGGAATCGAACCCGGGGCATCTCGTTGGCAACGAGATATTTTACCACTAAACCAACGGCGCCTGCTCACGTCATTCTACCCCCTCTGTCAAATATCAACACAAACAAACAACAGCCTCCTCACGGCACACACCGTACGGGCAACTGTCACTCACAACATCCCGACGAGTCGAATCCGTTTCGCGGCAAAATGCAGACGTGTTTGCAGTCAACAAGGAATAGCAGCTTTACATACCGCAGCTATCGCCTGTCAGTCGTCAACGACGTCTAAAGACTCCATCAAGTGGTATAACAGCTGCTGCGGTGTACATGAAGCTCTCAATAGTCAGCAATCAAGACAGCAGTAAAAGAGAATGCGCCGTCCGGGAATCGAACCCGGGGCATCTCGTTGGCAACGAGATATTTTACCACTAAACCAACGGCGCCTGCTCACGCCATTCTACCCCCCTCTGTCAAAAATCAACACAAACAAACAACAGCCTCCTCACGGCATACATCGTACCGGCAACTGTCACTCACAACATCCCGACGAGTCGAATCCGTTTTGTGGCAAAATGAAGACGTGTTTGCAGTCGACAAGGAATAGCAGCTTAACATACCGCACCTATCGCCTGTCAGTCGTCAACGACGTCTGAAGACTCCATCAAGTGGTGTAACAGCTGCTGCGGTGTACATGAAGCTCTCAATAGTCAGCAATCAAGACAGCAGTAAAAGGGAATGCGCCGTCCGGGAATCGAACCCGGGGCATCTCGTTGGCAACGAGTTATTTTACCACTAAACCTACGGCGCCTGCTCACATCATTCTACTCCCTCTGTCAAAAATCAACACAAGCAAACAACAGCCTCCTCACGGCATATATCGTACCGGCAACTGTCACTCACAACATCCCGACGAGTCGAATCCGTTTCGCGGCAAAATGAAGGCGTGTTTGCAGTCGACAAGGAATAGCAGCTCTACATACCGCAGCTATCGCCTGTCAGTCGTCAACGACGTCTAAAGACTCGCATCAAGTGGTGTAACAGCTGCTACGGTGTACATGAAGCTCTCAATAGTCAGCAATCAAGACAGCAGTAAAAGAGAATGCGCCGTCCGGGAATCGAACCCGGGGCATCTCGTTGGCAACGAGATATTTTACCACTAAACCAACGGCGCCTGCTCCACGTCATTCTACCCCCTCTGTCAAAAATCAACACAAACAAACAGCAGCCTCCCTCACGGCACACATCGTACCGGCAACTGTCACTCACAACATCCCGACGAGTCGAATCCGTTTTGCGGCAAAATGAAGACGTGTTTGCAGTCGACAAGGAATAGCAGCTTTACATACCGCAGCTATCGCCTGTCAGTCGTCAACGACGTCTAAAGACTCCATCAAGTGGTATAACAGCTGCTGCGGTGTACATGAAGCTCTCAATAGTCAGCAATCAAGACAGCAGTAAAGAGAATGCGCCGTCCGGGAATCGAACCCGGGGCATCTCGTTGGCAACGAGATATTTTACCACTAAACCAACGGCGCCTGCTCCACGCCATTCTACCCCCTCTGTCAAAAATCAACACAACAAACAAACAACAGCCTCCTCACGGCATACATCGTACCGGCAACTGTCACTCCACAACATCCCGACGAGTCGAATCCGTTTCGCGGCAAAATGAAGACGTGTTTGCAGTCGACAAGGAATAGCAGCTCTACATACCGCAGCTATCGCCTGTCAGTCGTCAACGACGTCTAAAGACTCCATCAAGTGGTATAACAGCTGCTGCGGTGTACACTGAAGCTCTCAATAGTCAGCAATCAAGACAGCAGTAAAAGAGAATGCGCCGTCCGGGAATCGAACCCGGGGCATCTCGTTGGCAACAGAGATATTTTACCACTAAACCAACGGCGCCTGCTCACATCATTCTACCCCCTCTGTCAAAAATCAACACAAACAAACAACAGCCTCCTCACGGCATACACCGTACCGGCAACTGTCACTCACAACATCCCGACGAGTCGAATCCGTTTGTGGCAAATGAAGCCGTGTTTGCAGTCGACAAGGAATAGCAGCTCTACATACCGCAGCTATCGCCTGTCAGTCGTCAACGACGTCTAAAGACTCCATCAAGTGGTATAACAGCTGCTGCGGTGTACATGAAGCTCTCAATAGTCAGCAATCAAGACAGCAGTAAAAGAGAATGCGCCGTCCGGGAATCGAACCCGGGGCACTCGTTGGCAACGAGATATTTTACCACGAAACCAACGGCGCCTGCTCACACCATTCTACCCCCTCTGTCAAAAATCAACACAAACAAACAACAGCCTCCTCACGGCATACATCGTACCGGCAACTGTCACTCACAACATCCCGACGAGTCGAATCCGTTTCGCGGCAAAATGACGGCGTGTTTGCAGTCGACAAGGAATAGCAGCTTTACATACCGCAGCTATCGCCTGTCAGTCGTCAACGACGTCTAAAGACTCCATCAAGTGGTATAACAGCTGCTGCGGTGTACATGAAGCTCTCAATAGTCAGCAATCAAGACAGCAGTAAAAGAGAATGCGCCGTCCGGGAATCGAACCCGGGGCATCTCGTTGGCAACGAGATATTTTACCACTAAACCAACGGCGCCTGCTCACTTCATTCTACCCCCTCTGTCAAAAATCAACACAAACAAACAACAGCCTCCTCACGGCATACATCGTACCGGCAACTGTCACTCACAACATCCCGACGAGTCGAATCCGTTTCGCGGCAAAATGACGGCGTGTTTGCAGTCGACAAGGAATAGCAGCTCTACATACCGCAGCTATCGCCTGTCAGTCGTCAACGACGTCTAAAGACTCCATCAAGTGGTGTAACAGCTGCTACGGTGTACATGAAGCTCTCAATAGTCAGCAATCAAGACAGCAGTAAAGAGAATGCGCCGTCCGGGAATCGAACCCGGGGCATCTCGTTGGCAACGAGATATTTTACCACTAAACCAACGGCGCCTGCTCACGTCATTCTACCCCCTCTGTCAAAAAATCAACACAAACAAACAGCAGCCTCCTCACGGCATGCATCGTACCGGCAACTGTCACTCACAACATCCCGACGAGTCGAATCCGTTTCGCGGCAAAATGAAGACGTGTTTGCAGTCGACAAGGAATATCAGCTCAACATACCGCAGCTATCGCCTGTCAGTCGTCAACGACGTCTAAAGACTCCATCAAGTGGTATAACAGCTGCTACGGTGTACACAAAGCTCTCAATAGTCAGCAATCAAGACAGCAGTAAAAGGAGAATGCGCCGTCCGGGAATCGAACCCGGGGCATCTCGTTGGCAACGAGATATTTTACCACTAAACCAACGGCGCCTGCTCACGTCATTCTACCCCCTCTGTCAAAAATCAACACAAACAAACAACAGCCTCCTCACGGCACACATCGTACCGGCAACTGTCACTCACAACATCCCGACGAGTCGAATCCGTTTCGCGGCAAAATGAAGACGTGTTTGCAGTCGACAAGGAATAGCAGCTTTACATACCGCAGCTATCGCCTGTCAGTCGTCAACGACGTCTAAAGACTCCATCAAGTGGTATAACAGCTGCTGCGGTGTACATGAAGCTTTCAATAGTCAGCAATCAAGACAGCAGTAAAAGAGAATGCGCCGTCCGGGAATCGAACCCGGGGCATCTCGTTGGCAACGAGATATTTTACCACTAAACCAACGGCGCCTGCTCACGTCATTCTACCCCCTCTGTCAAAAATCAACACAAACAAACAACAGCCTCCTCACGGCACACACCGTACGGGCAACTGTCACTCACAACATCCCGACGAGTCGAATCCGTTTCGCGGCAAAATGACGGCGTGTTTGCAGTCGACAAGGAATAGCAGCTCTACATACCGCAGCTATCGCCTGTCAGTCGTCAACGACGTCTAAAGACTCCATCAAGTGGTGTAACAGCTGCTACGGTGTACATGAAGCTCTCAATAGTCAGCAATCAAGACAGCAGTAAAGAGAATGCGCCGTCCGGGAATCGAACCCGGGGCATCTCGTTGGCAACGAGATATTTTACCACTAAACCAACGGCGCCTGCTCACGTCATTCTGCCCCCCTCTGTCAAAAATCAACACAAACAAACAGCAGCCTCCTCACGGCATACATCGTACCGGCAACTGTCACTCACAACATCCCGACGAGTCGAATCCGTTTCGCGGCAAAATGAAGACGTGTTTGCAGTCGACAAGGAATATCAGCTTTACATACCGCAGCTATCGCCTGTCAGTCGTCAACGACGTCTAAAGACTCCATCAAGTGGTATAACAGCTGCTACGGTGTACACAAAGCTCTCAATAGTCAGCAATCAAGACAGCAGTAATAGGGAATGCGCCGTCCGGGAATCGAACCCGGGGCATCTCGTTGGCAACGAGATATTTTACCACTAAACCAACGGCGCCTGCTCACGTCATTCTACCCCCTCTGTCAAATATCAACACAAACAAACAACAGCCTCCTCACGGCACACACCGTACCGGCAACTGTCACTCACAACATCCCGACGAGTCGAATCCGTTTCGCGGCAAAATGAAGACGTGTTTGCAGTCGACAAGGAATAGCAGCTCTACATACCGCAGCTATCGCCTGTCAGTCGTCAACGACGTCTAAAGACTCCATCAAGTGGTGTAACAGCTGCTACGGTGTACATGAAGCTCTCAATAGTCAGCAATCAAGACAGCAGTAAAAGAGAATGCGCCGTCCGGGAATCGAACCCGGGGCATCTCGTTGGCAACGAGATATTTTACCACTAAACCAACGGCGCCTGCTCACGTCATTCTACCCCCTCTGTCAAAAATCAACACAAACAAACAACAGCCTCCTCACGGCATGCATCGTACCGGCAACTGTCACTCACAACATCCCGACGAGTCGAATCCGTTTCGCGGCAAAATGAAGACGTGTTTGCAGTCGACAAGGAATAGCAGCTCTACATACCGCAGCTATCGCCTGTCAGTCGTCAACGACGTCTAAAGACTCCATCAAGTGGTATAACAGCTGCTACGGTGTACATGAAGCTCTCAATAGTCAGCAATCAAGACAGCAGTAATGGGAATGCGCCGTCCGGGAATCGAACCCGGGGCATCTCGTTGGCAACGAGATATTTTACCACTAAACCAACGGCGCCTGCTCACGTCATTCTGCCCCCTCTGTCAAAAATCAACACAAACAAACAACAGCCTCCTCACGGCATACATCGTACCGGCAACTGTCACTCACAACATCCCGACGAGTCGAATCCGTTTCGCGGCAAAATGAAGACGTGTTTGCAGTCGACAAGGAATAGCAGCTTTACATACCGCAGCTATCGCCTGTCAGTCGTCAACGACGTCTAAAGACTCCATCAAGTGGTATAACAGCTGCTGCGGTGTACATGAAGCTCTCAATAGTCAGCAATCAAGACAGCAGTAAAAGGGAATGCGCCGTCCGGGAATCGAACCCGGGGCATCTCGTTGGCAACGAGATATTTTACCACTAAACCAACGGCGCCTGCTCCATCAATCTACCCCCTCTGTCAAAAATCAACACAAACAAACAACAGCCTCCTCACGGCATACATCGTACCGGCAACTGTCACTCACAACATCCCGACGAGTCGAATCCGTTTTGTGGCAAAATGAAGACGTGTTTGCAGTCGACAAGGAATAGCAGCTCTACATACCGCAGCTATCGCCTGTCAGTCGTCAACGACGTCTAAAGACTCCATCAAGTGGTGTAACAGCTGCTGCGGTGTACATGAAGCTTTCAATAGTCAGCAATCAAGACAGCAGTAAAAGAGAATGCGCCGTCCGGGAATCGAACCCGGGGCATCTCGTTGGCAACGAGATATTTTACCACTAAACCAACGGCGCCTGCTCCACCAATCTACCCCCTCTGTCAAAAATCAACACAAACAAACAGCAGCCTCCTCACGGCATGCATCGTACCGGCAACTGTCACTCACAACATCCCGACGAGTCGAATCCGTTTCGCGGCAAAATGACGGCGTGTTTGCAGTCGACAAGGAATAGCAGCTCTACATACCGCAGCTATCGCCTGTCAGTCGTCAACGACGTCTAAAGACTCCATCAAGTGGTATAACAGCTGCTGCGGTGTACATGAAGCTCTCAATAGTCAGCAATCAAGACAGCAGTAAAAGGGAATGCGCCGTCCGGGAATCGAACCCGGGGCATCTCGTTGGCAACGAGATATTTTACCACTAAACCAACGGCGCCTGCTCACGTCATTCTACCCCCTCTGTCAAATATCAACACAAACAAACAACAGCCTCCTCACGGCACACACCGTACCGGCAACTGTCACTCACAACATCCCGACGAGTCGAATCCGTTTCGCGGCAAAATGACGGCGTGTTTGCAGTCGACAAGGAATAGCAGCTCTACATACCGCAGCTATCGCCTGTCAGTCGTCAACGACGTCTAAAGACTCCATCAAGTGGTATAACAGCTGCTGCGGTGTACATGAAGCTCTCAATAGTCAGCAATCAAGACAGCAGTAAAAGAGAATGCGCCGTCCGGGAATCGAACCCGGGGCATCTCGTTGGCAACGAGATATTTTACCACTAAACCAACGGCGCCTGCCCACACCATTCTACCCCCCTCTGTCAAAAATCAACACAAACAAATAACAGCCTCCTCACGGCATACATCGTACCGGCAACTGTCACTCACAACATCCCGACGAGTCGAATCCGTTTTGCGGCAAAATGACGGCGTGTTTGCAGTCGACAAGGAATATCAGCTTTACATACCGCAGCTATCGTCTGTCAGTCGTCAACGACGTCTAAAGACTCCATCAAGTGGTGTAACTGCTGCTGCGGTGTACATGAAGCTCTCAATAGTCAGCCTTCAAGACAGCAGTAAAAGAGAATGCGCCGTCCGGGAATCGAACCCGGGGCATCTCGTTGGGAACGAGATATTTTACCACTAAACCAACGGCGCCTGCTCACGTCATTCTACCCCCTCTGTCAAAAGTCAACACAAACAAACAACAGCCTCCTCACGGCACACACCGTACGGGCAACTGTCACTCACAACATCCCGACGAGTCGAATCCGTTTCGCGGGCAAAATGAAGGCGTGTTTGCAGTCGACAAGGAATAGCAGCTTTACATACCGCAGCTATCGCCTGTCAGTCGTCAACGACGTCTAAAGACTCCATCAAGTGGTATAACAGCTGCTGCGGTGTACATGAAGCTCTCAATAGTCAGCAATCAAGACAGCAGTAAAAGAGAATGCGCCGTCCGGGAATCGAACCCGGGGGGCATCTCGTTGGCAACGAGATATTTACCACTAAACCAACGGCGCCTGCTCACGTCATTCTACCCCCTCTGTCAAAAATCAACACAAACAAACAACAGCCTCCTCACGGCATACATCGTACCGGCAACTGTCACTCACAACATCCCGACGAGTCGAATCCGTTTCGCGGCAAAATGAAGACGTGTTTGCAGTCGACAAGGAATATCAGCTTTACATACCGCAGCTATCGCCTGTCAGTCGTGAACGACGTCTAAAGACTCCATCAAGTGGTATAACAGATGCTGCGGTGTACATGAAGCTTTCAATAGTCAGCAATCAGGACAGCAGTAAAAGGGAATGCGCCGTCCGGGAATCGAACCCGGGGCATCTCGTTGGCAACGAGATATTTTACCACTAAACCAACGGCGCCTGCTCACGTCATTCTACCCCCTCTGTCAAAAATCAACACAAACAAACAACAGCCTCCTCACGGCACACACCGTACCGGCAACTGTCACTCACAACATCCCGACGAGTCGAATCCGTTTCGCGGCAAAATGAAGACGTGTTTGCAGTCGACAAGGAATAGCAGCTCTACATACCGCAGCTATCGCCTGTCAGTCGTCAACGACGTCTAAAGACTCCATCAAGTGGTATAACAGCTGCTACGGTGTACATGAAGCTCTCAATAGTCAGCAATCAAGACAGCAGTAAAAGAGAATGCGCCGTCCGGGAATCGAACCCGGGGCATCTCGTTGGCAACGAGATATTTTACCACTAAACCAACGGCGCCTGCTCACATCATTCTACCCCCTCTGTCAAAAATCAACACAAACAAATAACAGCCTCCTCACGGCATGCATCGTACCGGCAACTGTCACTCACAACATCCCGACGAGTCGAATCCGTTTCGCGGCAAAATGAAGCCGTGTTTGCAGTCGACAAGGAATAGCAGCTTTACATACCGCAGCTATCGCCTGTCAGTCGTCAACGACGTCTAAAGACTCCATCAAGTGGTATAACAGCTGCTACGGTGTACATGAAGCTCTCTCAATAGTCAGCAATCAAGACAGCAGTAAAAGGGAATGCGCCGTCCGGGAATCGAACCCGGGGCATCTCGTTGGCAACGAGATATTTTACCACGAAACCAACGGCGCCTGCTCACATCGTTCTACCCCCTCTATCAAAAATCAACACAAACAAACAACAGCCTCCTCACGGCATACATCGTACCGGCAACTGTCACTCACAACATCCCGACGAGTCGAATCCGTTTCGCGGCAAAATGCTGGCGTGTTTGCAGTCGACAAGGAATAGCAGCTTAACATACCGCAGCTATCGTCTGTCAGTCGTCCATGACGTCTAAAGACTCCATCAAGTGGTATAACAGCTGCTGCGGTGTACATGAAGCTCTCAATAGTCAGCAATCAAGACAGCAGTAAAAGGGAATGCGCCGTCCGGGAATCGAACCCGGGGCATCTCGTTGGCAACGAGATATTTTACCACTAAACCAACGGCGCCTGCTCACGTCATTCTGCCCCCTCTGTCAAAAATCAACACAAACAAACAACAGCCTCCTCACGGCATACATCGTACCGGCAACTGTCACTCACAACATCCCGACGAGTCGAATCCGTTTCGCGGCAAAATGAAGACGTGTTTGCAGTCGACAAGGAATATCAGCTTTACATACCGCAGCTATCGCCTGTCAGTCGTCAACGACGTCTAAAGACTCCATCAAGTGGTATAACAGCTGCTACGGTGTACACAAAGCTCTCAATAGTCAGCAATCAAGACAGCAGTAAAAGGGAATGCGCCGTCCGGGAATCGAACCCGGGGCATCTCGTTGGCAACGAGATATTTTACCACTAAACCAACGGCGCCTGCTCACGTCATTCTACCCCCTCTGTCAAAAATCAACACAAACAAACAACAGCCTCCTCACGGCATACACCGTACCGGCAACTGTCACTCACAACATCCCGACGAGTCGAATCCGTTTCGCGGCAAAATGAAGACGTGTTTGCAGTCGACAAGGAATAGCAGCTTTACATACCGCAGCTATCGCCTGTCAGTCGTCAACGACGTCTAAAGACTCCATCAAGTGGTATAACAGCTGCTCGGTGTATGCTGCGGTGTACATGAAGCTCTCAATAGTCAGCAATCAAGACAGCAGTAATAGAGAATGCGCCGTCCGGGAATCGAACCCGGGGCATCTCGTTGGCAACGAGATATTTTTACCACTAAACCAACGGCGCCTGCTCACGTCATTCTCCCCCTCTGTCAAAAATCAACACAAACAAACAACAGCCTCCTCACGGCATACATCGTACCGGCAACTGTCACTCACAACATCCCGACGAGTCGAATCCGTTTCGCGGCAAATGACGGCGTGTTTGCAGTCGACAAGGAATAGCAGCTTTACATACCGCAGCTATCGCCTGTCAGTCGTCAACGACGTATCAAGTGGTATAGTAAATAAGTAAAGAAAATGGTCGGGAATCGAACCGGGGATCGTGGAGAATTTTTACCACTAAAAACCTCCACCATTCTCCCCCTCTGTCAAAAATCAACACAAACAAACAACACCTCCTACGGCATACATCGTACGGATGTACTCACAAATCGACGAGTCGAATCGTTTGGGCAAAATGACGGGTGTTTGAGTCGACAAAGAATAGCTTTACATACCGCAGTATCGCTGTAGTCGTCAACGACGTCTAAAGACTCCATCAAGTGGTGTAACAGCTGCTGCGGTGTACATGAAGCTTCAATAGTCAGCAATCAAGACAGCAGTAAAGAGAATGCGCCGTCCGGGAATCGAACCCGGGGCATCTCGTTGGCAACGAGATATTTTTACCACTAAACCAACGGCGCCTGCTCACGTCATTCTACCCCCCTCTGTCAAAAATCAACACAAACAAACAACAGCCTCCTCACGGCACACACCGCACCGGCAACTGTCACTCACAACATCCCGACGAGTCGAATCCGTTTCGCGGCAAAATGACGGCGTGTTTGCAGTCGACAAGGAATAGCAGCTCTACATACCGCAGCTATCGCCTGTCAGTCGTCAACGACGTCTAAAGACTCCATCAAGTGGTATAACAGCTGCTGCGGTGTACATAAAACTTCTCAATAGTCAGCAATCAAGACAGCAGTAAAGAGAATGCGCCGTCCGGGAATCGAACCCGGGGCATCTCGTTGGCAACGAGATATTGGGGGTGGGGGGGGGGGGTTGTCAATATTTTACCACTAAACCAACGGCGCCTGCTCACTCATTCCCCCCTCTGTAAAAATCAACACAAACAAACAACAGCCTCCTCAGCACAGACGGCAACTGTCACTCACAACATCCCGAGAGTCGAATCCGTTTCGCGCAAAATGAAGGCGTGTTTGCAGTCGACAAGGAATAGCAGCTCTACATACCGCAGCTATCGCCTGTCAGTCGTCAACGACGTCTAAAGACTCCATAAGTGGTATAAAGTTAGTGTAAATTCTATCACAATAAGATAATAGGAAGGTGAATGAAGGGATGTGGAGAGATATTTTACCCTAAACCAAGGTGCTCATATTTTTGTAAATACAAAAAACAAATTAAATAATTACTCAAAATGAGAGTAATTTGGGAAAATGAGGTGTTTGAGTAAAGAATAATTAATAATATTAGTTAATAAAGACTCCATCAAGTGGTATAACAGCTGCTGCGGTGTACATGAAGCTCTCAATAGTCAGCAATCAAGACAGCAGTAAAAGAGAATGCGCCGTCCGGGAATCGAACCCGGGGCATCTCGTTGGCAACGAGATATTTTACCACTAAACCAACGGCGCCTGCTCACATCATTCTACCCCCCTCTGTCAAAAATCAACACAAACAAACAACAGCCCCCCTCACGGCATACATCGTACCGGCAACTGTCACTCACAACATCCCGACGAGTCGAATCCGTTTCGCGGCAAAATGACGGCGTGTTTGCAGTCGACAAGGAATAGCAGCTCTACATACCGCAGCTATCGCCTGTCAGTCGTCAACGACGTCTAAAGACTCCATCAAGTGGTGTAACAGCTGCTACGGTGTACATGAAGCTCTCAATAGTCAGCAATCAAGACAGCAGTAAAAGAATGCGCGGGAATCGAACCGGGATCTCGTTGAACAGATATTTTACCACTAAACCAATCTCATCATTCTACCCCTCTGTCAAATATCAACACAAACAAACAACACCTCCTCAGCACAAGTAGAACTTCACTCACAACATCCCGACAGTGAATCCGTTTCGCGGCAAAATGACGGCGTGTTTGCAGTCAACAAGGAATAGCAGCTCTACATACCGCAGCTATCGCCTGTCAGTCGTCAACGACGTCTAAAGACTCCATCAAGTGGTATAACAGTGCTACGGTGTACATGAAGTCTCAATAGTCAGCAATAAGACAGCAGTAAAGAGAATGCGCCGTCCGGGAATCGACCCCGGGGCATCTCGTTGGCAACGAGATATTTTACCACTAAACCAACGGCGCCTGCTCACGTCATTCTCCCCCTCTGTCAAAATAAAAAAAAATCTCAAAATAAATTTAAACATCGAAGTGAATGTTTGGAAAATGAGGGTGTTTGATCGAAAGGAATAATTAATAATATGTTAGTTCAAGATTAAAGACTCATCAAGTGGTGTAAGTTAGGTGTAATGAATAATAGTCAGAATAAGAAGATAAAGAGAATGTGGAATACCCGGCATTGTTGAAAGATATTTTACACTAAAAATTACATTTACCCTCTGTCAAATCAACACAAACAAACAGCAGCCTCCTCACGGCATGCATCGTACCGGCAACTGTCACTTACAACATCCCGACGAGTCGAATCCGTTTCGCGGCAAAATGAAGACGTGTTTGCAGTCGACAAGGAATATCAGCTTAACATACTGCAGCTATCGCCTGTCAGTCGTCAACGACGTCTAAAGACTCCATCAAGTGGTATAACAGCTGCTACGGTGTACACAAAGCTCTCAATAGTCAGCAATCAAGACAGCAGTAATAGGGAATGCGCCGTCCGGGAATCGAACCCGGGGCATCTCGTTGGCAACGAGATATTTTACCACTAAACCAACGGCGCCTGCTCACGTCATTCTACCCCCTATGTCAAAAATCAACACAAACAAACAACAGCCTCCTCACGGCACACACCGTACGGGCAACTGTCACTCACAACATCCCGACGAGTCGAATCCGTTTCGCGGCAAAATGCAGACGTGTTTGCAGTCAACAAGGAATAGCAGCTTTACATACCGCAGCTATCGCCTGTCAGTCGTCAACGACGTCTAAAGACTCCATCAAGTGGTATAACAGCTGCTACGGTGTACACAAAGTTCTCTGTAGTCAGCAATCAAGACAGCAGTAAAAGAGAATGCGCCGTCCGGGAATCGAACCCGGGGCATCTCGTTGGCAACGAGATATTTTACCACTAAACCAACGGCGCCTGCCCACACCATTCTGCCCCCTCTGTCAAAAATCAACACAAACAAACAACAGCCTCCTCACGGCATACATCGTACCGGCAACTGTCACTCACAACATCCCGACGAGTCGAATCCGTTTCGCGGCAAAATGACGGCGTGTTTGCAGTCGACAAGGAATATCAGCTTTACATACCGCAGCTATCGCCTGTCAGTCGTCAACGACGTCTAAAGACTCCATCAAGTGGTGTAACAGCTGCTGCGGTGTACATGAAGCTTTCAATAGTCAGCAATCAAGACAGCAGTAAAAGAGAATGCGCCGTCCGGGAATCGAACCCGGGGCATCTCGTTGGCAACGAGATATTTTACCACTAAACCAACGGCGCCTGCTCACGTCATTCTACCCCCTCTGTCAAATATCAACACAAACAAACAACAGCCTCCTCACGGCACACACCGTACGGGCAACTGTCACTCACAACATCCCGACGAGTCGAATCCGTTTCGCGGCAAAATGACGGCGTGTTTGCAGTCAACAAGGAATAGCAGCTTTACATACCGCAGCTATCGCCTGTCAGTCGTCAACGACGTCTAAAGACTCCATCAAGTGGTATAACAGCTGCTGCGGTGTACATGAAGCTCTCAATAGTCAGCAATCAAGACAGCAGTAAAAGAGAATGCGCCGTCCGGGAATCGAACCCGGGGCATCTCGTTGGCAACGAGATATTTTACCACTAAACCAACGGCGCCTGCTCACTTCATTCTACCCCCTCTGTCAAAAATCAACACAAACAAACAACAGCCTCCTCACGGCATACATCGTACCGGCAACTGTCACTCACAACATCCCGACGAGTCGAATCCGTTTCGCGGCAAAATGACGGCGTGTTTGCAGTCGACAAGGAATAGCAGCTCTACATACCGCAGCTATCGCCTGTCAGTCGTCAACGACGTCTAAAGACTCCATCAAGTGGTGTAACAGCTGCTACGGTGTACATGAAGCTCTCAATAGTCAGCAATCAAGACAGCAGTAAAGAGAATGCGCCGTCCGGGAATCGAACCCGGGGCATCTCGTTGGCAACGAGATATTTTACCACTAAACCAACGGCGCCTGCTCACGCCATTCTACCCCCTCTGTCAAACAAATCAACACAAACAAACAGCAGCCTCCTCACGGCATGCATCGTACCGGCAACTGTCACTTACAACATCCCGACGAGTCGAATCCGTTTCGCGGCAAAATGAAGACGTGTTTGCAGTCGACAAGGAATATCAGCTTAACATACTGCAGCTATCGCCTGTCAGTCGTCAACGACGTCTAAAGACTCCATCAAGTGGTATAACAGCTGCTACGGTGTACACAAAGCTCTCAATAGTCAGCAATCAAGACAGCAGTAATAGGGAATGCGCCGTCCGGGAATCGAACCCGGGGCATCTCGTTGGCAACGAGATATTTTACCACTAAACCAACGGCGCCTGCTCCACCAATCTACCCCCTCTGTCAAAAATCAACACAAACAAACAACAGCCTCCTCACGGCACACACCGCACCGGCAACTGTCACTCACAACATCCCGACGAGTCGAATCCGTTTCGCGGCAAAATGAAGACGTGTTTGCAGTCGACAAGGAATAGCAGCTCTACATACCGCAGCTATCGCCTGTCAGTCGTCAACGACGTCTAAAGACTCCATCAAGTGGTGTAACAGCTGCTACGGTGTACATGAAGCTCTCAATAGTCAGCAATCAAGACAGCAGTAAAAGAGAATGCGCCGTCCGGGAATCGAACCCGGGGCATCTCGTTGGCAACGAGATATTTTACCACTAAACCAACGGCGCCTGCTCACATCATTCTACCCCCTCTGTCAAAAATCAACACAAACAAACAGCAGCCTCCTCACGGCATGCATCGTACCGGCAACTGTCACTTACAACATCCCGACGAGTCGACTCCGTTTTGTGGCAAAATGAAGCCGTGTTTGCAGTCGACAAGGAATAGCAGCTCTACATACCGCAGCTATCGCCTGTCAGTCGTCAACGACGTCTAAAGACTTCATCAAGCGGTATAACAGCTGCTGCGGTGTACATGAAGCTCTCAATAGTCAGCAATCAAGACAGCAGTAAAAGAGAATGCGCCGTCCGGGAATCGAACCCGGGGCATCTCGTTGGCAACGAGATATTTTACCACTAAACCAACGGCGCCTGCCCACACCATTCTGCCCCCTCTGTCAAAAATCAACACAAACAAACAACAGCCTCCTCACGGCATACATCGTACCGGCAACTGTCACTCACAACATCCCGACGAGTCGAATCCGTTTCGCGGCAAAATGACGGCGTGTTTGCAGTCAACAAGGAATAGCAGCTTTACATACCGCAGCTATCGCCTGTCAGTCGTCAACGACGTCTAAAGACTCCATCAAGTGGTATAACAGCTGCTGCGGTGTACATGAAGCTCTCAATAGTCAGCAATCAAGACAGCAGTAAAAGAGAATGCGCCGTCCGGGAATCGAACCCGGGGCATCTCGTTGGCAACGAGATATTTTACCACTAAACCAACGGCGCCTGCTCACTTCATTCTACCCCCTCTGTCAAAAATCAACACAAACAAACAACAGCCTCCTCACGGCATACATCGTACCGGCAACTGTCACTCACAACATCCCGACGAGTCGAATCCGTTTCGCGGCAAAATGACGGCGTGTTTGCAGTCGACAAGGAATAGCAGCTCTACATACCGCAGCTATCGCCTGTCAGTCGTCAACGACGTCTAAAGACTCCATCAAGTGGTGTAACAGCTGCTACGGTGTACATGAAGCTCTCAATAGTCAGCAATCAAGACAGCAGTAAAGAGAATGCGCCGTCCGGGAATCGAACCCGGGGCATCTCGTTGGCAACGAGATATTTTACCACTAAACCAACGGCGCCTGCTCACGCCATTCTACCCCCTCTGTCAAACAAATCAACACAAACAAACAGCAGCCTCCTCACGGCATGCATCGTACCGGCAACTGTCACTTACAACATCCCGACGAGTCGAATCCGTTTCGCGGCAAAATGAAGACGTGTTTGCAGTCGACAAGGAATATCAGCTTAACATACTGCAGCTATCGCCTGTCAGTCGTCAACGACGTCTAAAGACTCCGTCAAGTGGTATAACAGCTGCTACGGTGTACACAAAGCTCTCTGTAGTCAGCAATCAAGACAGCAGTAAAAGAGAATGCGCCGTCCGGGAATCGAACCCGGGGCATCTCGTTGGCAACGAGATATTTTACCACTAAACCAACGGCGCCTGCTCACGTCATTCTACCCCCTCTGTCAAATATCAACACAAACAAACAACAGCCTCCTCACGGCACACACCGTACGGGCAACTGTCACTCACAACATCCCGACGAGTCGAATCCGTTTCGCGGCAAAATGACGGCGTGTTTGCAGTCGACAAGGAATAGCAGCTTTACATACCGCAGCTATCGCCTGTCAGTCGTCAACGACGTCTAAAGACTTCATCAAGCGGTAGAACAGCTGCTGCAGTGTACATGAAGCTCTCTGTAGTCAGCAATCAAGACAGCAGTAAAGAGAATGCGCCGTCCGGGAATCGAACCCGGGGCATCTCGTTGGGAACGAGATATTTTACCACGAAACCAACGGCGCCTGCTCACGTCATTCTACCCCCTCTGTCAAACAAATCAACACAAACAAACAACAGCCTCCTCACGGCATGCATCGTACCGGCAACTGTCACTCACAACATCCCGACGAGTCGAATCCGTTTTGCGGCAAAATGAAGACGTGTTTGCAGTCGACAAGGAATAGCAGCTTTACATACCGCAGCTATCGCCTGTCAGTCGTCAACGACGTCTAAAGACTTCATCAAGCGGTAGAACAGCTGCTGCGGTGTACATGAAGCTCTCAATAGTCAGCAATCAAGACAGCAGTAAAAGAGAATGCGCCGTCCGGGAATCGAACCCGGGGCATCTTGTTGGCAACGAGATATTTTACCACTAAACCAACGGCGCCTGCTCACGTCATTCTGCCCCCTCTGTCAAAAATAAACAAAAACAAACAACAGCCTCCTCACGGCATACATCGTACCGGCAACTGTCACTCACAACATCCCAACGAGTCGAATCCGTTTTGCGGCAAAATGAAGACGTGCTTGCAGTCGACAAGGAATAGCAGCTTAACATACCGCAAGTATCGCCTGTCAGTCGTCGTTGAGCGTGGTGCGATGCCAGATGGCTCCGGTGTTTAAAAGGAAAGAACGGCGTGGTTAACATCTTGATGCTGCCTGTCCGCTTGCGCTTGCGATAGTTCTAGACGATCCCGACCTCGTCACGGCTCTCGTGCATGCAGAGTAGGCACCAACATGCTACACTGCCGCAGGTATCCTTGGTAGTGACCTCAACTCCAAACTGCAAGGCGTGAACAGGCTAAATCGGCGCGGAATTTTCCATCGTTCACTATTTGGCGGACGTGGACCGTCTGGAAAGAGCCGTAGGTCGTCGGAGAGAGCTTGACGCATAGTAGAACTTTTCCGACCGCATTTACTTTGTGTATATTGTCCGAGACCTAAGTTGTGAATATTAATCGCTATTTTTAGCGAAACGTCAAAATTATGAAGCCTGCTTCGTAGTATTCTAGCATGGCAAGAAATGCAGAGGAAGTCGCTAAGATACAAGTAATGATGCCGCAGCCATGGATGTTGGCTATGAAACGATGCGGAATAATGTTTAGTGGTTTAGACAGCTTTCTCGAACTTGTAAATGATGCACATTGTCAATGCGCTCGTGGTTGTGTCCGGCGCATTTTATCTCGATTTCAAGCAGCTTTCTTCCCACCCTGTCTTACAATGATGCATCATTGGGCTAACAAGCAGATGAGTGGTTGTGTTTTGAACACCGTGTCTTTCGGTTCTATACTTTATCCACCATGGCTGCAACCAAGCCCCTCGTGTTTTTTCTCCGACCTTTTTACTTTGCTTTGGAGAGACCCGACGCAACTTTTTCTTCATAAGCAGATTTCTGTACATCTATCTGTGCACCATCAAGAGTATCGTTCGCATCCTTTAGAGCAAGTGTTGAAAAAAAGACATCAAAATAATGCTCACCAAGGTACGAGGTTATTATGCAGGGGCGTGTAACTGCGTGTTGAGGATGATCAAACCGGTTTGGAAGGGGCTTGCCAAGCGCGGTATAATAAAAGTTTAAAGATAGGAGAGCGCGCTCTGGAGCTCGCCCTTTGATACAAGAAATCCAGTTCGGAAAATTGAATCAAGTTAAAAGCACTATACAACAGCAGCAGTCACTCAAAAAGGTGAATGACGCTGTCAATGTCTATATCAACCAGTACAGATACCCAGCAACGCGATCAGCCTTTGCCACAGTATACTCAAGCAATGCGATCAGCCTTTGCTTATGAGCGTCCAGCATTTGCTTAGGTCATAATGTTCACCTTTGACCCATTTTAAGCCAATCACGTGCTTGCGTCACAAAAGTGACCTAGCCAAAGAGTGACTTTGAATATAGAAGTGGACAGGCTTGATCGCACTTAGTACGGATAAGATGCACTTAACCGCGTTGTCTACAGACACACGGACATGTACGATTCTAAGTTCGGCATTCACCTTGCGCACAGTCACTACTTGCTCCACCCTTCGGGCTCGCAATAAGTGTTTGTACATATTGGTCGATCACCGATGGGTATTTTGTGAATGCGAGTTTAGGGGGGGGGGTGCGGATTGCAAAAAGTGGGTGTGCGGACAACCTTTCCCTTTGCGTTGTCGTGCGGGAAGTCATGCTGTATCGCCATGTCGGCTGAACAATGACACAGCATTTCCGTTTTCGAAAAATAGTACCGACTTGCACATCGCAAGGTGAATGACGCCGACCTGCACCAACACCAACGGAGTGTCATACTTCTTCGCCGTGACTAGAACCTTCCAAACAAAACGACAGTTTGCTCGTTTATCTGACTTTAATCCATAGATATGCCACGCTCCTCTACGAAAACCGAATTTCCAGTCCGACCAAAATCATCCACCCGAATCCATTCCCAAAACTGCTTATTGCCGTTGCAAAGCCAAGCTCTCCTATCTTCAGCGCGTTGCCCGGAGTGCGTCCTTATAGCCTACTGCTTCTTGGCATTGTAAGCCAAGCTCTCCTGGTTCAACGGGTTGTCCGGAGAGCGGCGCCACTACAAACAGTAAAAAAGCATCAGTTAATCACTACCACAAACCATCACAACACGTTCATCCCCATTCTACCATTTCGCTCAGTTTGTGCTTGTACTGCGACAGCTTCAAGCCCGGGTAATCCTCCTTGACCTGCGGCAGCATAACCTCCTCAAACGCCTTATAAGCGGCCTTTGCTTTACGCTCTGGATGCTTTCCGAGCTCTTTATCACCCACGCTAAGGAGGTCCAGTGCTGCATCGAGACTGCGCGCCTCTGTTGGCTCGTCCTTGTTCTTGTTCCTGTTAGCCTGGAATTTGTTTTCAAATGTAATCTCCTTCTTCCCTGGCCTCCCAGCAATGCGAGCTCCCTCAGCCTCTTTCAGAACCGCCATCTCAGCCTGCGTAAGCTTCTTGCTATCGTCTCCATTGACCACAAAGCCCAACTGCTTATTGGAACCTCGATTGCTCTTCTTCGCTGCTGGCTTGACTGCTTCCTCCCAAGGCTTTGCAACCTCTTTCGCTGTTTTCTTCTGCTTTCGAATGGCATGCTTGTCCTCATTCAGCGAATGCTCTTCTAGCGCTAACACCTTCTGCTTCTCGGCCTTTTTGGCCTCCTGCTCTGCACGCTTCCGCTCTTCCTCCTGACGTTTCCGCTCCGCACGTGTATCTGCGCCCTTGGCCCACTCTGCTGCCTCGGCCTGAGCATCTGCAGCAGATTTTGCGACGTCTTTCGTTGTCTTAGCGGCCGCCTTCTTGGCCTTTGCAGCTTCCACCTTCGTGTTCGGACCTCCCTGCTTTTTGCCCATCCGATTGGTCGTGAGAAATCGAAACGGATGCGACAAAATGAAGAATATTCGACATGGTATCCAATAAGCTTGAGAAGAGCAGGGGAGGGGTGTCACAGACTCGGTTTTGATTCCAGCCAGTGATCGTTGACCAAAAAATACATACACATAAAAACAATGATTTCTGTCATTTTTAGTACGGTTTACCGAGCTAGCTCAGGTATACCATTGAATCAGCACGGTATGAAATGATGGGAATTTTTTTTATTCAATAACGGTATGAAATGATGGGCACGCGAATAGTGCGAGCGCTAACTCGATAAACGGACATTTGGACAAATTGACAATCCCGGTGTACTCTTGACAGAGAGTATACCGGTACTGTCAATTTTATTGCGGTACCGAGTTCTCAACAAATTTCCCGCACAGTGCACGCATGCGGCTCAACATCAAGCGAAATGGTATACCAATCCGAAACGGAATGGTATACCGTCAGGTGCATTGACCGACTTTTGGCAAATAAAAAACGACAGAAACCGTCATTTGTCTGGCTTGGTTCATGAATGACATTTTGCAAAGATGCAGGCGGTTAAGAAGGTCGTGCACGACGCTGTCTCAGTGGAAGCTGCACGACTGCGGAAGTTCCTAGAGGCTGGTCGTGGTGAGACGATCGTGCTGACTGGAGCAGGCATATCGACGGACTCTGGGATTCCGGATTACAGAGGACCTAATGGCGTCTACATTCGCAACAAGGACTTCCGTCCGATCCAGTTCCAGGAGGTCAGTCTGCCGCCACTCAGTCAAGTTTTCACGTTGGCCTGCTAATCTAATCACCTCTTCCAGTTTGTTTCTGCTCACACGTATCGACAGCGGTACTGGGCACGCAGCTTCCTCGGGTGGCCCAAAATTCTGAACGCACAGCCGAACGGATCGCACTACGCACTCACAGAGCTCCAACGCGCGGGCACAGTGTCGAGCATCTTGACTCAGAACGTAGACCGGTTGCATACGAAAAGCGGATCGCACGGTGTTGTGGAGATGCACGGATCCCTGCACGAGGTGGAGTGCCAGGGGTGCGGGGACGTGATCCCCCGCCAAAGCTTTCAAGACGCTTTGCGCAAGCTGAATCCAGAAGTTGCTTCATGGTCGGCGACACACCCGGACAAGAAGACTGGCGACGTCGCGTCAAGTGAGAACGTGAATCCAGATGGGGATATCGACATTTCGTGGAGCTACGACGAATTTGCCTACCCTGCGTGCAGCAAGTGCAGCGGCATCATGAAACCCAGGTATGCTACGCTCGTTTTGAACCAAATGCACATAGCAGCGATGTTGACCCGTACTGTCACCTCTTGTCCTGTTAGAGTCGTGTTTTTTGGTGAGAATATGCCGGGAGTTACTCGAACGACTGCATTGGAGCGCGTGAGCAGTGCGAACGCGCTACTGGTCGTTGGCTCGTCACTTGGGGTCCTGACAGCCATGCGGTTGATCAACCACGCACACGCTCGCAAGATCCCCATTGCCATCGTCAATTTGGGGCCGACGCGAGCCGATGGGCTGTGTGATCTACGCATCGGTCAACCGTGCACACAATTGCTCACCGAAGTAGCTGACCAGCACTGAAAAAAGTTGCAATGAAACGACTCAACAGCTCAGATTTGCCTACAGCAAAGTAGGTCTAGTGATCAACGAAGGATGCGAACCTACCACAAATCACATTCGCGGCGATATCTTACACACGCAGAAAATGCAGCAAAATTTCTTCAAACGGGTCCACCAAAAGTAGACCCTACTGCTTGCAACTTGCAGCAACTTGCAGCAACTAGCTCCAGACGGTACGGGTCGGGAGCACAGCAGTAGAGCCACCAGCATGCATGTGTGACTTGCCGACGCTACCGGCGTTCAGTGCCATCACACGCTGCGCTAACCAGCCAGGCCCTTGCACCTTTACTAGCGCTTCTTTGCAGCTCCCCGACTCCGGCAACGGGGCAACCTCAGTGTCCATGCTTTCCGACTCCGGCATCGAGACAACATCAGTGTCAACGCTCTCCGACTTTGGTGGCGAGACAACCTCAGTGTCCACGCTCTCCGATTCCGGCGTCGGAGCAGCCTCAGTGTCCACACTCGCCGGTTCAGACGCCAGCGGGGCGTCCACCTCATTATTTGTAAGTGCAGGTTCAGCGAACGTCTCCAACGAAACTTCTTGCTCAACCGTGTTACTTTCCGGCTTCAACGAAGTCTTTCCAGTGGCCAACTTATCGGCAGCCGCAGCGGCGGCGGCAGCAGTGTCGTAGCGAAAAGTGATTGATGCAGAATGATCAAACGGACGTCGCTCCATCACCGATTGACTAGCGTGTGCCAGCACTGGCACGGCGGAAGCTGCTTCACGAAGCTGAGCATCAGAAAACTGCCGCAAATTCACGGTTGACTCCTTGACACCAAGGCGAGGGCCATCGTATGCAGGCATGGTCTTCTGAATCGTACGACCCAGCGCATGGATACACTGCGCAACTTGCGCGAGGTTCGTTTGGTTGTACAAGTCGACCGTCTCAAATAGGTCGAACTCTGCAACCCCAATAGTGCGACACGCGCGAACAAAGTTGCTGACGTTCTCCATCTGCTTGAAAGGCGTTGGTGAAGTCTGAATGCGCGGGATCAATCCAGGCTTGATTCTGTTCATCACCGTGCATAGCATGACACCATCTTTCAAGCTATCACCAAAGCTCGCCAGAAATTTCTCGCCGAGCACCGCCTCAATCCACCCTTGCGCCTCTTCTTCAGCTGTTGGTCCAGCGCTATCAGCCACGCGGTTTAGCGCAGGCCTTGACGAGGTAACCTTCTTGTCGCCCAAGCCCGCTTTGTCCATATCATCGGAAAGCTCTGCAACCGTCGCCGCAACTTCCTCCTTTGACAGGGCGCGCTTAAACGGTGGTACTTTACCCGTAGGTTGTGAACCGAACATCGTCAATTGGTCCGCCTTGCGGAACCGAGACAACTGCTCGATCTTCTCGGCCGACGGAGGCGGCGGAGGCGGCGGCGCCCGGTACGCGCTCTGGGCAGCATCAGCTCCAAGCATGACATTGTTCGTATACGAAGTCGTCTGTCGCTTCATTGTCCGGAAACTGCCCAGCGTCTGCTGCGCGGGGATGTTCTTTCCATCCGCAAGCTGGTCAGACGTAAAGGAGCGCTGGTTCTTGCTGCTCTCCTTGACGCCTAGCGTCGGACCTTCAAACTTGGGGTAATTGCGCTGCACGGCACGTCCTAGTGCGAAGATGCAGCGCACCACGTTGCCCAAGTCCTTGCGCTCAAACAGATCGACTGTCTCGAACAGGTCAAACTCGCTCACGCCCATGACGCGGCAGGCCTTGATAAACGACGACACGTTTTCCATGAGCTTGAAAGGCATCTTGGACTTGGTCTCCGTGCGCTTGACGACGCCCGGGTGAATCCGATTGGCCACGGTGCAGAGGAGCACGCCGTCACGCAACCCTTCGCCAAAGTCGTCGCCGATCTGCATGTCCGAGATGGCTTCGAGCCACGCACGCGCCTCGTTCTCCATGTTGTAGTCGTAGCGCTCGGCCGCCTTACGTGCCAGCTCGGCGTCTAGACCAAAGCCACCGCCACGAACAACCACAGGAGCGCGAGTGGACATGGTTCTTCGTTTCTGCTTCGTCTCGTTTTGATGTGCACACTTGATGTTTAATTGGATAATGACGGCGCGCTGAGAGAGTCAGACGGACCGTACAAATGAATACCAGCTGGCTGAACGGAGCTGAACACGGAAGACGTGTTGAGGTATATACCGGTATTCTCGAGGCGGTTGACCTGTTGAGGTCGACTTGCACTCGAATTCGACAGGCCAAAGAGGCTGCGAGCCGGTTACGCGCGATTACACCTACTAATACAAGGGTAAGGGGTCACAAAGTGTCACAGGTGTAGAGAACACGCGTCCATGCCAGCTCAAGTGTTCTCGATCCACGATCGTAACATAAAAGAGACAACAATTTGCGAACGACGACATTATTGTCCGACGTCGAGACCGATTGAACCAGCTTTTGTATGTACATCGTAGACGAAACCGGTGGACAAGTTTAACCGTATCCATGGAGTGTCGAATCCTTAAACAACCGACCTACTGTCAACGACAGCATCTTCGTATTGACTTGTATGCTAAGATACATGCGTCGTAGTTGCAAGTCGCTCACCGTTCCTTCGCCCTAATTTGATTACAGTGGTGGCATTGAGTCCCACGCCTGCGCCAGCCGCTTCGTCGACAGTAGTGGCTCGTTCTCCTCCTTTGAGCCAGCAAAAACGCCTTCACGCTGCGAGGCTTTGACAGGGGATGGTGGCTTACCCCCTGATGTAGCCGTATACATGGTGTGGGAGCTGTCGCCACGGTCTAGTGGGGCCGCTGCTGAAGCTACTGGTAAAGTTCCGGTTACTTCTGCCTTCTTTTGTGCACACTGATACAGCTGCGACTTGAAAGAGTACTCCTCGCGCAGCAAATCAAGTCGGACCTTTGCTGGGACACTGCGCACGATCGTCCAGAATGACCAGATCAGCAGCAGTGACAAATGTTCACACACTAGAATCATGATCATGCGCGTGGTGATTGAGAAGCAGGCGAAATCTGGGCCGAAGCGGAAGTAGGAGAAGTTGCCACCTATCGCGTTAGTTATCTGCTTCGAACAAGAGGGCGAGTAAAACTCCATGGCACCGGTGGAAATGAAAATGAGGCCGATATTGACAAGCACACCGGTGAGCGCAATCACAAGAAGGATGCTGTTCCACTCTCCGATGCCGCCAGCCTTGCGCGGAAATGGGCGCCGGTTCGTTCGGCACAACCGAAAGCCATCGCCGCGGGTCTTAAGCGCATTCACTAGCATACATGCAGCAGGCATGGGTGGCCATAGCATCGAAAACATGACCACAAAGCCAAACTGCACCGTCATATGGTGGTAGTCATCGTACGGATCGTAGTTCTCCTGCTCGCTTTCGAACAGAATTGCGCGGGCCTTTGCGTTAAGAAGCTCTATCTCATCTTCGCTGTTCTCTAAATATCGAGCTGACGTCCGATTCAAAAGATGTGCGAGTTCGTCACGATTGCGAACCGCAGCACTAGTGTCATCGTTGCCAAAGCCTTCACTTTGGTACGACATCTCGGCCAACAGATGCCGCTCGCCTTGAGCTCTTACCATGGCCATCACTTTCTGGTCTGTTCCGCGTAGTCGCTGCTCGTAGTGCTTGCGGTGAATCCAGGGGACGACGACAGCTATCATCAGGTTCAGTAATTGAGTAACGATGATGGGCGTGAGGAAGAGCGTCTCCAAGTCGAGGTGACTTTTGTCAAAAGTCACCCATCCATGACAAGGGATGCATCGTGATTCAGGGAGACCCATTTCATTCCATGCTGGTGGACAGGAGTTACACTGTAAACCCGAGCGATCCATATACGGCCCAAAGCAGCAGTTTGTTGGATCGTTCCATATCAATGTGTTGAGAAAGTTGGTAATCGTATCACCAGCCCCGGGAATCACATATACGAAGGCGAGCAGGAAAAACCACGTGTAGTAGTTGAGGAAATCCATGAGAAACAACTTGCGTATCAGGGATTCCTCGAACTGCTCAATGGTTTTCCAATTTTCCCATTCCGTGAAAATGCGCGCAACTCTCGTCACGAGCACACTCCACTGAATAACATCCACAAACAACCCGTACAAGATGCCGCCACCTAGGATATAAAACCACTGTGCGGAAAAGACGCCTCGATCTGGATAGCGCACTTTCAGCACCACAAACGCAGTGATCCAGATGGCTATAATCAACATCATGATAGCGATTTGGACAATCATGAAAGTGACCACGGCCAGATACTTCGGATACCTTTTCCAGCTCGGGTAGTGTTGATCTGGCAGCCCCGTAACAGGGTCTAAACACGTGGTGCCGTGAAACTTCGGGTTGCGATACACAATCGTTTGGGTTTCTAGATTATTTGCCCACAAGTAATTCAGTTCGTTTTGGCGCCGCGACCAGGCTTTGAGCATCCCAAAGCTCCACACGATCGAAACAAGCACAGCCCACCATACTAGAACGCGCATGTACATGGGTGTGCTCATCACACCGCGCAGACATGTCAACAGCACACCTAAAAACGCGACGGGCACGAGTGACTTGTTGTAAAAATCCATGAACGCGAAATAGTACCCGACCTTGTCACCAAAGTGATCCCTGACTTTTTGTAAGAACTTGCTCGACAAAAATTCCAGCTTTTGCGTTCCAATGAACGTCAGCAAGTAGCGATTCGTCGCAGGGTCATGAACAGGAAATATCGAACGTACATTAGGATGGTCTTCCGTAATCTTGGCTGTTTCTCGAATGATATGATCAATGACCTGGATCCTCTCAGCAGGGGTGACAATAGGGCTGCCTCGCACTATTGAGTCCACTTCGCGCGAGTTGCCACTGCGCAACCATGTCTGGAGTCGCAATCGTCGCCCATAAATAGCCAGTACTTCATCATTTCCACGGATCAGTAGCACAAAGTACTGGCTGGTCTTTTCACCGTCAGTCTCCACTCGACTAAAATCTCCTTCCAGCACGTCTACGTCCAGACCACTGGCTACTAGATTCTCAATTAGCCCCCTCTCCATTTCCGTGCTGCTGTCATCTGCTACGTCAATATCCACGACAGTCGATTTTACCGCTTTCTTTTCCTCACGTGAACTTCTTCGTGTCACAATGGAAAAGTCGTAGGTAGTGCCACCCAGTTCTGCACCTTTCAAGTAGCGGCACGTGCCTGACCGAACCGAATGCGTTGGTCCCGGTTGAGGTGTCTCGGATGGCATCAAGGTCCACGGATTCTTCTGGATTTCTGTGTTCATCTGGCGATGGCGTTCAGTGTGCGCGTGCACGTGATCGTCATCAATTGGAACGGGAGTCAACTCGGGCGTTGGATCGTCCGACATCGCAGCGATCGCCTTTGGCGGAATAGATCGGATTCCAAATCACTCGGGCAGCATTATCAGAAAACCGGTAGAAAAAAGCGCTGAAAGTACTGAGCACTTTTACCGGTACTGGCACAAAGAGTCGCGTCAATAACATTCTTCAAGCAGGTCGAGCAATGCACTGAAGAATCGGGTGGGTTTTCGGAACGAAGACTTGAGAAGCTGCGACAAAGAGCAAAGACAGAGCTCTCAACAGTAGACGCGAAGCAAGAGACGACAGATCGCGTCAAAGGTAACGAATCGCACCCACTGACACAATCGCGCAGTAGCCTTAACGCCCTTCTGTGCCCGCATTGTTGCAGATGAGAGAGACCAGCGACACAGAGAGCGAGTACGAGGTCCTGTACCCAGGAAGCGTCGCCACGCAGGAAATCCTGAGCAGCAGCAAGTTTTGCTGCAAGTTCATGCCCGAAACTGACGTGGTGTCCGACTCGCTGCTTCGTTTTTGCGGTAGCTTCCCCGTGCGCATGGCGCCGCTGATTGCGGCCTCGTTGGTGCAGCGGTTCACGATTGCGCGCTTTAACTGGGCAACTAAAACGTTGCAGTCGTTCTTGGAGGTCGTGTGCTGGACCAGTGTCACGTACGCGACTTACTCGCTCTATGGCGACGTTCTCCTTGCGTTGGAAGTCGGCACATTTGTCGGGGCTATGATGTCGGTGTGTGACGAAGTCGTGCTGGAGGTCGTGCGCGGCTTGGCACGCATCATTCGCAACCAGCCAGGAGGTGGAGACTTGCTACAACGTCTCGGTTTTGATGTACCGAAAAATGGAAAAGCACCGACTGACGGACACGAGATCACGCTCATCAAGAACGTGGTGTTTGGTTACTTTGGCGTGATGGCAGTGCGTTCATTGTGGGAGAACTTTCACGACGTAAAGTTCTTTGCCTTGCTGACGGCTTGTACCGGAGTGGCCTTTGTAGTCACAGCCGAGTTCTTCTCCCTCTGGCTGCCGACACGACGTGTTGGACTGACACTGCAGTCGCGGTTCACAAGGGTTGGACAGAATTGGCAGCAGCATAAATTTCGATCGTTTGCTGAGATGCTCTGTTGGACAGTGTCGACAAGCTACCTGTACTATACCACGGAAGATTGCTGGTGGTCCTTTCGGATAGGAACGTTGGTTGCGGTGGGTGCGAGTCTAAGCTCAGGACTTGATCATCTCACAGACGTTGACACTAGCTGTATCGAAGAAAACGAGTACGGCTTCTGGGAGGAGCGAGCTCTGGACGACTCATACATGGCCCTGGCGGGTCGCTTAGTGATCGTTCAGCATGCACTCAAGTCTTTCGGGCGCTCGGTGGAGACAACGTCTATGGACATGTACGAAAACTTTGCCGAGTGAATGAAATAAGCAGGAGTACCAAACCTCGGTGCAAGAATCGACTGTGTGATTGTTGGCATCTTGCTCGTTAGTATCGCAGCTTCGCCGTGTCGTCTTCATCGCCGGGGCCGTGCCGTTCTAACACGGCCACAGCATTTCAGTATAAGTGCCGCTTGAGCCCCGTAGTGCATGAAGTGTGTACAGGGTGTCGCCAGATGCACAAGCACTCGAGTAGCACTTTTTCCATACAAGTAATACAGCTCTTCCAAGCTTGAACACTCAAGTCAACATGGTCCTCAACTCGAATATAATCACTGCTAACGTGGCACTATCGAAGTACGATATGGCGGTCCGGCAAGTACACGTGGAAAACACCTACACCAGCGACAGGAGGTACAACGTGCTGTTCCCGTACCAGCCTCACATAGTCTCAGGAGCGAAAGCAAGTGGCCTCTACCTAAAGTAGTGTTAGCCTCTAAATCACGGGAGGCAGGTGATAGGTAGACGTAAGGGCCTAGGATCTGAACATTATTAGGCCGCACGACACTGAGCGGTTCGCAAGAATGGCGCGATGCTATTATTGCGGCACAGGCGGCCCATGTTGTGGCAAAGCATAGACGAAAGCACAGGTGCAAGGCTACGAACACGATCTGACGGTTTTGCTCAACGACGTGAACGTATACACGGAGTGACCACAATTGACACTCACGGTCAGTAGGTCCGACACTTTCCGCGTGAATGTTTCCGTTGACGTCCGATGCACGCCAAGTCACAGCAATCTTGAATGTCGTACTCAAGTTCGCTCTCGACAACGCTCGATGCAGCTGACTAAAAATTTCTCTACGATGATTTTTATTCTTGTACGTCGCGACTTACAAGCCCGAAATTGCTCATGGCTCGAATAAAGCTTGCACCGACATTTCGCTTCGTCACAATGAAGAATGGTGGTAGACGATCAAACGTCGTTCGGATCGAAGACGGATGATGCATCGATATTGAAACGGACGAAGCAATACGAAGCTGGTAGAATAGCCCAACGATGAAGGATGAATCGATAGTCAGTGCTTTTACCGTCAGCAGGGACACAAATATGAATGATAGCACGTGCACTGGACTTATTTATATGATCAAGGTATACTGCTCGATATGATGCATCATGATAAGGTATCCCTGAGGAACAAGTGTCTTTTGCATCATGAGGACAAGTCTCACAATACTAGAATTTGGTCCGACAATGTCGTCCCTAACGTCCGAGTTCACGTCATTTCACAAACTTGTTTGGTAGAATTGCAAAGAGTCAGAGGAGAATGAGGAAGAAGTGTATGCAAATCCAGGCCAAAAAGCGGAAAGACGCTCTTGGTTGAGTCGTACGCATGTTTTTAGTGCGGCTGGTCATATGTAACACAGATGCAGTATGTAGTCTTTTGCTCACCTTTGAAATGACCAAGATGACAATATGTGTACTCGACTCACCATTCGCACAAACCACTATTTACACACATTTTTTGTCCCAGGTATTGACTGCACCGTTTGCATATTGCATCAAAGTCATGAGCGGTCGGGACGATGACGACGTGCCTTCACAGATCCTCGAGCACGCGTTCCTCGGCTCTAGGAAGCACGCACGCAACAAGGAGCTGCTTGTCCGACTTCGCATCACCCATATCTTGAATGTGCGGATTCTGGATTCCTGGTCAAAAGTGCTCCGAGACTGACGAATGGACGATGTAGGTGACACCTCCGAAGAAAATGGACCCGGTGGCAGGTGTACCCAATTTCTTCGAAAAAGAAAAGCTCTTCACATATCGTCGATGTCCCATTTTTGACAATCAAGCGGAGGATATCTCAGCTGTACTGGAAGGTTGCATCGCCTTCATCGACCAAGCAAAGTACTATGGTAGCGACTCTGCATATGAAGTACACATGGTATGGATGTTGTTTGTATGTACTCACAACGTCCAAGTACGAATTGCACTGTGCATTCCTGGGGTGTGTCAATGATGTGCAGGTCGGATTCTTGTTCACTGCAATAAAGGAGTGAGCCGCTCGTCGTCTATGGTCGTGGCCTACCTCATGAAACTGCGCTCTATGAGCTTTGATCAGGCGCTAGCCTTCGTGGTGGAGCGCCGTCAAATGGCTAATCCCAACCAGCACTTTTGCCGGCAGTTACAAGAGTACGGACGATGTCTCCAGCGCAGTATACCGAAGGAGAAAAGAGCTGTCCATGGTCCTGTTGGTCCTCAACTGCCCCCTTCTGCAGGAAGTGGCGAAGACGCTGTTGCCATCGGACCCAAACTACCGCCGCACTTATCGCGAAGTCCGAAAAGAGATAAAGTTGACGACGAAACTGATGCCCAAGCGCGGAGTGACAAGGTCATCGAGCCACGTCTGAAGCGCCGACGAGTGGGATCAAACGACCTAGGTGTAAACGCTGAAGACAATGAGACGTCCGCCAAGAAGATCAGAGTGGAGGAAACTCAGCCGTAGCTGAGTCGTCGCTAAGTTGAGTCGTTAGTAACCTGAACAGCCGCGTACAAATTATACAGCAGGTATCTTCTTATTGTGGAAGTCAGGTATGCGTAACACGCATTATATATCCTTCCTCCTGGTACGTAAAGTCGTCGAAATGATGACCCTCGCCATTCTTTTTGTTGACGGGGGAGTCCACGGCCGCCATGTTCTGAAACATCTCGGGCACGTTCGTGATATCATCGACGCTGTTGACGTCAGGAACAAAAGAAGGCTCTATCTCCTTCCGCAGCAGCTTGTCCCAGTCGATTACTTCAAAAAAAGGATGAGCCATGATATCACGGCCGCCGTTTGGACCGCCTCCGAGTCGCCTTGACGGATCGCGGTTCAACAGCTTCGAGATCAGCGACCGCGCCCCTGGTGAAATATGTGACGGGTATATCACCTCTGACTGCATAATATTCTTGAACATCTGCCGACGATTGCGGTCAACGAACGGTGTTCGGCCGGTCAGCATTTCGAACAGCAAAATACCGTAACTCCACCAGTCGACCACCTTGCCATACGCCTGGTGACGAAGTAACTCTGGCGCCATGTACTCCGCTGTACCGCAAATGGTTTTCATGCCCGTGTCAGCTTGAGAGGAACGTATGGCACCTTCCACCATCTGACCCTCCTTGGACAAGCCGAAATCGGTCAAAGCGATGTTACCCTTGGGATCCATCAAAATATTCTCGAGCTTCAGGTCACGGTACGCAATCTGTTTGCTATGAAGATGCATCAGGGCTGTCAGCAACTGTGCCATGTACAACCGCGTGCGGTCCTCGGAAAAACGCTTCGATTTGCGCAGGTGGTAGAACATCGAACCACCCGGGTAGTAGTCCATAATCAGATACAGCTTGTCAGCATTCTGGAATGCAAACCGCAGTCGCACCACGTACGGGTGATTGATTTCCTTTAGAATGTGCTGCTCTGCCTTCGTATTCTCGATTTGATCATTCTTGATAATATGGGACTTCACAAGAATTTTCATCGCGTAAATTTGGCCAGAATTCTTGCCGTCCTTCTTGCGGACAAGAAGCACCTTACCAAAGGCGCCACGACCGACAACCTTAAGCAGATCAAAGTCGCTGATCGAAAGAGGGCGCTTCTCAGCTTCCTCTCGCTTTCGCATCGCCTCCATACGCTGGGCGTGCTCATCCAGTTTATCTTGAGACGGTGCTCGTGCTGGACCATTCGGGCTCATTTGTGGAAGCTTGTTGTGCAGCATCATTTGAAGATCGCAGCAGCCCGAGCATACTCGTTTTGGCTCGCTGAATCCAGGAAGGAACAAGCGATCAGAGCACGATGCGCAAACTAGACGCAAGCACATACGGCAATATCGACGCCGGCGCAATACAAAAGTAGTCTTGCACAGGTAGCAGAAGTTCTCATCGTCCGCGCTCTGGCGATCCCGTTGCTGGGCTTCCAGCGTTGGCATGCGATTTCCACGAATGAACGAGTCAGAACGAGCAACGAAGGTATCGTGCAACCACTCAAGTGTTAGCTCAACCTCGCCATTACCGTGTACCGTTGGCAACTTCTCGTCGCGCAAAGAGAACCATCGTCGATCAGCGCGATTGAGCCCCACCTCACTCATGTTAACAACGACCTGGCCCAAAGACGTGTTCATCGGAAATGATCGGTCTTTCACCACGACAACCACCTTTGCTTCAATGGACGTGACAGGGAAAGAGAACGTTTGATTCCATTCCGGGTCCATCGTGTGCTTATGACTTCCCACCGTATCCTTCTTCTGCCCCGCGCATTGCACCACGGCAAACGGGTTATTGTATGGCTGGCCAGTAAGCCGCGCACGATTTACCGTCACAATAAGCTTGTTGGGAAATGTAGCACGAATGGCGTGCAAAGAATCTTCGATCCCATTTGCAATGGAGTGCAGAAAAACGAAAGCGGACGTTTGCACAGAGTGGACCGTCCACTCGCTGTTGTTTGCCTCGCTTGAAGTGCGTCCCACCGACAGCGATGTGCATCCAAGTCGTGCCTGCGACGACCCAATGACCGTAAACATGGGCTCCGTCGAAGCCTCGAAGTTTACCGCTTTGTCACGCAGCAGTTCTCGTAACGCAGCGGAGTCTCCTGACGAAATCTGGTGCGCTGACTCAATAAACGCAATGCCGCCAACCCGCTGTTGTTCATGTGTACTAAGCGAGGACAAGAACGTCTTCAGCAATACACCAGCATGGTCGTACACAATAAAGCTGATCTCCTGCGCTGCGTTAGGCACAATATAGTTCTTCCAGACGTACGACACGTGGGCCTCAGGCGTCGACGAGTGCAAAATCTTGGCTCGATGGCCGTTGACTACGCAGAAGTTCGTACTGGGGTTCAAAATCGCAACGCCGTATCCCCCCTGAATGGCCGTCTTCAAGTACGGAATCATTGAGCCCTGGAACCCCGTCTTTGGATGAATCGTCTTGCTCCACATACCTGGCTGCATCCCTGTTCCGTGTTCACACCCGCACAATCGTACAAACAGAGCGTCACATCCAACAGCACACATGATCATAATGATAAACGCGACTGCAATTCGACTGCGGCCATTACCTTCGCCCGGCTGCATGAAGACGCAGAGCTTGGCACACGCCGCGTAGTTGGGCGAGACAAAGATGCTGCAGCGCGCCTCAGCTTTCGCATTGGGGATCAAGACCTCGCGCAAGTTCAGTTCGCTCTTGAGCTTGGCGTGAATCTGCGCCACGAGCGTCTGCACGAGTTCCTCGACGTCGTCCTCGGTCTTGAGACTACAGTTCTTGCCACCGCCTGCATTAAAAAGGGACACGGTCAATGAGGAGAGGACGCACGAGAGAGAAGCAGGTCCTCCGCATACCTTTGGAGCTCAGGCGCCGCATCGTGCCGAGTACGAGGGGCCGACAGATAGGCACGTAGACAGATAGAGACGCAGACAGGTGAACGAACAACAGCGACGACGCGAAGGAAAATCGTGTGTCGTCGCGTTGTCGGAGTGCCTCGTTAAGTGCGATTACCAGGCCAATTGATGATGCAAAGTCAGTGGCACTGGTGCAAGTCGCCCGTGACACGCGTGACGTTCCGAGGCCAGCGCGTGCACGTGAAGAGGGATGACGTGTTCCATTTAGCAGGCAATAAGGTGGACCGCGTGCTCGATTGGTGCGAGGGCATTGTCCCCTGGCAAGTTGTGACGTCTGTTTTGCCACTTTGCAAATGCTTCCGTTGGTATCTGCGATTATGATGCTACCTGCAGATGCGCAAGCTGTTCTACCTCATCAACCAGAGCGACGCGTTCTATGCTGACGCGCACTTGCTCAGCTTTGGTGGGTCACAGAGCAACGCCATGCTGGCGCTGGCTCAACTGGCCCATGCACGATGCATGCCCTTCACTCACTTTAGTCGAGAGCTGCGGCTCCAAACGGAGATGCCCGACACTTTGGAGGGAAATCTGTCGGTGGCGAAAGCGCTGGGCATGCAGCACGTACAGCTTCACGTAGATGCGTATCAGCATCTGGCACGGACTCGTGATTTCGCAGCGGTTCTCGACATGAATCAGCGTCCTCCACCAGGCACGAGGAATCTGTACGTACCTCAAGGAGCAGCGTTTCCAGAAGCCCAGGACGGTGTGAAGCTGCTAGCGGATGAGGTCAATGAGTACGTTCAGACGCAGTATCCGGACAAGTACTTCTCCGTTGTAGTGCCCTGCGGCACCGGCACTACTGCGCTGTACTTGGCACAGCATCTGCAGCCAGAGATTAAGTTGTTCGCGATCCCTTGTGTCGGCGATACAGCGTACTTGCAGCAGCAGTTCCAACAGCTTATCGAGCAGGACCCGTCGTTGCACTCGACGACAGCAGTGCTGCCACGCGTGATTAAACCCACGAGGAAGAGCCGCTTTGGACGACTGTGGTGGCCCCTGTATGATATGTACCATGAAGTGCTGCAAGAGACGGGGGTGAACTTTGATCTCGTGTACGGAGCTTTTGCTTGGCATACGCTGTTTTCAGACGAAGGAGTGCTTGATGAGGTATTGCAAGGTCGACATGAGATAAGTGTAGCGTCAACCGAGCACGATTCGGGTGACAGGCACCAACGAGAGCTGCTGTACATTCACACAGGAGGCACGTCGGGCAATGCCTCGATGCTAGCGAGGTACGCGTACAAGAAGAAACTGGAGTAAAGTGCAGGGTGGCAATGTACAACATTGGAAAGACGTGTCCGACAAGAGAAGAAGTGGTGAGAGAGAAGCAGCAAGGTCAAAACAAGTGTGGTGAAGCTGCAGCAGATGGGGGCAGCAGGTGCAGTGACCAATTCGGGTCCCGATCGAGACATGTTCGAGCTGAGCTGTTCACTTTTAAACTGTGCGTAGATTTGTACGTACCTTCGAATCTGCCGTCGTTTGTTGGTGTGCAAACATTTGTACGATGAGCGATAGTACAAGTTTAAGGAATGTACACCACTTTCATCCACCCTCGACTAGTAGTAAAAGCCAAATTGTACTGACTAAATGACGGAAGGCAACGCAGCGACGGCGGTCGTAACGGCCCCTACGGGATGCACCGATCCGTCTTCTTCATTTAATGCGTGGCTACTGCAGAAGCTACGTCTAGAGTGGAGCTCAAGCGATCTCGGGGGCCTCTTGACGCCTTCTAAGCTTGCGGAAGCGCGAGCAAGTTTCTCGCACTTGGAGACGCCCATTAAGGTAAGCTATTTGAACCAATCGTACGTACGCGTATGTGCGCAATTACAAGCTAGTATCGTTTGATGATTTTGCTAATGTGCTTAGGTCCGTTTGTTGCTGTCGTTGTTGAGTGTCCGTCGGGACGGAGTGGACGAGGCTGAGGGTACGAAGCAGAAAGAGATCAATGCACTACTACTCACGGCAGAACAAGATGCTGAAGAGTGGGTGAAGATCAGCGCCGGTATTGTCAAGCAATTCCTAATACTCCAAGCTACTGGTCGACCCACCGACTCCTATCTACACGCACAACTGGAGACGACGGCGTCTAAAGTCGTGAAGGCGGTGACTACTCCCCCTCAGACGCGTCCCAGCAGTAACGCAATGAACGTTGCTCTAGCTGACTGTTTCTCGCTTGAGAATGGGCTGCTGAATCCATTGCTGCGTCCTCCGCTGGCGCCGACGGTAACCACGCACTTTACAGTTAGTGGAGAAGACGATGATGCTAACGGCAAAGAAGACGAAGTGCGTGCGTCGCCTGTGAAGAAACCGCTGCATCGGCCACAGATGGCACGGATGCTTGGTTCGTCCGGCGTGATGGCAACATCGACTGCCGGAACGACGTCGTCATTGGCGAGGACGCAAGTCACAGCAAAAACACCCGTAGGCAAGCGAAAGAATATGACTGAGCTCTCGTCAGAGATTCGACGGAAGGCTGATGCAGGCAGGTTCAAGCGACAGAGAAACCGCATATCGATGATCGACATCAACGAGGTGAAGCAAATTGAATCGGAAAAGGCTCAGAAGGCGGAAGAGAGAAAGAAGCAGAAGTTGGCGGCGAAGGAAAAAGAAAGGGAGAAAGCAAAGGAGAAGGAGAAAGAAAAGAGTGATGCGTTGATAGCAGGTGCAACGGTCGATGTAAGCGAGAAGGGTGGAGTTGCAGAAGCCACAACGGTACCGGCTTATGTCAACAACGAGCATGCTGCTATCGCTGCCGACATTTTTGCGATGCACCACCAGCAACATGCCCTGGACGATTCAGTGCAGCAGTATTCTCAACCGCAGCTACAGACGGAGAGCAACGTTGCACACGCACAAGTAACTTCAGTGGCTGCTGGTGGAGATGACTATGTCCCCGACGGAACGCAAGCATTACTGAACGCAGCGTTCCACTCCACACAGGATATCATGAAGGAAGTTGTAAGCCAGCAAAATCAGCAGATGCAGGAGCAACATCAGATGCAGCACCAACAGTTGCAGGCACCTGCGTACCAGGATTTGTACCGAACTCAGCAACAAATGCAGATGCAACCCTTAGCTCCTCCGCAGCAACAGTATCACCAAGGGTTTGAGCCAGAGGATGCCTCGATCGTCAACGCAAATACTGGTGCAATGCCAATGGGATTTGGCGGCTACAACTATGGCACGACTGCGGGATACTACTACGATCAGTTTGGCAACTACGGCGCTCCACAGGATACAAATGCGTTTGGGTCAACAGGGTATCCTAATTCTGCCATAGGTCATAATGGCATGAATGGTATCGGGCTGCCTCCTCTCGGTGGCCGGCAGTTAGGTTTTGACCCAACACAGCAGCAACCGCAACACCAACATCAACACCAACAGCAAAATAACGGGGGCTACATGGGCGGGTCCGGGGAATACTGGAGATAGACATTGTTGTTGAAGATCGTGATGACAGCTAGGAGCAGTCGAGCGTTGCGTTCGGACGACTGGTGAAGAACCAGCTGCACCATCCGACTCGTTGGCTTGCGTATGATGATGTAAAGTGTGAATATAGGGAAAGCCCATACGTGTTCGTCACAATGGACCATTTGAGCCCGTCCGGTACTGAAAGCTGGTCACGATATGCCTGCCACCATGCCAGAGCATTGCTGAACGCCGTCCACAACCTTTTGCTACGTTAGCCAAACTGAAACGACAAGGAGACAGAGCAGCAAAAAGACGAGCGACACAGGCAGACATATCATCGCAGATGTGCACATGCACACCTCGTGACAAATACCCGAAGGAATACATGTTGCTTCTTACACTTTCCATCACCCAGATCCCACTGGTGAACGTACGCCATAGACCTCCGCGAAGCAGAAACGAACGTACGTCTTTCTTACGCGCCTTTCTTTATTCGCTGCTGAGCATGTGATTTTGTACGATCTCCATCAGACCAATGGGGTTGTCAATGTGCACCCAGTGACCAGATTTTTCGAGCAAGTGGTGGTAGACCTGACTCTCCTGCAGCGCCTCCAGTCGGTCCAATATTTCGGCAGTCCACATTTTGTTCTTTGAGGCATGCACAAAGTGAAGCTCCACATCTTTGCCTCTCGTTGCAGGTGGGTACTCCACGATGGGCCAGAGATCCGTTCTTAAGAAAGAGCGAAAGAGCTCCTCGATGACGTCCACATCCATTCTCCACTCGTAATGCTCCGGGCTCTTGCTAGTTAGGCGCAAGTTTGTGGTGAGCCATTGCGCTACACCCAGCGCAATTCCATAGCCCCGCAAATCCTCCACAAGTTGCACCTTTGAGCGGATGGGCAGCGGGATTTTCTTCACTACTGGCAGAATCGTTTCGATCGAGCTAGTGAGGTCACGACTCGCGTAGTCCGTTGCACCTGACAACAAGAAGCAGCTGTCAATAAAGTGAAACTAGGATATGTTCCACGTGGTATGAGTGTGTGCAAGTGCTTGATGTGTATTGCACCTGTTCCAGGTAGTGAATCCAGAGCCCAGACTTGGCTAGGTGGCGAGCGGTCTTGATGCATACACTGCTGTAGATACATGAGCGCCACCTTCCCGCCAAATGAGTGTCCCAACACGGCCGTGGGCTGCACTTTCAGGCTATCAGTCAATTTACTGCGTCGCCCATGCATAAACAGGTACAAAAAAGAAACGCATCAGACGGCTACGCTACAATGTCACGTTTAAATGCAACACATACATCACGTCTTCGGCGCATGCCTCCAAATTGTGAGGCTTCGTGAACGAAGGCGAGTCTCCGTGTCCTTATTTGGCAAAATACATCTTCATTATCGTACGAGAAACTCCCCGACTCCGCATTCATCCCTATGGCATTCAACGTGACTTACCGCGCAGGTCCACGACAATGAAACGCCAGTCTGGATTCTTCTTCGTCAACCTGCAGGGAAATCAAACATCCAGGACCGACTGTCAGCACGCATTCCGTTCAAGCCCTCCAAACTACAACGCCCTAACTTCAGCGCAAATGTGCGCCAGTTTAGCTTGTTCCCTGCACAAACAACACTTCTTTAGTCCCCCACTTCGATCAACCTCGACACATCTTGACCGCTCTTCTCACCTAGAATGCCATGCATTACCAGCGCAGTCTTTGTCGCTTTCTTGCTGCCACTGGTGTCTTCAAACACTCGGTACGACAGCGTGCTCTTCTCCCGTCCAGCCAGCACGTAGCTACAGCCAGTAACAATGATAACAGCCACCAAACCACAGAGATATGTATAAGAATCACATATGCAAAGAGAATGAAGCATGGAAGACATTGCATTGCCTGCGAGCAGCAGCGCTATGACGGCCTGCTGTGCCGAGTAGACGGCTGGGAAGTCTCATCGCAAGACAATTGACAAGCATGACGATTGGCCCTGTCTGATTGGACAAAGTCGCAGTTGATACAATCAGTTTGAATATGGCTACATAATAGTTTACTTACTTTTCCAGGTCAGTTTGCTAGTAAAACGTAAAGCGATAATATCCGATGATTTCTTTTTAACAGGGGACGGTTTTAACGTACGAGTCGATTGTGGGTCAATGTATGAGCGCTTTTTTGACAAATCAAACTATCATCTATCACGTATACCCAATCTAATTCTGACATTCCCAAAACAAATCGAAATACCTATCATAATTCGAATTGTTTAATCGCATTTGCGGTGATGGCGATTGCTGAAAGGTGACGAGCTATGACAGTAAAGGTTGTGGAAGAGACGCAGACAGCACCGATTGGACACACATGTGGAATGCCGACATTCTTTCTCGGTTTTACGACGTGTACTCTCTCTAGCTTCGCCTACGCCGGAGTTCTTGACCGTCAGACGACTAACTCTTAGGTTGCCGTTGCTGAACGCTGGAGTGTTTAGATTAAAAGTTGTGAGCTGAGGAGTTTATAGGCTGACTGAAAAACACTAGTCACTAACATTCTATACCTCCTATCTTCTCCCTTTGCTCTGGTGTATCGTCGAACACTGGAGACGTGGGAGGCCCAAGCAGACTATCATGTGTGCCTTGTTTCATCATACCTTCAATGGCGTGAATATGATTTTGTAAGACACTGATGGCATCAACGTACCTTGTACCAGCTGCGGTCTATCTGCAACACTCCCCTTGGCCGCGATGGCTACTCGACTTGGGACTCGCGTTTCAACACGTGAATGTGGTCTTGTAGCACTTCGTACGTTGGGCGATAAAGGGCCTTGTCAATATGTCGACAAACTGGTATTTACTGGAGTGCCGCTTCACACTCACTAGGTCTTTTTTTATCTCTTCCTTGATGAAGTGGTACATCAAATGGATGCAGTTTGCGGCTGTTAAAATTATTTCGTTGTCCCTCAATATCATGATGTTGGGAACGACCTCCGAATTAATCATTGGACCATCAATAAAATCAGCTTTTATAGTAGAAATGGCTACAACCGCTTGTGTTTTTAGCTCCACACAATATTTAGGTTATCCGTTAGTATGAAGTATTTGTTCGCTTGTACATTTTCAGTCGGCTCGGTCACCGGACTTATCAGACTTAGACCAAGCTTTAACATCTAGTTCGCTATGTTCAGCGTGTTTACTTACCTTCCAAAAGTTCAGCTCACGACCGATGATCACGGATATCCTCTTGACCATTTCCTTGTAGCACTATCGTGGCTTCTCGCGGTGTCTTAGTGCGTGGTTCACTGCAAATGTTATGTCCGGAAGCGCTGATTTTGAGATCGAAAGAAGCGTATCAAGTGCTTTTCGCAAACGATGAACGTCTACAAGTCCTCTGCACTTTCGAGGGTATCTGAATTGGTACTTGTTAATAATGGTATTGCAACATTGCCCACGCTTCGGTTTCAACGTGCACATATCGTCGTTCACCATGCTCTATTACAACAGGAAGATATTTTCTCTTTTTCGTGCAACGTAATTCCAAGAATCTTTCGCTCTGGGCCCAGCGTTTCAATGTAGAATCTTTCTTCGAGATTTGTGATTACGTTTTGCAGTTCTTTTTTTCGAATGTAAACAGTACATTATCCACGCAAAGCCCTATCAACATCGCTCGCCCCTTCTGGTATCTCTTGTAGTAGATGCATGGGTCCATCTTCGACTCCTTCGGCTGTAGCGCTGCAGCAGAGTCCAGAACGTTTAATTCCATACAGTGGATTCAGGAGTTTGAGAACCTTGTCGTTTGCCAAGATAAGCTCTTGAGGCGAAGTATCATGTGGATAAGCTCACGAAATTGGCCTTTCATGTACGGGTTGGGACTTCCTTCTCCTTGCGTCGATTTGAAACTAGAAAAAAGTCATAAGAGTAAAATAGCCGCAAGATTTATATTTATCACTAGAACAAAAAGCTCGCACCATATCTATTAAAAAGAAACAACGGTCAACAAACCTCGACTTAAAGCTCTAAACATCACCAACAGCACTGAATTTAGTCCTCAATACCACCTGTGGTCGATAACGGTCGTCTTCTTTCCCGGCTATTTTACCACTTACCAAGTACCGTTACGATCAGTGCGTCAAGTTCTGACTGCATGGCCATAATTCAGTCCTCCCGTTCAGGTAGCTTCACATCTTTCAGTACGGATGTCTTCTACTTTACTCACAAATTGATCAACGCTGTTGTATCCGAGTAGCGAGCAGGCTTGAAAATTTGGTTTCGCTCACGCCTCTCTGCTAATGTAACGGGGTTACACAAAAATCATTACCAGATATGCTGGTGCGATAAACACTTAAAGAGATCAGTTAAAACCATTATTATTAAATCACATACGCTAGCGGTAATACCGTGCCTTATCGATTACGGATCGACGGTATCTATCGTAAGAGGATCTTCAAAGTGCGGCGTAGTTCTGTTGTGGTAACACCCGCAAAAGTATCCATGAGGACTCCTTGATTAGGTAGCATAGTTTCTAATTTGAATACATAGATGATGTTAATATCGCTGAAGGGAAAAGTTAACCACCCGCCAGGTTTTCTTAACCACCCACCACCTTTACATACTACCGTAATTTACTTGATTTACGCCTTCTGGTTAGTAGGAATGAGATATTACCGTTCTCAGAAGTAACTTATAACCTCGTTCACAGATGATTAAACACTACATCTGAGATTATGCATGCTTTTAAGTCAGCGACGTGTGATAATTTTAATATCCAGATACTTCTCCCACTATACACTACAATCCAAGCAACAAGTAGTGGCGGCAACCTATGGTGGGGGACAACACCCGAAATGAGTAAGCACACTTACCCTGGCTCTATTGCAAACCGCTTGCGTCTAACCACCGTACGGCACTTTAATTTAAATTCCAGCACGTTGAAGGCGATACCAAGACGTAATTATTACAATACTCCAGTGAATGTGTCATGGAAAGAAAGCGTTGTCGAAGAGGAGCATACATACATGTGGGTCACTCTTATGGCGCTAATCTTTATTTGCCACAAATTCTTGTGGCGAGGCTCTATTCGATGACTGGTCATCATACGTGTGACAAAAGCGATCAAGCGGGTAACTATTCGACGCTAATGTAGTAATTTACCTCGATTTGTGAGTTCGCTGATGCAGTAAAGAATACAAGAAGCGTGACTTCAACAAGGTTACTATTTCGAGTGACTTGAGAGAAGGTTTTACCTGAATTTAAGAGCAGGTGGTTGACAGGGTTACACCACTGCGTGGCTTTCACATAGTAAGATAATTCCGCGATACAGTGGTTTATTGATTGTGGTTGAAGGATTGACGAGGTGGGAGATGAAGTAGATTGTTTGTCTGATATTGCGGCGTGTAATGTGAGCTTAGATAGGCAATATGTCCGACGGTAGAATTTTCAATCCTACTAATCAAAAGGCGTAAATCGAGTAAATTCTGGTCGCACATATTTCCGATGGTGATATTTCAGACTTACGAATAAGAAGGCGTAAATCAAGTGAATTACGGTAGAAAGGAGGAGTGGTGGGTGGTTAACTGAAAATAGTGGGTGGCTAACGTTTTTCTTTTCATGTTACTTAACCGGTAATATTGTGATGTGGGAGTAGTACACTGCTCATTGATTGAAATAGATTGACGACTTCAACCTAGAAAGCCTAGTCCCGACAGCAGAACGCAATTGAGGGTGAGCAGATAATTACAGTACATGTTTGTATGCATGCATCGTTAAAAAAAGATTATTTTTGATTTATTTAACAGGAGATAACTATGCTAAAGACGATTTTGTTTTACCCTCGTCTCGTATTGAGGCCTTCCTCTGCACGTATGCTAGAGCCGACGCACGGCGTCACAAGCTCAACTGTAACGACACGGTCAAATTTGTTTTAGGTCATGAGAATGATGTGTTAAGTTGCAAGCTCTACTTTCCGGATAAAGTACGCGGAAATCCGTGCCCAACATTCGCGTGGATGACCAAGTTCTCCACCGCCACAGACGCACCATCGAATACCCACCCATGAACTACGACAGTGATGTCGATCCAAGCATCGAGGAAGATTCTGTAGAAAACGGAGCCGCGGACATCTTAATGGAAGACGCAGAAATCATTTTTTAAAAGTGTCTTAATCATTGCACAAAATGCAAATCTACAAGACAGTGCTTGAGCAGTATTAGTTCAGTATCGTGGTGCATCCGACACAGTCCACAGAAATATGAATGAAACGGTTGACCCGAGTAAACTAGACTGTCGAAACAGCAAAATGGATGAACTGGTTAAGTAAAAATGGGAGAAGAATCGGCGATGACCAACACTGATCAATCACAGGAGGTCGGGTCCGATGTTTTCCAAGATTCAACATTAGCAATGGAAACGAATCCACAAAGCTGTCAAGTCGAGACAATTCCACAAGGTGATATGAACCGTACCAAATCACATACCGGCTCAATTGACGGCGAGCACCTCAACACGAAAAACGTCGGTATCGCGGCGGGTTAGCGGTTCGATGGAGCCAATGAAGCGCAAGCGTGCACAAGTTTCGTAAACAGGAAGTATCTCTGGTGACTTGCAAGCGAACGTAAGAATATGCGGAGTGCGAGTCAGCGTCGACTGCCATCACGTTTTAATGATTTTAGCGTTCATACAACTTTAAGTAACTTTGATGACGGATGCAGATGACTATTTAAAAGTAACGTCAAGATCCATGCAATAATCAGTAACTTTGATAGCAATTCCAAAGGACTTTCAAAAAGTTAAATGTGAAGATCTCGAAAAATCATGCGGAAGCACTGAGGTCTGAAAGTGCAAGCAAGTGGTGTGATGCGGAGTTGTAGGAGCTTAGAGCACTCAGTACTCAAGGAGTGCTCGAAAAATTTTCCTTGAAAGACGTGCCGGCTTCGACAATTGTGTTGACGACGATGTGAGTTTGTGGAGTCAAACCAAATGAACAAGGAGAAGTGAACCTATTCAAGTCTCAGCCAGTCGCTGGCGTAGACAAGCAACGCGAAGGTGTTGATTCTATTAAATTATTTGCACCAGTATCTCGCATAGCGTTATCTCGACTTTCTGTGGCATTTTCAGTCTGGTGGAGACTTGAGGTCTACAGCTGTGATATAAAAACAGCATGAATTAATAATGCGAGCCTAGAAATATCAAAGTATGACAATCGTCAACAGGGAAATGTGAATGCGAGCGATGAGGCATTAAAAGTGAAGAAAGTGCTGTACGATTTGCGGGAGACTGGACGAAAGTGGAACACAGAAATTGACAGCTTTCTTCAGGCGTGAAAATTTAAGTATATACATATAGAGAAGTGTTTATACGTATGTTGAAAGAAACGAGTAGTGTGTCTGACATTTGTTTATGTCGATGATCTACTGGCAGCTAATAAAGAAGTCGAGTAGAAGAACGTTCTATTCGAGTTGATCGATGAGCAGTGTGGGGTAAAAAGTTACGGGCAAGCGTCCCATTATCTTGGTGTTGCAATCTTTCATACAGATGCGAGCTTCAGGTTACGGCAAACACAGTATGTACGTGAAAAGCTTGAGCGTTATGAATTTGATGGATTTTTGGAAGCATGCAAACTAGACAATCTAGTAGATCGTACCACGTGACTCGTGCATGAGGAAGTACAGACAAGTGACGAGATGGTGTCATATCCACATCGAGGAATGGTGGGTTTACTTGTGCATACAGACACGCCTACTCGAGCATACATTTTGTTTGCATTCGCATTGAGCAGTCGGTTTTTGACCAACCGAGCAACAAGTATGTTGGAGCATGGAATCAAGCAATTTGCTGTATAGCAAGCATATAAAATCAAGGTTTAACCTACCAGCACCTATAAAGAAGTACCAGCTAAATCTTCATTACGGATCAGTGACAGCGATTGAATAGGTTATCCCAACACGCGACGCACTATAAACGGTGTGGTGTTTAATCTTGTGAGCGGCACGGCGTCATGGCTCTCTCGGTTGCAAAGCGTCGTTGCACCAAACACAGCTAAAGCAGAGTACATCACAACATGTGAACCAGCTATGGAAGCAGCTTCGCTTCACGACATAGTTGAAGAAACATTGTACGCGACAAAAAAAATTGTTGTGGAAATTGATGTCGATAACTCGAGTGCGATGACGCTGGCAATGAATATGACATTCGCCGACGAACACGTCGCGTTGAACTTCGTTGGAACAGCGTGCGCAAGAAAGTTACGACGAACTATATCAAACTGCAAAAGGTCAAAATAGATGGAAACACCGCAAATCTTCTCACAAAAGCGGCAAGTGAAGAGAGAATTAGCACCTGGTCAGATTCATCGGACTTTTAAGGCGAAAACATAAGACACTAGAAAGTCTGGAGCCTCGGCCGGTGATACTGTACAATTCAGATGCGCAGAGCCAGCAATTGCGAGTCGAGGAGAATGTGTTATATTTTAGATGTGAGACGATGGTTGGAGTGTTAAGTAAGAAGCTACAGGGCCAAAAATACAGTTGAGACAGTGCTCGTGAGACGGTAGTGTCGGCTGTTTCATGGCAGTTAGTGATGCGCACATGCAGGAATAGCCAAGGCGCATCGTGTATGCATAAACATCAGATAGTTGTAAAACACACTCAAGGGCTTAGATCTGCTTCTTTTATTTACCATTCTACCACTATAACTATAGTCCATAACCGTATACGTGTTGGTGGTTAGCAAAATGCACAATAGGGAAAGAATTATGACTTGTCATTCTGTTTGCTTCAATTTCAGGTTTTCCAGTCAACGGATAGAGATGCAGTCGTAGATCTCGCCCCTAGATTTACCTAGTCTTCTTTCAGTGATCTTCATTTGCCCTCGGGTTCCTCTATAGACCTCGTCCATTTGCATCTCCCTTGCTAAGATTCAATGTCGAGCTCTCTATCCGGTCTAGCATCCCAAATATAACTCTCGTAACGTACAACAATTTGTTTTTTCACCTTGACTGCTTGGTTTGTTTCTTTTTTCCTCTTCAGGTGCTTTATTCACACCCTTTCTGTCGCGACCGGGAGTGTCCAAGCACGAAAGACCGCTTTTTGCATTTGCGTATCCGTGCACAAAATCCCCCATGGGGCACAAAACAGATGTTAAAACACATTGTGAAGGATACAAAGCGAACAAGGACTACGAACGCGGAATTTGGAGTAGAAAAAGTAAGCGCATGATCAGATGACGACCTGATCATCGACAATAATACGAGGTGCTGTTTCTCCACATAATAAACGTCATGTAGTTCACGATCCATATGATGTATTGAACACGGGGTCGAAGCTTCATTAAGATCACGACCCACATCACAATCGTTGAACTTCTAACGGCTTAACATGTAAAGGGTGCCTCCGTTACATGATCATTTACACATTTTCAAGTACGAATACTAAATTAGCACAAACATGATGTTCTTACAATATTACCCTTATAGATAGTATTGCTTCGCAGATGTAATGAACTGCTCATTGGTTGATGTAGACCAAGATATCAGCCAATAAAGTTTAACCACGACACAAGCACGCAGTGAGTGGGTGGGAAGATAGTTACAATACATGTTTGTATTCGGAAATAGTTAAATGAAGTCAAGTAGGGATTTATTGAAATGATTAACTATGTAACCTGCAGTTCTACTTTCTACCTTTTACCGAGTTGTACGGAGTACTCTTACTCCGTTCAGCAATCTTCCTCTGTACGTACGTGTACGTGAGGTAGTCGGATGCACACACCTTGCACTGCTTACAGTGCAAGGTATATTCAGTTAGCGGAATGAGGCATAATACGTCACACCTGGTAGCACTGTGTGGTCCGTTCATTGACCATGACCATGTAAGACGATGAGGGGGACTGACTCTTAATTTACGCATGAAAGCTACTCCCATTCGAGACAAATTGAATGAGCTGCCATCGAACGTTTGAGCTCGGCGATAGGACAAGAAGCCGTTGACGAACTGCTATCGTCCCTGAGGCCAGACGGACAATCACTCGACCGTCGCCTTGTTCGTTAAGACTGAACTAGACGTCGAGCAAGAGAAGGTAACCTTGCTTCAACAACATTTTTTTGAATCGATAGAGCTATTGAGAAAATATTGTGCTCGACATTTTGACCTGTTATGACAGCAGCAGGTAACAGCTACCGAATTAACGTACAAAAGTCGACCCGAGACTAAATAGATTGACATCTCGAAGGAAAAGGGAGCCAATAAAGACTCTATGTTGAGATAATTCGTGGAACTAGACGATGTTAAAAAGGCTCGTCACATCTTCGATGAGTAAATGCAGATCGCATTTGCTCAATTAAACTTGGCAGGGCTTGCAAAGACGTGGTATTAGGATTTAAGCTACCTGACCCAGATGTCTTTGGGTCGTTGGAAGTCTTCAAGTCACTGTTTAGGCAAACATTTGGGCCGCCGCGAGCTGATTTTAGAGCTCGCTCTGAACTCCTGAAATCAAGCAAGGTAAACGTGACGTACACTCGTACATTCAGTACATACGTCACCCTACTAGTTGCGTAATAGTCGATCCACTGAACGCACGAACGTTGATTGCGTTGTTCATGCAGGGTCTAACTTTAACTCTGATGGTCCTGTTAAAACCCACCTCCTCCGATTAAAATTCAGCACCCTAAAAGAGGCCAAAAGGGGTGAGGACTAGGAGGACCTCAGAGAGAAACAGGCTCACGCAAATTCGAATTTCTATCGTTCGTCGAGACAACAGGAAAGTAGAGACACAGGACCAATGACTTTTGTCACGCGGGGAGCGAAAGATCTCGTGGGTACAACTAGAATATATACCATGCAATGGAAATCGGACTACAGAGCATTATGCGTACGAATGCGGTAACCAAAACGCGGTACCACGTACCGCAGGAAACAATAAGCTCCAAGCGGGGTCCAAGGCGTGGGTCTGTTACGTTTTTGCTTTTCTATTGGTAGCACGTGAGAAAGAAGTGGATAATAAGATTCTGTCTTGTTCGTCCTCGCTACCTACTTCCCCACCTGTCGCTGGCTACCTGTTCTCCTCTACCAGTCATTACTAACGATTGGCTGCCAACCAAATCGATCACTGACTACTTGCACTGAATATCTGCAGCTGACCAAAAACATCGCAATCTGGCGCTAGTCGTAAACTCATGCCTCCCAAATCTTGTCACTACCACCCCTCGAAAGGCAACACTACCTACACTCCACCTCGGATACGCAACGATTTTTTTTATTGTCCCTTCCTAGAGCTGTTTTTCCAGCTATCCCAGTCACACCAGCCGTCGCAGCACTGCGAGTATCGTCACGTCGAACTTTTTGTCAGCAGGTCAGCGAAAATGTCCTCTGGCCTGAGGTAGCGCACAGCGATCACACCGCGGCGCAAGTAGTCGCACACGAGCTTAAAACGCTCGTCCACGTGCTTTGCTTTCAGCTACGAGGCCTCGCCAGCGATTTGACCTAGCATGGATTGATTGTCGACGTGCAATACGAGCGGTGCATCGGTTTCGATGCCGATGTCGCTGAGCATCCCGCGGAGGCCGAGCATCTCGCGCGCTACCTCCGAGGAAGCTACGAACTCGGCCTCAATCGTTGACAGGGACACTCCGCCCTGTTTAAGCGCGCCCCAGATCACGGCCATGCCATTCAAGAGTAGCATCCCGCCTGTCATCGACCTGTGATCTAACTTGTCTCTCGCAAAGTCAGCGTCGCTGTACGCCTGCAGCACTGGCGGCGAGCTGCTTTCTCGATACGGCTCCATGGTGAGCTTGATATGCGCAATCCCCTATAGATAGAGTGCGATCCTCTTTTCCAACGTCCAGTCCAACATGCGTGGTGCGTGCGTTTGCCGGATCGCTCTGTGGACCACAAAACTGTTGCTTGGGCTCGTGCACCTCGACACCCACAAAAGTGACCCAACGATAGACTGGAAGTCCCGAATCGACGGCTCTGCGCTCGTGTTCACATCACCGAGGAGCGTCAAGTCGTCATATGGCTCATCGTAGCAGTCGTTACCAATGGGTGCGCGCGTCGGGTTCGCGTCCGTCAGTCCATTCGCGCGCAGCAAGTCGCCGTTCGCCTCATCCTGATCCAGGCGATAGGGACCGATCGTGCTGAGCTCGATTCTTATCCCGAGTTACTGGATCATGCGTCCGAGGTCCTCGATCGACAATACCTTGAGCTCGATAAAGAACCTTCGACCGCAGCGGCGCTCGTTTCGGTTGCAAGTAAATCGTCGTAAAAGCCGACAATGAAGAGCCCGGTGCCGTCGGGCTCGTGATAAAGGCACATGTCGCTTTCGCAGCGCACGAGCCCGGCTTCGGTGAACTTGGCGTCAAGCAGCTGACTCCGGAACCTGCCAGCTTGCTTCATCCATTTAGGCTCTTGCGAAGCTCCAGAACCAGCTCATTGCCGCTCTTCACGCCGTGCTCTTGCAGCATCTTCTTCGATACCGCCATCTCGCGTGGCGTATGTAGGTAGATGTCGAGGTGAGCTTCTTTCTCTGCCTTGACGTACGTGTTGGGGATGTCGACGATGCTTGACAGGTACCCCTACGTGGACGCAAGCGCGAGGATGACCTTGGCGGTCGACAAGTCCATTACTGCCGCAAACGTCAAGCTGAAGTCAACACCAAAGACTTGCTCGTTTCCGCAAGCCACTAGCCGAGCCTTGTGCCGCTCCAGGTTACCTTGGGCGTCCGCATTCGTCTTTTACACCCACTTGGTGTGCTGCACGTTTATTCCAGACGCGCGCCTCGTGACGCGCCAGACGTCGTTGTTTTGCAACGCGGCCACTTCGCCATCAAACGTGCGCTCCCATTCGCGCCACTTCGCACAATTCATTGCCACGCTGTAGCTTGTCGGATCACTCTCACACGCTGCGTCCACTATCTCTCCGACGGATTTCGGCTCCTCCTGTTGCGCTGTCGCTTGCACACGCTTTGAAGTTCCGCGCGTATTGTGCGCTCGTCGCGTCCACGGCTTCTTGCTTTTTTTGCGAGCCGCACCATCATCACTGCCGCGCGTCGCTGCTGCTGCTTCCACCTCGGCCTCTGCTTGAAGTGGCGAGGGTCTCACCACTGTATCACCCACTTCTCCGCCTCTTTCGTCGGTCATCGCACGCTGCAGCTGTATGTTTTGCTTGTCTGTGAGCGTGTCGATCCCTTTGATGTCTTGCGGCACGATCAACTTGTTTTCCTTGCGCAGGAAGACTTTGTAGCTTTTTTTCTCCTCCGCGATGCCGACAATCGTGCCGACCCGCGAGCGCTGTTGCAACAAGCTCTTGCCATGGTTGCAGTTCACATGACAGTGCGATCCAAACACCACTATCTCACGCAGATCCGGTGCCACGCCGGTGAGTACTTCGAGCAACGACGCTCGCTTGTCGTTCGCTCGCAATGGACTGCAATTAAGAAATAAGACAGCGTAGAGGAAGGCGTCACCCCAAACGTTAAGTGGAAGCGCGCGCAAACATCATGATGCGTACGAGGTTAAGGATTGTCCTATACATAGGTTTGGCCTTGCCGTTCGACGCCTGGTTGCGGGCTTCCGAAATCTGATTGGCGACGTCCCTGCGCTTGTAAAACAATTCGATATTAGCGTGCTCGCCGCCGCCGTCAGTGCACAGCACGTGAATGCGGAAGCCGAAGCGCTTCTCGAAGTGCACGGGGAAGGCCTTAGATTGCTTTGCCGCCGCGTCCTTCGTCCGCTCGAGGAAGATGCGGCAGTAGTTGGAATTGTGGTCCACAACGTTGACCGAATAGCGGTTTTGTAGTCGATCCTGCCGTGTCATCGGGCCTTTAAAGACCGAGCAGATGACGTTGCCTATCCGATCGATCGACGAGCTCATTCAGCTGTCCTGCTGCTGCGTGTTTCGCGTCTAATTTCCCTCCATACAGAATACGCACGCTGCGCGACTGTTGCTGGTCGTAAGCCGAATATTCGATGCTGGCTCTTTTGCCATGCGCCCGATCGTGTTGAGCGCGAGATGGCCGAAGCGCTGGTGGAAATGCAGCAGAGTTTCTTCTTGCGCATCCCCGCAACATCAGTCGCGTCTTCTGCCTCTAGCGTCTCCATAATGGAGTCATGCGCGCCACACTGACGTGTCGCGGTTGTATCTTGTACGTAAAGCACGTTGCTCTCCATCGCTACGTCAAAATTGATCGCGCCGTCGCTGCGTCGAGTCAGAGTGCAACGTTTTCCGTCGTAGGCGAGCGCAAAACACTTCCACTCCAACTTGCCGTATGACACGATGTTCTTCACCAGACACAAGTCCAGAAAGACGCCCGTGATCCGCACAGTCGTCTCGACGCCGCCTGACAGCACTCGCAGTCGCACACTGCCGCATCTCGTTACCTGCCGCGACTCGCCGTCTGCCATGGCAATCTCATTTGCTGCACGGTTTCGAAGTAAAGAGCAGATTTGAGTAGCTGACGAGGTGGCGAATCGCGCCGCTATAGAAGCTCCAGTCTTCACGATCACCCGCGTACACTTTACCGACCGCTAAGACGAGCTTGGTCTTCTTCGATCCGCGGTGCCACCTTTTCGCGCGCGTATGCCTCTAGTTGGCGCGAGCGGCCCATCTCCACTCCCAGAACCGCCATGCTTCTTCTTGATCAATGCAAGCAGCTTGTCACCGCTCCCAGCATCGTCAACGGGTTCTCGCTGCCACCGGTGACCTGAGATGGGCAGAAGCGCTGCACATACCCTACCTTTACGCAGCTTTAGCACGTCCGCGTGTCTCTCGTCGCGTCGACGTGCGCCGCAATTGCGGCCGAATTCGCCGCTGCCAAGCTCGATGGACTTCTCAAAGTGCAAAACTTCCTCCGCATGACGTAGGTAGTCGACCCAACGGGTGTCGGACTTTGCCTTCATCATGTTCGCCAGCTCCGGCGACGCGTGATGCACAATGTTAGTCCGCGCCACCACGCGCGTCGCCGATTGCGACCATGTAGAGGTAGCGCTCGGTCCAGGTGAGTCGCGCCTCTTTCTTTGCCAGCAACAGTTTTATCGCCTGTACCGCCGTGATCCTTGTCTTGAAGGTCGCGAGGAGTTGCTTTATCACGTGCTAAAGGGCCGACCACTGCGTCCACCAGGTATCGACCTGTTTATGATGATTGTGCTCCGCCGTGTTGGACAGGAAATGCCCGAGCAAGTTAAGTTTAACATTCTCCGTTTATGCAAACCCGCAAGACGCTTCCGCCAAGCTCACTACGCGCAAGAAGGTGCATCCCCAGTCAAAGAAACCGCTTCCGAGCCTTTTGTAAAGCTCACTCCAGTCATGCTTCCTGATGTTGAGCTTACGCTGCGATGCACTGAGAATCCTGTAGCCATTGATGCCTTGGCGCTGGTACTCCTGCGGCGAAACGACCTGTTTAGGCGGCGGTGGAGCTGCGTACGCAGGCGCGCGATGCGGCGGCTCAAGTTAGGCGAAGCACGACTCACCGAGTTCCGCTGCGCACTGGTACGCGTGCGGCGCTGGCGGTTATTCTGTCGCATCTCCAAAAGCGCGTCGATAGTCATCAGCCGGCCGCGCATATTCGCGCCGAGCTTCGAAGCGAACATGCCGCTCTCCACAGCTCCGATCATCCGCTCATCCTCTTCGTGCACCCTCTGCGACGACATGAGACTCGCCAGGGTGATGGTGACATCGGAAAGCACCGCAAGGATCTTTTTGTCGGTAGATCCAATTCTTTTTTGAGCAAGCGGCTCCTCAACAACTGCGTGAGCGTGCGCCACTTTGAATGAACGCGCTTGTCAGCCAAGCCACGCTCTGTCGTCGCTCGCGATACACCTTCTGGTGCATTTGCTTTTGTGTCCGTGGCTCCTGCTATTGAATTTATTACCTGTAAAACTGGTAGCACATAAGGAAGAAGTTGATGATAAGATTCTGTCTTGTTTGTCCTCGCTTCCTTCATCCTAACCTATGGCTGGCTTCTTGTTTCCCTGAACCAGTCATTCCTAACGATTGGCTGCCAACTAAATCGATCGCTGACTACTTGCACTGACTATCTACAGCTCCCCAAAAACATCACAATCTGGCGCTAGTCGTAAACTCATGCCTCTCAAACTCTTGTCGCTACCAATCCTGGAAGGGCAACATTTCATGCAGTTTCGTCTTTGCAACAACGTAACGGACAGCTAAAAACTGGTCGGGGTTAGTAGGTACGGAGCACCCTACTGATCCAGCAAATTCAAGTGACTTTGCAGGCATCTTGGGGACTTTTGCTTCCAACACTTAATTACTGTGTGTTGCTGCTTCTGGAAATGAGGAATATCTCATTAATTTGGAGCTAAAAGCGACGAGAAACATGTCGCTTGGAGCCCTAGTCGATTGTGAGGCGTCGAAAAACTTTGTACAACGCCAATCGCTGGACAACGGCAAGCTCAGTTATAATTAGTGAAAGATCCTTCTAACGAGGGTGAAGGTGCTTTGCAACAGGCACTTCTGTAACAGTGATGAAACGTGTAATGGGTGATACCTAGACACTAAAGAGATTTCGACACAATGACGACTTCATCATACTGGACTTGGATGACAAATTTGATGCTATCCTTGGACTGCAGTGGATCAGAAGGTACAAAATACAAGTCCGCTGGCACCGACGAACATTCGATGTGCCTGTCACTCGTTCACCGGATGACCGTCTGATGAACGCCATTAAGCTCCCACTAACATGTGGGTGTACTACGAGCTATTGTGATGGCTTCGCGTGTGGTCCGGTCGTCAGTACGACTGCACATGGCCATGGCGTGGATGATTACCACACCAAAGAGCCATTTATCGGTGACTGCATTTGAGACGCAGGTCGCGAAGAAGGCCCACCACCCGAGTAAGTCGAATGGACTGGGGAATGGGTGTTTTACAAACGTTCAACATCCAAGTGACAATGAAACAATTGCCACTGAATTGCAATACGATGATCTTAGTGCAATTAACTTCTTCGTGACTGCTTCCAGAAGATTTTATCACCATGGTATTAATACTCTTGATGCAGTCACGAAGACGCTGCTTACTCAGACACGGTAAATGCCGACATCGAGAGCGAAAACGAAGAAAAGGTTACGGAACGTAGCACGGCAGCGGCTAGAGAATCTCACATCTTAAAAATTGGCAATATGATGGTGATGGTGACGATGCTCAGTCCGTGGGTCACGTCACTGATGTGGTCACGGTTGAAAACGAGTCAAGAATACTGGTTTAGAGGAAAGGGACGGTGTACAAAAACGTGAGACGGTTATCAGACAAGTTGTTAAACCTGTCAATAAAGACTATCACCCCTGTCGATAGTGTTTTGACACAGGGTCCAACTCGCATGTCACAGCGTAAAAGTAATACTTCTCGACGCTACAAAGCATGGAAGACAGCAAGTGGAACTCGCTGTCTCGACAACCGTTGATTGCGCTCATCCTTACCCAAGATTATGTCGAGATCACGAGAGAATGGCGGATAGTACATGCATTTAACCATTTGAATACTGCAAATGTACCGGCTTGAACGCCGTTACCAAGGAAGATGTGATCGTAGATGGTACAGAAAGGGAACTACCTTTAATCGATGTATCTGATGAACGGGTTCGACCAGATCCGTATGCGTAAAAGGAACATCCCGTCTACAGAGGTAAGCACCTTAAGCGGTGTGCTCCGGGAGTGGCTAGTAATGCCACAAAAAGTAAGTAATACCCCTGCTAAGTTCAACGGTTGCGTTAAGAATCTGTTGAGATCTATGCAAAATTTGCACCTAGTTATTCTAGTGACGTGCTAGTCCATAGCCGGGATTTGGTCGGACAGACGGATGTGTAATCCCACTAATTCCACGTCCTAAAGGTTCTTACGCTAATGCGTGAACATCAGTCGCTCGACAACCTCAAGAAGCGTATGTTGCTGCTAGCGAAATTATACTTCTCGATTGCATCCTGGGTAAGCACAGCGTCCGGCCCGATCTGGAAAAGATCAAGGCGATCACTGAATGGCTGGTGCCTACCGACGTAAAGGGACTATAAAATCCCTTGGTCTAGAGGCGCTTTCGCACATATACTTGCCCAAATATGCTGAGATGACTGGTCATCTATCTCATTTATTGAAAATAAACGAAGTGCTGATTTCAAGTGCTCCTTCGAATGTATCAAACAAAGCTTGGTACGCTCGTTTTGGTAATTGCAGACCAAGACAGGCCATTTCATGTGGTCTGCAAGGCAAGTAATTCTTCCATCGGATGTGCTCAAATGCAGCATGACACAGACGGTGCTGACCGTCTATCGTCTGCTATCAGTAACGTCGGCCGCAAACGGCTGAACGTAACTACCCGGTCCATGACAAGGAACTTCTTGCCACGAAGTATACTTTGGCGAAGTTTAGGGTCTACCTGCTAGGCGATATAACCTTCATTACTTACAAGCAACATTAGTCCTTACGCACGGCCGTTTACAGTCCACACCTCTCGCAACGAATGGCGAGGTGGCATTCGTTCTTCGCAAAGTATGACTTCTCCGTGGAATATAAGCCCGGACGACTGATTGTCTTTGCTTATGTTCTGTTGCCCCTGCCCGATTTGTAAGCGGCTGCGCAATCCGACACTAGTCCGACACTGTCGCGGTATTGACGTTGAGTGTTCCGTCGTCAACCTTATTCGAAGACATATGCAAGGCGTACAATCCGGCGAAGGTGTGTTGCTAGATCATATCTCGCAACCATCTTGTCTATCTTATAAAGGGTTGCTTCCAGTATATCGATCCTCTGCGGATATATATACAGTCCACAATGGCTAACTGAAGTATTCAAACGTTACCGGTGACACGCCTCGTGTCGTCGTACCGACCGGACCATGGTGACCTGCGACTGCGCATAATGCATGAATAGTATTATCTCTTTAATGGAGGACATTTGTGTTAGACTGAAGACATATCTCACAGTACGTCGCAACTCTAACTGGACCCGCCAGTATCAGTTCATGCGTAAGTACGTCCGAGCATGTGAAGTATGTCAACGAGTGAAGTCCGGTCTATGCTTCGTGCGCCATTGCAACCCTAGTCCATTCTGGAAAAATGCTGAGAATCTGTCTTAATGGAATTTATCTTTGGATTTCCCCCCACACACAGGAATGCTGGTATTCTTGTGTTCGTTTATAGGTTCAGTAAATGGTACACCTGGTTGCTGTACGTGATAATCCATCAATGCATCGGAATGTGCTAGAGTTTTTATTGACATGATCTTTCGTCTTCATGAGTTGCCTCGTGAACCCTTCTCCGAGACCCAAGGTTCATTGATGGATTCTAGCGATCCGTGTTTAAATGACTCGGAACCCGCTTAAAGATGTCGATCTCTGACCACCCTGAAACATATATTCGAACAGAACGTGAAAACGGCGTAATCAGGAAATCATTCAAGGTTATAGCCATTCGTTTACGAACTGGAGCGAATTTTCGCTCATGGTAAGATTCGACATCGACAGCTTGGTGCATGCATCGTCGATGCATGTACCGTTATTGGTGAATGGCTTGCGTCATCGACGCCTAACTACTCTTTTTAAGGTTTAGCTATAGCTTAAAGGGGGAGAGTAAAAACTCATTCGAGCGAACAATAAATCGGCTCTCACCATCACGTTTTGACCACGAGGTCACTATGTATAATGTCGATGTCGATTATGTCGACTTCGGTGAATTAGAAAAGTAAGAGCGAGGTTGATCTTACTAACTAGGTCACTGATATCGCCGTAGTGCGCTCCAAGCGCACCATAGCCAAAGACAATTGAGAAAGCACATTATTTCATACTAGATCGCGAAACGGGTGTCCGTTTCGTGAAAGATTCAATTGCAGAGGCGGTGAACCAACGAAAGAAAAACGCTGACAAGAATGGAAGAGAAAATACTCTTTTATTTAATAAAAGTGACCCCGTACGACTATCTGCGGGTAACCTACATCGACACGCAGTGACTAACGTGGGTAGTAACAAGTATTTCCAAAGTTCATCGGTCCATTTTGTGTGCTGCGCCGCTTTAGCAATGCATAAGCCACTGGGCTGTCACGTAGGATGCGCGTGCATCCTACACTTTAAGTCTGTCGCCTTAGACCGTATCACCAGTACTGGACTTCTTCCGGTAAAGAAATCTCTTGCACTCAAGCATCCCCAAGAGATACTTGTGATCGCGGAGCTGACTACCGGCCCGCGTCTGAAGCTCGGATATCTTCCCGCAAAGCCGAGATACATCCTGAAGAGCTTCCACTAGCTCGTTACGAAAAGAACGCTGTTTCAGCTCATTCTCAAGCTGGGCGAAACCAAAAATCGATCGATCCCTATCCCGTTTCGAGGAGAGATGGTTCACATTGTCGACCAGACTCATACGTATGCTCCTCTCGTGCTTTAGGTCCTCGCGCAACTCACACGTTATACACTCGATATGACTCACAATACAAGACCTGACCTACAATGCCATCGGGGGATGTGTTTACTTCTCCACCTCACCCATTGATTGATGCGTGCGGTGGTCAACGCTTCCTCGTAGAACGCCTTTCGAACCATCGCGATGTGAAAAGAAGTCAAAAAAGCTAACTAGTCCGGTGCTAAGTGGTACCACCCTTGGAAGATTCTTAGGAGCCTCGTTTTAAACTGCTGGTTGATGCTCTGGACCTTGTTGAGCAGTATGACAAGGCGCATCCAATTCCGAAGAAGGCCCATCGGACAAAGAACGCCCAGCGCGCTTGTGGAGGCATTGCAAATTAGCTATTTACTCGTAAATCTCTTGAGTGACACGGACCGTCCGCCAGGTATCAGTCATCGAGCAGGCTTCCTTTAGAGCTCGTACCAAGTTATTCACACAACTTTGGCACGTACCAACCCAAAGAGGCACATTATTAGTTCGGCCGCTTTTGACATCCGGTGCAGCTTGAAGCGTGCAGAGGTAGAGATCTGTTTCTCAAATCGATTTCGATCTAGTAATAGCTTATCCATCCAGGCATCACGCCAAAATCACACTCATGTTGTGGACGAAATCATATTGCCTGAATCAACGAAGGAAAATCACGCTTTTGATTTCAACTGTACCATCGATACTTTAAAAAGCATCGATGAAGAATTTATGTTCAGTGCGAAAGCTACTCGCACTAGGATCAAGCTTATGAAACCTTAATGAAACGAACAATCTCATTCGAAAACGATCACTTGCCTCGTCAGACAGACGAGCTTTCACCCTCTGAGGAGGTGGTCACGGCTTCTTCTCAAGAGCAACGCGCAAATTGTTGCGATCCTTAGTGTCTTGCCTGGTGTCAACAGAAGTACCGACACCATGATCGTCCCGATCACCCAGTACCTGTTGAATGATTACATTACCATCAGGATCGTCCCGGTGTCCAGAGTCACCGCCTTTCTCACTGTCAGCCGAACGACTCCGTCTCGGAGACAAAGGGTCGGACTAGTTGAAAGATCCGAAGATATCACGATGCTCTGCGAGGGTTAAAGCACTTCATGAAACCGACCCACTCGGCTCTAGTTTAGCTAATTCTGTCTCATCCTTGGATTTCGCCTCCTTCTAGTCGGTCTCGTCGTTAGAATCACCAGAGCATATGAGCTCGAGATCATAATCTGAACTTACGCCAGCTGATTCGGGTGACATTGTCTCTTCTGTGGCAGTGGAACGGAGTCTCGTGGCTGCATTCCCAGTAGCTTTGGCTGTACACCGCATGGCGTGTGAACCATGCGATGAGAACTAAGAATGGACGGATTGGCCAACAAGCGCTTCCCCGTCTCTAAGTCACTCAATCATCAATCACTCACTAATGTGACTGCTGGTAGGGGGTGCATGTAACGGGGTGCCTCCGTTACATGATCATTTACACATTTTCAAGTACGAATACTAAATTAGCACAAACATGATGTTCTTACAATATTACCCTTATAGATAGTATTGCTTCGCAGATGTAATGAACTGCTCATTGGTTGATGTAGACCAAGGTATCAACCAATCAAGTCTAACCATGACACAAGCACGCAGTGAGTGGGTGGGAAGATAGTTACGATACATGTTTGTATTCAGAAATAGTTAAATGAAGTCAAGTAGGGATTTATTGAAATGATTAACTATGTAACCTGCAGTTCTACTTTCTACCTTTTACCGAGTTTTACCGAGTACTCTTACTCCGTTCAGCAATCTTCCTCTGTACGTACGTGTACGTGAGGTAGTCGGATGCACACACCTTGCACTGCTTACAGTGCACGATTTATTTAGTTTTCTGAAAATAAGGCGTGCCCCGTCACATAAGGTCTCTGCCATTGCTGCTGAAGGAGTCTGTATGATGATAAAGATGTGTTGCTGGATGAACATGTTGAAGATGGAACGAGAACAATATACACATGATGCAACGTCGAGAAAAGAGAGCGCTTTCGACAAATTTAGAATTGAAACTCACACCCTCTCGGTGAACTTTGACAAATTTCCGACACTTGATTTTTTAAATCGACTCAAATTCGATCCAATAAACCCGACTTAAATTGAATTCGACCCATTTGGTGAGATCTCTCAATAATTTTGACGCAGAGAGCAACGTTATGTGATTTTGACGATTTATACTGAAATGACCCATTCGGCAAAATGAAAACGATTGCTTTGTCCAATTTTATAACCGACCTAATTTGATACGATGAAAGGATTAACAGAAACTGCCGCTTCGTATAAAATCATACTTTGGAGGTCACCATTTCTTCATTTTGCGGTGCGACTGATTGGCAAATGCATATTCCATCTGTTTTTAGGCCACACAAATAGGCTACACTGACAATTTGTGGTCATTTCGCCTTTTACGTCGCTCACTTGTTCTACATGCGTTCAGCGCATACTACCACGAAAGTGGTAGTGTATCATGCAAGAAATCTAGGCCAAGCAGCCACACAACTCACCTGCAATATGATGGCAAACTTGATCAATCATTGCCCTTGATTCTATCGCCTTCTTCATTTACCACTGCACGACTCGAGTAGCAAACCCCATACGCCTTAGTCCAGCAGTATCAAAAATGCTGCAATCTATCTCAGCTCGACACTCAGATCACTCACGATCTTGCCACGGATGACCTCCTACATCACAAATACCGATGAGTCCGCTCCATACTCCTTGCGCCCGATTAAATGTTGCTGCAAGTTTTACCTGAATGTCATCAACCTCTTTATTTGTGAGGTTGCGGTCCATGTGACGGTACGTGATGCGGTAGCACCTGCTCTTGCGTTGCGTCTTTGGATGCGTAAATTCATCCAAAACGGTCACCTGTGGCCGAAAAACATTTGATTAGAACCAGCCTACAATAATTGTCGATACGCGAGACAACCAATGCCCATACTTGCTCAACCATGTCACCAGCAACGTCACGCACAACTTCGCACAAGTTGTTTTCGTGAAAGTCGTCGCTGTACCAGAAGCTTACGTCCTTAAAGCACGCTGGATACTTGCTGTACGGCTTAAACTTTGTAATCTGGCCGTTCTGGAACTGCGAAATGAAACGATCGTCTTGGGACCAGAACAAACGGATATCAGGGATGTCGAACAGAACCATGGCAAGGCGCTCAAGACCAAGACCGAAAGCCCAGCCGACGTTTTCGCCAAGTCCAGCGTTACGCACGATCTCCTGCTGGAGCACTCCACAGCCGAGCACTTCCAACCAGTCGTCGTTGAAGAAAATCTCCAACTCCAACGATGGTTCAGTAAAAGGGAAGTACGCTTCCACCCAGCGCATCTCGACATCACCGAACAGTTTCTTCGCCATACCTTCTAGTGTCTTCTTTAGGTCCTCCTTCACTAGCACCACCTTTTCCTCACGTTTCATCGCTAGATCAAGCTCCGAAAAGATCCGCACGCCCTCCATCTGGTGGAACACTGGATAATGACTCGCGTCAATCTCATCGCGACGATAGACGTCGCCCGAGACTAGAAACGATGTAAAACCTTTCTTCATCATCGCAACTTCGTGCGCACTCGTGTGTGCACGCAGCACGCGATTCCTGTCTACATAGTACGTGTCGGTGTTTTTGCGGCTGATATGGTCTGGGGGCACGAGCATCGAGTCGAAGCAGTCGTATGTCGTTACGACCGGATCCAGATTACCAAACGCAGTGAAGAAGGGAGCTCTGCAGCATTCGAAAGCAAGAAACATTATTAGTGAATCTACAGACACCCCCAGAGCAAACGACCGAAGCAACAACGTACCCCTCGTTCCGGTGCAGCTCGTCAAAATAACTTTCGATCTTTGTCTTGATAATGTGCAGCGGATGGTGCTGTTTCAGGTGCAAGTTCGATCCGATCTTGGCCGCAATGGACTCACTCACGTTGCAGTAAGGGTCGCGGTTTTTCATCCACTCAAGTTCTGCCATCATCATAGTTTGGGATGAGAAAACGCTTCATTGCAATGAGAGAGAATGGAAACAGCAGCACCTATTCCAACAGACGATTGCGAGCGTTCTGTGCCAACGTGACGTCTCAGCAACGCAGTGCGGTGACTGGACATCAGAGCGCATTGGACGCCAAAGACCCGACGCATTTTTGTCATTGGCGTGCAGTGAGGTTTCGTTGTGAAAGTCTTTTTAGAAACCTGTCGACTTGAATAACCAAGATGGTAATTTACTTAGAAACGCGTGCGGCTAAAGTCGCAGTATTTTACAGCCATTATGGTTGCCACCACTTGGGCTTTAAGCAGAGGAGAATAGGTGTTCGCTGCCTAAATGGCGATATAATACACACACTCGTAGCTATATACGATCAACATGGGGCTATTACGGTGGATCCAGTGAAAGTCGTGACTCCGTCAGCGATGCATAACGCACTCTATTCTAAAACCCTATGTATTGCCCTGTATAATGCAGTGCTTCGCGACGAATCAGAATATGTCGTCGAAACTATCGAATCCACCCATCGCTCTATCGCTGTCGTTTTTGTCCAGTCATCGATCAGCAACTTCATTCTGCAATGGCTCGCAACAAGAAGAAAGGAAGTCGGCGTGGCGGTGACTCGGACTCGGACGACGCCAAGGCGGCACCGTCTGTCGCTCCCACTCCAGTAGAAGACGGAGACAAGAAGGCTGCGCGCAAAGAGAAGCTGAAGGCTCGCAAGGCGCAGCGTCAGGTAGCCAAGGTCCAAGAGGAGCTGACGAGCCAATGCACTGTCTCAGACGGCGAACACGATGACGCAAACGAGGACGAGGCGGACTTGTACGAGCAAGCGGCTGCTAATGCGAACAAGAAGAAGAACAAAAAGAAGGACAAGAAGGAGGCTGTGAACTTTGCTGCGTTGATGGACGACAGTGGAAGTGAAGAGGAGGAGCAGGAGGAAGCAGGGAAGGAGGAGGGGACGAAGCAGAAGAAGGAAGAGATGGAGGAGATGAAGGAGGAAGAAGAGAAGGAGATGGAGGAGGAGAAGGTTGAGAAGAAGAAGGAGGCGGAGAAGAAGGTTGTGGAGGAGAAGAAGAAGAAGAAGAGCAAGAAGAAAATGATCTCAACCGACTTGTTTTTCGATCCTGTGGATCAATTGGAGGAAGGCACCGGAGACGACAAGAAGGACAAGAAGAAGAAAAAGAAGACGAAACTTCCTTTTGAGACAAACGACGACGAAGAGGACAGAGATGGGGAAGCGATGAATAGGAAGGAGAAGGTCAACAAGAAAGAAAAGGAGGGCAAGCGTCTGAGTAATAAGGAGCGCAAGCGAATCAAAGAGGAGCAAGAGCGTCAAGAGCGTGAGGACGAGTACCACCGTGCTGCCAACCCCATGGATGGTGCACAGTTTTCTGTTTCGCAACAGGCCTTTACGGAGGACTCAAACTGGGAGAATGCGACCGACATTCATATCGACAACTTTAGCATTAACGCGCATAACAAACTGTTGTACGATAATGCGTCGCTGCACATCAATGCTGGTGGCAAGTACGGGCTCGTCGGTCCAAACGGTCAGGGTAAGACCACCATTTTGAAGATGATTGCGTTGGGAGAGCTGAAGATTCCGCCAAAGATCGACTGTCTCTACGTGGAGCAGGAGGTCGTGGCCGATGACACGCGAGCTGTGGACGCAGTGCTAAAGGCTGACGCCGAGCGCTGGGCACTTTTGGAAGAGGAGAAGCGCCTTTTGGCAGAGCTGGAAACAAAGCAAGACTCGGCTCTCGATGATCGGCTAAACGAAGTGTACGAGCAACTATCGCACATGAATGCCTCCGCTGCCGAGGCCCGCGCGCGCCGTATCCTTTTCGGTCTGGGTTTCGACTCGGTCATGCAAGAGAAGGTCACGAAGGATTTTTCCGGTGGCTGGCGGATGCGCATCTCGTTGGCCAAGGCGCTGTACGTGGAGCCGACGCTCCTGATGCTGGACGAGCCGACAAATCACCTGGATTTGAACGCCGTAATTTGGCTGGATGACTATTTACAAAAGTGGAAGAAAACGCTGCTTGTGGTATCCCACGATGCTGACTTCCTGAACAGCGTGTGCTCAGAGGTGCTGCACTTGGAAAGTAAAAAGATCGTGCACTACAAGGGTAATTACGACATGTTCCGTGAGATGGAGAAACAAAAGCGAAAGCAGATGGAAAAGGCCTGGGAGAAGCAGCAGAAGCAGCTTCGTAATTTAAAGGCCTCGGGGAAGTCTTCCAAGAAGGCTACTGAGATCGTAAAAAAGAAACGAGAGCCTGGTGCTCGTGCGTCGAAGAAGGCACTCACACCTGATGATGCCTCTGTTGCATCAGCCCCTATGGACCTTTTGGAGCGGCCAAAGGAGTACATTGTGCAGTTCAACTTTCCAGAGACAACGATTGTGTCGCCGCCTGTTCTTGAAGTGCGAGAGGCTAGTTTCCGCTATGGTAACGGCCCGTACCTGTTTAAGAACACAGACTTTGGTATCGACACGACGTCGCGCGTGTGTATTGTGGGTCCCAATGGTGTGGGTAAGAGTACGCTACTGAAGATGATCACGGGCGAGGTGGTTGTGACAGAAGGCGAGGTGCGTCGCAACCCGCGTGTGCGATTAGGCATCTACAGCCAGCACTTCGTCGACAAATTACCCATGGGCGAGACACCCGTGGAGTACCTGCGCCGGCTGTTCCACGACCAGTCGTACCAGCAGGTGCGTAACCTGCTCGGCAAGGTTGGACTTGAGGGCCACGCGCACGAGATCAAAAATCGTCTGCTGTCTGGCGGTCAGAAGGCCCGTGTGGTGATCGCCGAGCTCATCCTGATGCGCCCGCACATCTTGATTCTGGACGAGCCGACGAATAACTTGGATATCGAGTCCATCGATGCCCTGTGCGACGCCATTCGCGAGTACGAGGGAGGTGTGGTGATTGTGACGCACGACGCGCGTCTGATTGAATCAACGGAGTGCGTGCTGTGGGTCTGCGGCGACCAGGACGTGGTGGTGTACGATGGCACGTTTGAGAATTACAAGCAGTCGATCTTGGACGATTTGCACAAGCAGGCACAGGCCGAGGAGGACCGGATCGCAGAGAATGCTGTTAAGAAAGCCGAAGCTCGTGCCCAAAAGGTGAAGCATTCGATGGGTGAGGTCGTGGTGTAAAACCTGTTTGCTCGACCGCCTTGGCTGGCATATGTAGATGTGCACATTAATCGGCGATGCACTTCCTGAACAAACATTGCAAATTCACCATTTCATGAACTGTTGATCGGGATAAACGACAAAAAGTGGGCTCTTGCACCTCTATTTCGCTATTTGAGGTACAATTTTCCGACCTTTATCGTTCATTTCTTCGATTAGAGCACCGAATTGCTAAAATACATATCCCAACGCATGCAATCTGCACTCAGACGAGGGATAGGTCTCAACCGATGATTGGCTAATGCCAAGAGCAGTGAATTGGTTGGCTCTGGAGCTCCTGGGTGCCGCGCCCACGCTTCATTCCCCGCAAAACTTCTCGTTTACTAAGTCAAGAACAACAAGCATGGCTGACAAGGTCCCCGTCACGGTGCGCACGCGCAAGTTCCTCCGCAACAGCCTGCTCGCTCGCCGCCAAATGGTGCGTCGTTTGCTGTGCCCTTCACTTTGAATTGCCGACTTTGATCTGACTATCAACTGCTCGATCCATGTTCACTTGCAAGGTTGTTGAGGTGATCCACCCGGGCCGCCCTAATGTGCCCAAGGCTGAGCTTCAGGAGAAAATCTCCAAGGTACGACACTATGATACGACGTCTGTTAGATAATCGACAGATTCGTCTGTCAGCAGCAAAAAAAGACAGGATGGAACAGGTTTATAGCGCAAGTGAGATAGTAGGAGCCTGATGCTTCTCCGTTCAATTCGCAAGCAGAGATTTTGCTGGTGACAGGAGGAAACAATCTGTAGATCGACCAACGGATATTGAAGGATACTTGACGGACGGCTGACGGTATTGCTGCTTGTCTGCACAGATGTACAAGGTGAAGGACTCCAACACGGTGTTTTTGTACGGTTTCCGCACGCAGTTCGGTGGTGGTAAGAGCTCCGGCTTCGGTCTCGTTTACGATTCGGTGAACGACGCCAAGCGTTTCGAGCCCAAGTACCGGTTGATCCGTCAGGGTCTGGTCGAGAAGGTCGAGACGTCGCGCAAGCAGATTAAGGAGGCCAAGAACCGCGCGAAGAAGGTTCGCGGTGTCGGCCGCCGTATTGCTCGCCACAAGGCTGCCAAGGCCAACAAGTAGAGCTGAAGACTTAGTCGCTACGGCGGCGTCGAGCTTGGCACGGGCATGGGTTGGTGCTTGACGCTGGGCTTGGTCCGCTGTCGCCATTTCGCTGCGAGTATTTGGGGAACAAGAAGGTCATGCTGGGAAATGTAATTAGTCAAGAAACTTCCATGTTTGCTTGATTCTTGTGTTTGTTGCCTCGTCCATCATATAACTGAGTGTCGAAAAGGTTTACCGAAGTGTCAAGTAGGTTTACGTACTCACTGCTGACCTCGTTACAGCTTTTGATGCTGTACCTACTGTTAAATATGCAGACGGTACTTGTAAACAAATCGAGGACCGAAGTGTGCATAGTTGAATTACTAAACAATGTGACAGCCACCCTGCGAATCAGTTGCATGACACATGCCATCCACTACGTGAGCATTTCTCGATCATTACGAAAGATGTTCGCTGCTGCTGCTATCGTTATTAAAAGGCTTCTACTGCGTTTTTGATGATCAATCTCGTGATCGTTTGTATTGAACGACCTTACATATTGCGTGATCGCAATTTTCTGTTGGGGTCCATCGCTGCTGGAGTTGTTAGGTATAGTAGTCGAAAAGCCGAGGCGAACTACTCGTTTTTGCCTGCTAGGAAGGCCTTTTACCATGAGATGGCGTGAAGTGAGAAAAGCTTGACAAGGAAGGAAAGACGTAATAAGTTTTGACGTATCCTTTTGCACATACAAAAGCTGTAATTCTAGCCAGTCCATCGTGTAGTGGCCGGTATAAATGCTCTTGCACTCTACCGTCTACTAGAGTTGCCCTATCATTCCGATCGACTTCTTTGGTAGCTTTTCGAGCACGGCATCTTTGCACTCTTGATAGTAACATCGCTTTATCTCCTATTTCAGATCTGGATACCAAAGCTCCAATTGCACAAAAAGCAGTATGTACGAATCTTTTTTGACACCACTAAAGCTGCCGAGTTTCTGCACCTCAAACCCCGTCACGACGATATCATTCAGCATGGTACGACGTTTATGCTTGCCAAGCAAAGTTTCATCACCTAATGCGCTCCCCTCAACACATTTCCCACGCCATCGATCGCTACTGATCGAGATTGGCACACCACATCTCGCGCCACCAGTGACTCAACATTACACGTGTTCGTGCGTTAGCAAGACATGACTGACGGCGTCGTTTTAACCGACCCGATGTTTTCGTCATCCGCTGCTGAGACCACACGCTGGTTCAGTTCAATACCGCGCGCAATCGAAGCTGGTGTAACGGGCTCACGGCCGGGAAGCTGGTCCATTTGAGCGTAAAGCAAGCCGTGCTTCGTCGGTCGCCAAAGATATACCCCAACTAATAATATGACGAAGAAAAGCAGGCGAGTAGCCGCCCAGACGACCCATATAAAATGCCATGGCAACCAAATCGCCCCCGAATAGCTGGAGCCACAATGTTGAAGCGATCATTAGTAAAAAAGCGGCATCTGCACACTCCACCGAGAGAATGGATCGACAACAGGATCTTACATTGCCCCTTCAATTGCCATGATCACAAAAGACGTGACCACGTATGCGATCAAAACCCGGTTCAGCGATTTGTACATCTGCAATTTTGCTGTCTAGCAAACACAGCGTACAAATTAGAGCAAATTCGTCATCAAAGAGTGCTATCGAACGGAATGATGCCATCACAGTAGAGGCGACGTATCGGCCAATGCTTACTTGTCCAAAGGCTGCAAGATTCTTGCGCGTGAGCTCAAGGGACAGAAAAATCCATCCGCCGAAGCAGGCGTTGGTTATAATTACAAGAGCTTCCCAAACCGCAGGAGGTCGAACATCCCCGTCCGATTGATTGGCTAGATGACTCACCTCCAACGCCCCGACAGCGATGAAGTAGCACACACCCAGCCCAGAAACGACAAAGACCTCAGGCCACGAGATCTGCATCCGGACAATCCCGTAGCCCAGACTAACGAGTGTAGTAGCAATACGCGTGACCATGCCCGCCAGCACTTTCACAAACGTGGAGAACAAGACCGAGTCCGGATATGGGCAGCACACTGGCACACCTGAATGATTCAGCAGACTGTACGTCACAAACCATGCCACTGACTCGCCTATACAACAGTAACGATAGACCACAACTCAGTACGTCTCTAAACTCCAACTTAAAATCCGTACCAGTTGCCAACAGCAGTACTGCGAGCAGGAAATAGTGCGTCCTGACCACACTCTGGCGGTGGCGATTGACCAGCACCAAAAAGTACACGCCCAGTGCCCCATACATGAGCGACAAAAATCCACTGCATTGAAGTATCATCACTACATCAATTTTCAGAGCTTCTGTACTCTTAACAAATCCACAACTTACTTGAACGGAAGCAGGCCATAGAGCAATCCCGGCAGATAGCCGTACGGATTCAGGAAACTGATCTCCGCATCCACGTACAGCAGCGGGTCGACCATTGGATAGAGAACGAATTCATCAGCACTCACAGGATACCCAAACGCCACGCTCTTCTGCTTCCAACAAGGCGCAATCAGCGCCGTCTGCAGTCCACTTTCTCCCGGATAAAACGTCCGGTTCACCTGCAGGGTCTGGTCGCTTTCCAGTAAATAAAATCCGCCTTCTAATTTACCATTTTCAATGCTACTGTTTGAGAAGTTCCAACTGCAGGCCGAGCGGTCTTCAAAGCCCAGCGCAAGAGCCGCTTTGGCCGAGTACGAGGCCACGACCACGCCAAAATCAAAGTAGTCCTTCAGTCTGCGGATTGTGATGGCTTTCTGCACTTCATGGTCCCGCAAAGGACGTAACGTCGCGTTGATCTCAATGTTTGAGCGCCCCTGAAGTCCCCAAGATCCATGGCCATCTGCAAACATTTGCTCCGTGATCTTGCAGCCCGTGACCTTCTCGTGCACTGTGTGGATCGAGCAAGACGCCAGTAGATCTCTACGACAAACTATCAGCATTATAACAAGCAGTAAAACAGATTGAGACATGCGACACCGCGCGAAGCAGTGCGCAATAGGCAAAGCGCATTTTGCTGCATGCCTCTTCATCGTGATCGTTCTCGGTAGTGCGGAACGGAGTGATGGTCGTCAACTTCCATCTTGTCTTGATATTAGCCAATCCGAGTGTAGTTTTACCGCTTTTTGTTTTGACCAATGCAATCGCTAGGATTCTACGAGACCGTCACTTTTCCTCCCGCTCGCTCTTCGGACGATGCCGTCACTCGTACCGTCGTCGCTCTTGCTGCTGCTGCTGCTACTGTATGGAGTATGGCTGCACGATGCCGTCGCTTCTATCTACCCTATCGAGAGCAGCTACTGGGTGCCTCCATTCCAACGTGCAGAGAAGCTGTTCGCCACCGACCAAGGCCCCATCCTCGCACGCACTGGGAACTCGACAGTCACTGTACGGATCATCCATTGCACATTGCCCCTCTTTTCACCAATTGCAGTCCTCTTATACCGAGACTGTGAGTGTCTGTAGGTCGATATTCGCGGCGTCAACGTCACGCAGGACATGAGTGGCTGGAGACTGGTCGTCTTTTTCTACCACGTGGACAGCTACGAGGAGTTTGAAGCAGTATCGGGCAAGATTGAGCTGCTGGCCTGTTCCAGCACGGAAGGTGTTAAGCTCGACGGTATGTCGAACGTCGAGCGCTTTGTCTCTCGCGTGGGCAACGATTCAATGCCCTCAGTGAGCGCCAATGTGTCGCACTTCGTTAATTTCAGCGGCTGGACGGATACGCAGGTGTTTGTTTGTGCTGATGACGTGAACGCAGCGACGGAGACACTGACGTTTGCAGGCTCGATGGAGATTCGCAATCCCTATGGCTTGCTGCCGGCGGTGCTGTACGGCATGCTACCGTTCAGTGGCTTCCTGACAGCTGGATACCTGATGTTGGATGTGTTTTTCGCGTTCCTGTTGATCCGCCATCGTCACCAGCTACTGTCTCTGCATTGGGGCATTGCTTTGATTTTGATCATGGGAACGGCTGCGTCTGCAGTTTGGCTCTACGCGCTATACCGGATGAATGAAACGGGTGAACCGGTGTGCTGTCCTTACCCAACGACATTTTTGGTCGCGGTGATATTGGACGTGAGTATTATGAGGCACGATGAGGATGGTGTAGTCGAATGATAAACTGATCTTTGCTCTATGTGTGTGATGTCGATAGACGCTGGTGCGCACCCTGGCTCGTATTATCCTGTTGGTCGTGTGCCTTGGCTACGGTATTGTTCGCAGCCATTTGAGTCGTCTTGAAGTTGCCGTGACTGCTTTCTTGTCACTGGCCTACTTTGTGTCGGGGATCGCTGACGAAGTCACACGCGGCACCTCTAGTGGTGCTGACTTCCGTGAGAAGCCAACGGCTTGGTCATTTCTCCAGTTGTTGTGTAATCTTGCGTTCATCATGTGGATTCAATACTCCATGGAGCACATTCTGCGTGACTTGCAGGATCAGAAACAGTTTGCCAAGTTCAACATGTATCGTTGGTTGGCGTGGTCGCTCGCTGGCTTCATCGTGTTTTTCACCGCTCTCACGGTTGTGGCCGTTTGTGGTCGGCTTGGCGTCTTTGAGTGGGACGTCGAGTGGGAGTGGATGCAGCTTGTGGCTTGGCCTGTGCTGAACTTCACTGTGTCAGCTGCTATGACTTTCATTTGGCGGCCGACTCAGAACAGCTCGCAATTTGCGTACTCCATGCAGGTATGTCGGAAGGGCGATTGTTTTTATCCGTTCTTTTCTGATCTTTACAAACCGTGTTGTTGCGTGATGCTGCGCCCCAGTTGCCGATGACGGATAGCCCAGGTCTCGAGCTGACACGTAAGACACAAGGCTCGTCGTCGGAGGATGACATCGATCCGGAGGTTGAGTCCGACTCGGATGAAGAGGACTGTCGTACTCCAGTTGCTGAGAAGAAGAAGGTCGACAACGGCAACGATTCCGACGACGCGGAAGGAGTGTAGCTAATGCCACTTACTTTTGCGAGATGCTTGTGTTTGTATTGTGACCTGCACATTTATTCAAGTAATCGTGCACCGAGTGACCAATGAAGACACCCCCTTTGTATGAAGTAGGGTGCCTTCGTTCACATTCGCATACTCAGCGTGGACACGTCGCTGCTCTGCTACCCCGCTTCAGGCGTCCTTCTTATGGTTGCGTGATAAACGTCGCGCGATGACAACAAGCCCGACAAAGCACAGGCCTGGCAAGACGATTGCCGTCATTGTGACCGAAGGTGTACCGTCTTCGGTCCGTCTGCCTCCAGTAACCTTGGCCTTAAACTCCGTGAACGTTTTGGCTTCCCGTTCACTTGGAAGTGGCTTGCCAATACCCGGTGCATCCTCGTGTTGCTCGCCAATACCACTGCTGTCTTTCTGTTTGGGAGCACACGGCTTGACCGCGTCATCTTCAGCCGGTATCTTTGCTTCGGCTTCATTACGAAGCCGTTTGGGCAGACATACCGCCGGCAACTGTTAGCCTCAAAGTAAACGAAAAATGACAACAGTTAGCAGATTGACTAGTAACAGGTACGACACACGCAGCGCACGTTCTCAGGTCCCACGTAAGCCTTGCATACGGCATCCGTAAGCTGCTTCAGACCGATTCCTTGGGTTGAGCTGCCTAACGGTACCCCGTTGAGAAGGACCTGCGCTTTGTTCACGTCAGCCAGATACAAAAAGGGCGCATGCATGCAAAGACCACGTACGTATGGCACCCAAGGAACACGCAGTGACTGCCTCTTCGCCACATTCTGCATCCAGTCACACGATAACGATGTCAAACATTCTGTTGCATCTAAGGTTCGGCACGGTAGAAAACAAACCTTTCGTAACAACTCCTCACTCTTGAGATTGTAGCATGCTTGCATCTTTGTTCGCGCTTCGTCTTTAAAGCAGCGATCGATGATGGAGTTCCACGTCATGCCGTTGTTGTCCTTACTTTCCATACACTTGTCCGCATCACATGTGGCATGATCACTTTAGGTAAGGATATCGACAGCATTGTAAGGTAACTCACAGCAATATGTTCAACCAACTCTCCGATTTGATGGAACTCCTCAACGGCGCAGCTCAACCACTTGTGTCCCCGGCACTCTAAGACTCCAGACGCACATGAAAACTTTCCATTTGCGTCGTAAGATGTTCCAGCAGCAGGCACAGGGCGAAAGTCGATGATCCTCTGAAATCTGGTGAGGGTAGAAAAAGAACATTTAGAGCGTCTTGCAGTACACGAGTTGCTACCACGACATACTCTTTGTCCCGAACAAGTGACAGCAGCGGTCTCGTGATGAAAGACATACAACCGGGGCTTGCAAAACGAGCGTCAGTCTATGAGCACACTCATGTCTAGTCTCGCTACACTAAAGAACACGCACCAGAAAGCTCGCCAGTACATCTCCATCACCACCTTTCCTGCTGCGTCGGCTGTTGCGGACAAATGTGCAGGAGCAGAGAGTACTCCTTCTCCCTCTATCATGTCCACAACAATACTATCACCTCCAACTACAACTATAGGGGTTTCGACTACTGCGTTATCCTCTTTCATCGCAGGCGTCAATATGCCTTGGGACAGTATTTCAGCAGCTACCGGGGCTTGGTCTTTCTTGTTCGCCACTGTAGCATTAGAAGCAAAAACTTTTTGCCCGCCAACGAGTTCTTCACAATCCGCTGGATAAAAGCTGTTGGGTCCCGTGTATGCTGAACAAATGCTCGTCTTTAGCATCTTCAAAGAAACCCCTTCGGTTGCCGATCCAAGCACGTTTTGGTTCACTACCGTCTATCCGCAACTCATGCCATATAGCACAAATGTCGTCAGCTTACACATTTGAAACCCGTTGGCGCAAAGTTAAGCAAGCCGATAGCGTACATATGGCGCCCAGGGTGAGCTTCCTAATCGTTTCCCACGAATCATCTTAATCAAGCAAGCACTATGCGTCAGCGAAGTTGACAAAGTGAGCACTGTCGAGAGCTAGCTAATCAGCTCCTTCTAGCCTGACCTTGAGTAATAGAGCGGTGCTGCGATCGTTGAAGCACTCTTCAATATGAATGCGTTCTTCGTCCGTCACGCAGTTTTCTGTCTTTGTCGGCCAATCATCTGCTTCACCCGACTCGTCGCCTTCCATGCACTGCAACCACACAACGACAGCTACATGAATCCACCCACTCACCAATTACAACAAACCCCCAGCGTCGCTTACCGCAATCGTCCCGACATACTTGACGATGTCGTCACGGTTCGTGTCAAGCACACAGACTTGCCAGCGGTGGCCCGAGCACTCGGACGGTCCGGCCTCACACGTTACTTCTCCTTCACGTTTCTCTTTCATTCCTGCAGCTGGGATAAGGCTGCAGCAGCAGAAAAGTCACAAACATAGCTACTATATGGCACGTCATCGTTAAAGTGTGTCTGCTCACGTCATATTGATGATAGCTCGGTATTCTTCGGTCCGCACGAGCTCCAGCAGCGGGTTTCCAATGAACCATTGGCAAGCAGGACTGTATGTATGCATACAATCACAGATAGAGAAAGAGAGAGTGTAACTGTCAGTTCCTTCTTCATTGGATACATGGAGGATACGGGTGAAGAGCTGACCAAAACGCGCGATAGACGACGCGCAAGTTAACGCGGTATAGATCGTCCACACCAGTAGGTATGGCAGCAGTAGACGGACTTGCATTGATACTGAGTAGCAGCAGAGACGTCACTGCAGTCGCCAGGGAACGCAGGAGGCCCATCGGGGAAGAGGGTTGTGCAGTATGTACCAGCTTGTCACTTCGTCAGTCGACGAAATGGGTATGTTCCGTGCGCTTAGGATGCACAAGCTGCTGAAATAGTGCCCAAATTAGAATATGGTGGACCACACCAATGGTGGTTACAGAAGGACATTGAAAGCGAGAGGTTTCGTGACAGTCTTAACATGTGATAAGGAAATCACTCGACTCAGTCTCTTTTTAGATAGACCTATCCCTTTGCTTCATTAAGAAAGCAATCATTACCATAAACTCTGATTGGGCAATATGAAGTGTAGATAATACCTAGTACCTCTTGCAATACCCCGCAAGCTCTACCAATTCCACGAATGGCATCGCCCGATAGCGAAAGTCCAGGTCCATAGCGATGCCGACTAGATTTAGATGGCGGCAAACCGCTGGAGTCACTAGCGTAAATTTAAACAAATCAATTTATACAGACCGGACTACAGACACAATTTTGCATTTAACGACCCACTACGCCACAGACATTGAAGAAGACTGCCACATGCAGCTTCGAACGTCATTGAACGTGCAAGAACTAGTGTACTGCCATAATAGAAAAGACGGAAACAAACAAGGAGAATGATGGTAAGTAGAATATAAAGACAGTGGTGATGGAGATAATTTTTCTAACTCCAAATTACAGACAGTTCTTCAAGATTATCTGCTCAATTGACTTTACAAGACTAAGAGCCGTCGAAGAGGATTCAATGAGCATCACGCAACACTAAACGTTGCCATTTATCTGCAAATCAGCATTTGTAGCGGAGCTACACAGCTCGTTAAGTCAGAGGAAGACTTAACGCTCAACGAATAAGTTAGTTTTAAATAACTAAACTCAATGAGTCAACAAGCGTAAAGCTAATGGTTCTTGTTCCAGAGGACCGTACGATTCAGCGAATCGACAGCACTTAGTGCTCAAGAATAACAAGCTACCTCAGGGAGGTGTTGTTAACTCTTAGTGATCGGCGATCGGCGACCAAAGACGCCTCGCAAGGCACGTGTCTTTAAGATCAAAAGGGGACTGACATTAATTTACATTTACACCTATAGAATATCCTAACCTAAGTTAGTACTACTAAGATCTCTCCTATCGAGTGGCTGACACCAGTCAGCCTCTATAAACCGATAAGATATTCTACATCTCTTTCAGTGGGATATCATCCGTGTTTCCAAGACACAGGGTACCAGGTACCCAACTACGTGTAAACCCGTTACAGCATTCCTGCTTATCTGGTCAAAGAAGCCAATACAATTCCCATTACGTGCAAACGACTTCCGCGTACGTACAGCGTTTATGAAACGGGGCACCGATCGCTCGTACTGTCACAGTACAAGCTACTTACACTGAACACGGAGTAAGATGTTGCCTCGAGACTTCACTTACACGCGGTGTGCAGGGGAAGGTTCAACACGAGAATATGGTAAAAGTAGAACAGAAGTTAGTGTAGTAAATCTCCTGTCGATAATCCAATCTAGTGTTCATTTAACGGTATCTAAATACAGACATGTACAGTAACTATCTGCTCACCGCTCATTGCGTTCTTCTGTCGTGGCTCAGCTGTATTGGTTGATTTCGTTGATCTGTATCAACCAATGAGCAGCGTATTACTTCTGCAGCACAATATTACTCATTTAGCCAACATTGAGAAAATATGATGTTTACCCAACATGATATTCGTACTTGATATTTACCATGTGTAAACTATCATCTAGCGGAGGCACCCAGTCACATCACCCTCACTTAACCATCTGTCACATTTGGTGACTGATTGGCAAATGAGTGATTCTTATAAGTGACTCTGGGAATGGGAAGCACTTGTTGGTCAATTCCAATCACTCCTTTGTCCCCCCTGCATGGTTAATAAGTCCATGCGGTGTGCAGAAAAAGCTGCTGGAAACTCAGCGATGAGACTACAATCTGCTGTGGCGGATGAGACAAAGGACGTAAACGCAGCTGGCGAAAACTTGCCTGCTGCTTCTTCTGATTCAGATTCGCGTGTTGATGCACTGCGTGTCCTCGGGGATGACGACCTTGCGCTGATACACTCTAGCGAGTCAAATGGCTACACCGACTTCACGAAGGCTGCCACGACGACAGAGCCGAAAGCGGCGACAAAAGAGTCGAGCAATTCGGTCTTGCGAAGCGCGATGAGCCTACTGTGACATCTTCGGATCTTCCGACGAGCCGGATACTCCGTCTCGAAGGCGGAGTCGATCACTTGAGATCAATCAAAGCGATGGCAAGAGCCAGTCCAACTATCATGAAGGTGACGCAGTAATGCGTCACAATTATGACGACCGTACTGGACGTGATGTCGGCATTTCTATAGACACCAAGCAGGAAAACCAGAGATCGCGACCTACTTTGCGTTGATACAAAGAAGAAGGCATGATGCCTCCTCAGAGCGGTGTTGGGTCGCTCGTCCAACACGGTAAGCGATCGTTATCAAAAAAATGCTTTTCGATTCATTGAGGCTTCATGGACTTGACTATAGTGGGAGTGAACTTTTGCACTGAGCATGAGTCTACATCGATGGTTCGGTGGCAACCATAAAAGTGATGGTGCCTCGCTGATCCAGATATGGAAAGCATTTATACACAACGTTGCTTAAGCGTTATGCCTGGATCGACAAGCTGACTCTATCTCGTTATAGATTCTAAAAGCGAACTTGTAGAGGTGCGCGTTACAAACTGCATCGTTTATTGAGAGAGGCCGGGATATCATGCCTCTCCTGGGATGATGTGTGCCAATGTTGTGTAAACAACTTCACACAAGCTCCAGAGGAAGCTTATTTTGATGACCGATCCCTGATGAAAGGCTCGCGTCTCGTCTGAGATGTAAGAGGGAAAAGCTCATTTGCAATCCCTCTGCAAACGCTCTGAACATTCGCTCTCCGATGGACCTTCTTTGAAATCTGATGTATCTTGTCATACTGCTCGACAAGGCCCAACACGTCCGCCACCAGCTGCGATGAAGGTTCCAAACTTTCCGTTGAGGGCGGATAGCCGCATCACCGGACGAAGGTAACTCGTCTGACGTCCTTCACATCGCGGTGGTTCAACAGTAGCTCCCCGAAGAAGCGTTGACCACCGCGAGTATTAACCAATCGATGAGGTGGAGGAGAGAACAAAACCTCCGATGGATTTGCAAGGCCAATCCGATGCTGTGAGTCAGCTCGAGAGCGTAACGTGTGAGTTGCGCGAGGACCTAGAATACGATAGAGGCAGGCGTCTGGATTTGCTTGGCAAGACGAACCGTCTGAGCTCAGATCAAAAGAAGGACAGGGGAATGCCCTAAACCTTTGCACGGATGACGGAGCAGTGGGAACAGCGTTCTCTTCGCGACGATCTGATATGAGATCATCAGGATATCGCTCGGCTTCGCGGGGAGATAACCAAACTTCCGATGTAAGCTGATAGTCAGCACCGCAAGCACTAGTATAAATTAGAGGTGCTTGAGCGCAAGGGATTTCTACACCGGAAGAAGTCCCGTACTGGTGATACGGCCTAAGGCGACCGCCATAGAAGTTAGGATGCGTGCGCAATCTAAGTGGCAGTACAATTGTGTACGCAATGCCTAAGAGGCGCAGAACACGAAATAGACCGATGAATTTGGGTAGTTAATTGTTACTACCCACATTAGTCACTACGTGTCGAGGTGTGTTTATTTTGATACTAGGACTAGTTCAGCTTCATTAAATTAAATAACATTTGCCATTCCATTCTTGTCAGCGTTTTTTTTGTCGGCACACTGCCTCTGCGATAAAGTCTTGTACGAAATGGTCATTCGTTTCACGAGCCAGTATAATTTAATCTGGCTGACACACTGTCTTTAGCTGCAGCTCTCGTGGATCGTACTGTAGCAAAATCACTTTTCGCCTCTGTAAGTGTGTCCTTGAAAGCACTAGCGTGATGCTTATTTGATCAGTGTCATGACCAGTAAGAGCATCGTCGCTCTTACTTTCGTCTTCTTCACCAAAGCCAATGTGATTGACGTTGGCGTCGAACGTGGTGACCGCATTGTCAGCTTGTGAGGAGTGAGAGACGGATTGACGGTCGCTCGAATGATCCCCCCTTTAACCAGATTCACACTTTTAAAAGGTAGGAAGATGCGGATGGATGAAACCATTTACTTAGAACGGCGTGTGAGTCGTCGAAGCATGGACTGAATGTTTGATGGCAAAGCCCCACCATTGACAGGAATTTGCTTCAATTAGTAAAGAAATGGACACATCCTCGAAGGATCTCCTCGAGGACACGATTGGCGCGTTCGGTCTGAACATCTGTTCCAGGACGGTCAGACGTGGACATCTTTAAGTGCGCTCCAAGGGTTTTGTAATTGGCACGCCAGAACTCAGCCTATGAACCGCGGGGCCTGATCGGACAAAAGTTCACGAGGCAACCCACGAAGGCGAAAGGCCGTGTCCGTATTGACACGGGCACATGCCGATGAGTGGATCGATTCGGGTACAGCAGTCAGATGTACCATCTTGCTGGACATGTCAACAAACACAAGACTACCATTATTCTTGTGATATTCTGCTGTAAATCCAAAGAAAAACTCATTCATGACGAATTCCAGCACTCTGCCAGGACGGAAAAAGGCTGAAACGGGGATCGAATGGAAGGACTGGAATTCACCCGTATATAGACCTCGCGGGTCCAAACGTACTACCGCACGAACTGATACTGGCAGGGAGTGTAAATACTCGCGGCTCGCTGTGAGACATATTTATGACGACCATGATGTTCACCAACAGGTGCGTCATGGTACTCATGTATGATACGCAACCGCAGATCGCTACATTCTGGTACGACGACACGAGGTGTGATGCCACAAACATCCGAATCTTATAATTAAGCCGTTGCGAACTGTATATCTATCCGTAAAGGATCGATATGCTTACGAAAAATGTTTGAGGCTTTTAATGAGAGAATGCTAAAGGTGATGCATTAATCGCACCTTGTCTACCTCATAAGCCTTGTGTGTTTTCCAATTAGGTAGATGACGGGATACTCGAAGACAGTAACGCGACAGTGGTCGGATCAGTGTCGGGTGGCACAGCCGGCTCGAAATCGGTCCAACGCGAGAATGCGTCAATGATGACGTTAAGTTTCCTGGCTTATACTTGATGGAGAAGTTATACGATGCAAATAATGAACACCACCTCGCAATCAGCTGCAAGAGGTGTGTACTGTTTGTAGCCGTGCGTAACGACGTATGGTCCGTATAACCGATGAAGGAGCTATCACCTAGCGGATAGATTTTGAACTTAGCTAGCGCGTACTTCATGGCAAGGAGTTCCTTGTCATGGATAGGGTAGTTGCCTTCAGCTGGTTGCAGATGGCGTGACTGTTAACAGAAGACACGCTCTGCATCGTCTGCATCGTACTGCATAAATGCACAGCCGATTGCAAAGTCGCTGGCATCACGTACCACGCGGAATGGCCTGTAAAGATCAATCATTGCCAAAAATGTCTTTCACAGCAAGCTTTACTATACACCTTCGAAAGAGCATTGAGAGTCGGCACTCTATTATCATTTCTCTTTCTTTTTCGATAAGCGGGAGAGATGAAGAGTCATCCCGGCACAAATTTGTACACGTTTATGCAAATACTTCGCCAGGCCAAGGAGCTTTTGAAGTACCTTTACATGTACAGGCACTGTTCAGTCGTTGATCGCCTTGATCTTTACTGTATCGGGTCGGGTGCTTGTCCAAGATGAAACTAAGGAGTGTATTTCGCTAGCAGCAAATATACAATTCACGAAATTGGCGTAAAGCTTATGCTCGAGCATTAGTGTAAGAGCTTTCTGGAAGTGGAGTCGGTGCGCTACTACATCCGCCTATCCATCCATAGCCCGGCTATGGAAGAATGCATCGTCAAAGTAACCGGGCGCGAACTCTCTAACGGATCTTAATAGACTCGCTACACAACTTTTAAGTGTGGCAGGGTCATTACTTATCCTCTGTGTCATTGCTAACCCTGCCAAAGACACTGCTTGGGGTGCTCACTGCAGTAAAGAGAATGTCCCTTTTTCGCGTAAAGTTTTAGTAGATCCCATCCATAGTATCCACAAATGAAAAGATGGTACTTTTAGCCATACCATCTATGAAGACATCTATTCTTGGTATTGGAGTATGAACTGGTATAGTGGCAGACACTCAACTTGTTGAAGGCGTGTACTGTCCGCCACCCTCCTGTGGCCTTTCGCATACAGGAGGTCGGAAAGCTACGTGAAGAGGTAATATACTTCACATACCGGATGCTAAGCGATCTACAAAGATTTTGTCCATAGCAAGTGCTTGTTCACGAGGCAGTAGCAATTACTTCATGACACAATATTTTGAAAAAGGGTTCAGGTCTATTTGGTGACGAATACCTTTGTCTTGAGGCAACTTGCACGAGACTGCTTCAGAAAGCATACCCTGAATTCCATCCAATCATCGTAAGAGAGAATTCTTTTTGAGCGATTGCCCCATGTAGAATGCATATCGCATAACTCAAATATTCTCATCAAGGGCAACCTTGTCCATCGATGGGACGCTATTAATTTGTTCGTCTCCTGCAAAGACCATCGCCGATTGGCTACCACTAACGTACTCATCCTCCGCGACGAGTACGCAAATCTACTTTACTTTGCCACTACGCAGATCAAGCAAATACATCTTTTGGTTCAGCGTTGCTAACCTGAGTGATCTCCAAAGTTAATTTTGGAGGTGCGGTCAGATAAAGCAGATGACTACATATGCTTTATCCGTCGTTTGACAGGACACTCAATGTCTTTGTCATCCTATGAGAACTTACTTTCAATGTTTTTGGTTACTTCTTCTCTGAACGCAAGTCTCTTGATTTATTCCATCTCCTGATTGGCAATCATTGGCAATATGATGGTCATGATTGAAGTATTGTCTGTTGAGTAGGAACCCATACCCCAGTCCGCTCGACTTATTCGAGAGGTGGGCATTCTACGCTTTCTGCATTGTTATGCAGTCGTCCAAATTTTGCTCTGCAATTTAATGGTGCGTCATATTGTGATCTTGTGTAGTCTTACTAACGACCGAACCACACGTGAGGCCATCGCACTCACTCACAGTACATCCACATAGTGGTGGACAATCCAAGATGTTCATTAGATGAGCGTTTGGTGAACAAGCGGCGGG